TTCATCGTTCCAAAGAATGCATTTCCAATATACAAATGTCATGACTCATGATTATTGTTTGCCCAACATTAAAGTGTTCCATACGAATCAATTGCATCTTTTTTATGACATAATATAACTCCGTCAATCAATTTGACAGGACATATGACAGATATAATTGACATATAATAGGCAAATGAAAAATAAAAGCAATTAGTAGACGCAAACGCATTTTTATTGTATTAAACAGTGTGAATATGAAAAGAAAAATGTCTTTTAGTTTGGAAAAAAGTAACCTATACCGTTAAAAATAATCTACGACACTCTGTATTATTGCTTACGCTTTAACAAAAATTAAAAGTGGCAAGTAACAAGCAAAATGAAGCTCCTAAGTACATCTTTCTTCGTAGTGCAGTTAACATTTAAACGGACCACTTCGTGAGGATGTAAAGCGCGTTGCATTTATATACGGTTGTCGCGCAAATGCGGTCTTAGATTTACTTCACTTGAAACCATAAGTTTTATGCATTATTAATTATTATTAATCCCATTATGCTGTTTGTATCCATTTCGTTAATCGTAGAAGATCGACGAGTTTTTCGAATTTAAAAAGGGGTCGAAAACGAGAGGAACAGAGAATGGAGTTAAGTTGTTTAGAGATTATATTTATTCCAATTATCTAACATCTTGAGCCTCTTATCGTTAGGCGAAATTGTGCGAAGGGACGCGTCGCTTGTTTTGAGCACCTTTTTTATTTCGTTTTTCTGGAACATGTACTTATGTGTTTTACATTACTGGCATTTTAGATTAAAAGTGGATTTCATATCAAGCTGCTCTTATGTGCCAACTGTCGAGATGAGTCCGACTTAGCCTTGTTAACCCGCTACTACTGAACTAACTAACCTTGTTTGCGTCTAATTTTCCCATTTGAAAATTACTCTGTTTCCTAAGCACAAAATCCTTCTTTGTATGCTGTTCTCCGCGTTTGTTTACGATTTTCCTTCGCACTACAATTTGTGTTTTACTACACCTAAGCGTTAACAATAGTGGTGTTGGAGCGTAAATATAGCAAAGCTTGGGTTGTTGGATTATGACGTGTTAATTTATGAAGTACTTAACAATCGATTAAAGAAGAGTATCTATTTATTCACTGCCCACTCTGTATTAAAACTGTAGGTAGTTGGGAAGATTTGACAAACTTATTGCCGTTTTCCATGAAACTATTGACGGTACGAATATGCCACTAAACGGTGTATTGCATACTTTTGTAGCCGTTTTGTTCCTCACCTCCCCAGATATTTCAAAAGAAAGATCCCTTTTTTAATTTAGCTTTTGATACTTTTCGCTCTGCCTTATGATAGCGTGTTGCTGCTCCGTTCCTTTTTAATATTGTTTCGTTGCTAGGAGCAGAGAAGCGGAAAACAGACAGAGAAAGTTTTCTTCTCGGCCTCCTTTCCACTTCTCTGCTTCGTTTGATTTCTATCTCTGTTGATTAGCCGTTTACATACAAGCAATTAAGAGTCTCAAACATCTGCCAAACAAACCCAAATGCGACGTATGTGATGTGGACCTCACAATCAGTCACATCTTCACCTCATGTAACATAGTACACTATCCAGCGTTCCCTACACCACATTCAAGGATCCGTTCGAGAAATATTAGGAGAGAAGTGCAAGTTCGAAAACGTTACAAACTATCTAAAATCTATCAATGTCATACACCAATTTACATTACAGAAACATATTAGCGCAAATAACCCTACGCGGTTGATGCGCGAATAGAATTTAAAAAAAAATTCGAGATTATAGCGAACCAAAATTTACAGAGAATCTCACCTTATACGATAACGAACTTCTTCAAACATGTACGTACAGTGTGTCCTATTTTGGTTGAGACTGTAGTGTATCTCAGCTGTTTTTAAAGATAGAGACCTGCGGTATTCGCGACACCGGGGCACTTTTTTGTGAAATTTAATAAAATCAATTTAGCTACGTTTTGTTTCTGACATACAGGGTGAAAACGAAAAATTCACTATTTGTGATATCGTCTCATAAATTTACTATTGTTAATTTTAACTTTGACGGTCTCAAAGCGTATCTCATCGGACAACTTCGGACAAACTCGTTAAAACGAATTTGTAAACCCTGAAATTCACATATCCAGACGAGGTCCTTACAATTAGCAGTAAATGTATTGTATGGTCTAAGCGTAAAACTAAAGCAAATGCACGCATTATGATTTTAACGTTAACGTGTCATTATGATGTTCATATCGAACCTGTATCATTAATAACTATAATAGTGTGCTATAGATGAATCGTTCGGTTCGTGTAATCTTGGTGGGTTCAGAATTTCAATTGAGAGAGTTGAGAGAAATGGGAAAGAATGGAATTAAAGAGTTAAGTATCAGTGCACAACATTTAAATGTTATAATTATAAAGGTTGTTATTTTTCCACCGTGGGAAAGTAACTGTATAGCAAACGTAAATTTTTGTCAAGTTCAAGGATATTCAAATGAAGCTAGCGGTTACATAATCAGTAAAGAATCATGACGTTTATTGTATTTATTGAGACATCATAGCGTGTTGCCAAGACTAGAGAGACTAGCAGTTTCCGCGAACTTTGTACCGCTATCGCCTTTGTGAAATTTCGGACATACGCTCGGTTTCGGTGGTTGCGCCGCCTCAACTCGCATACCCGTCGAACTTCATATTGACTGTCAGGCAATGTTTTCTTGAATGGGACACGCTCGGTTTCGGCGGCTGCGCAGTTCTACCTGCAATATACTTTATGACCTATTCTCATATCTGCCAAATTTATAAACAAAATTTCATAAAAATCGATCGAGCTGTTTCGGAGGAGTGCGACTACAAACACCTTTACACGAGATCTTGATATATTAGGTTAGTAGATAGAAATGGTATAGTGTCGGGTATTCGATCTAAATTGTGTTACCTCTAAGATTTTCGTTTAAAATATTATTTTTAATTCGTACTTACTTTACGGCTAATGTATTAGCATAAAAAAAAATCTAAATAAGGTAAAGGTAATGTGCTTTTCCGTTTCCCATGATGTTTCCATACGGCATAATAGGCTCCCTAAGGGCGCAAAAAGTTGATGACCCCTATTTGGGCACATAACTTGACCATAAACTATCTGCAGTGCATGAATGGTCAAATTCGAAATGTTGTTACGTGACATAACTGACTTCCATAAAAAGCGGAATACCTATAAATAGTGGGGTGAGAGGAAGGCACAAAAATTGACAGTAGGAAGCCGGCATAAAGGCCGATTTATAAACTTTACGTTCGCGTCCGTCGTTGTAGAGCTTACTTCGGTTAAGGTATTTTTAGTTTACAGTTTGTTCATGAAAGGGACAAGAATTATTTCTGTGAAAGATTTATAATGAATGAGCATATATAAAAGACTTATAAAGGATATTAATACACTTCACACTAATTTGCGCGCCAAATGGGTACTCTTTTTCCATTGGTCAATATCTTCGGTGAACTACGAACTGCCAAGCTCGAACGCGGGCGACAAAGTTTATGTAAATCGCCCTTAAACATTATGACACTCTGCGTTCTACACTTGTCATATGGTCTATTGCAATTGATCGAGGCGTGCAAACTCCTTGAGAAATCTGTTCTTTGTTACCAAATGTCTTAAACTGCGTTCTTCGCGACTTGCGGTCACTTGGAGACCTCGATTTGAAATTTAAAGAGGGTATAAGTAAGCTTGTAAGTGTAAGTATGTAGATACTTTCAGTTCTAATTTCTAAAATGATATGATGCATTTTTATTTTTTGAAATTGCGAGAGGCAGAGGAATTCGTCAAAACTTTGTTATTTTAAATTTTATAAACGATAAATTTTGACGAGAGGGCTCTTTTCGCTGAAGAAGAAATTAGGAGGTAAACTGCGGATGTAAAGACCTTTAATAACTGCTATCATTTACTTATTCAACGCTGCTATACTAATTTCAAATGGGTATAAAATCCTTTCTAACTTAAAAAGGGGATTATTCTCTAAATTCTCCGGATTTTTAGATTCCAATTAATGTAGATACATTCGAGGATGTATTTATTAGATGCATCAGTGAATGAATAGTTATTTAAGCTACAAGGGATGTAAGTGGCGCATTAAGCTCCGAGGAAGTTATTATCCAAGGAAGTTAATAGCAACTACATTCCGTGTTGCTTATTACATTTTTCGCGCTAATGATTAAGGGAATCGCGGGAGATTATTGTGCAAATGTCAAATGTGACAGATGTCATTATTTTTCTCGGAATGTAAGTAATAAGATTGTAAAGTCTGCTCTCAATAAGCAACCAATACTGTAATGTAATTGGAGCCTTACACTTGATAGTTGTCATGTATATAACTTTTGGGAATTTCTTTTTTGAGAACTGAGCCGATTTGGCAAACGTTACGAAGTTTTTTTAACTTTATGCTGCTTATTTGAATTTCTGTCACGACTAGCAAGGAGACCTTGTGAGATTTTTAATATTGACTTCAATGCGTCGCTACTATTGTTGACCAGTACTAAAACAAAGAAATTCGTTCTAAATTAACATTTAGGTTTATTTTACAACATTACAAACTACAAAGATATATTTTGGAGCTTTTTTTAAAATAAGAACAATTATATATTTGATTTAGCGTCGAGTTTTTAGCGAGACGGTTATGCTTTCTCCCAGTCCTCAGAACGAAATTGAATCGACATTTCATTTATTGACAAACTATAATAAGCACAATAATACATAAACCTCTCACCAGGAAAGATTGCCGGTCACAGAACACTTGATCCCGGTCTACAATCTATGTTTTTCTAAAGATGTGAGCGATTTCCGGGATAGTATCGTGTTAATGTTGAACAAAAAAACTTTTCGTTCAACATTGGCACGATCCTATTCCGGAAGTCGCTCGCATCTTAAGAAAAACATACATTGTAGATCGACACAAGGCGTGCTCTGACCGGCAATCTTTCGAGGCGAGAGCGAGGGCGAGAGTTATAACTGAAATTTCCTACACCAAATATTTTTTATTACATTAAATAGGCACATACAGTTGCTTAAGTTCCCGCTATTTCGTAGTTCTCGAATTCGATTTCGTCCATTTTGTTCGAGTTCCTTCTGATCTGTTCGTAGTTATGATAATCGTAATTCGACTTCTTATTCGTTTTGCTAAACATAATGTTATTGTACGTCTTTTGCTCACCCAAGTTACTCCATTGTGTCAAATGTTTTTCGTCGCCTACCTCCTTCTCGCTTTCATCTTGTTCCCTGATGCACGAATTTTTTCTTTGATTTTCCCGATTTTTTTGGTCGATTAAATCTTTTTGTTTGTCGAAATACTTTTGCTTGTACTTCTCGAGGTTCTCCGTACCGACCAGTTCGATGCGACTGCTGCAGCTGTTCGATTTGAGCAATTTAAATTTCACGCCGTTATAAGCGTCTTTATTGTCGGGATGCGCGCATTTGCAATCCCTCTTAATTTCCTCCATGATTGCCTCCGTCATGACGTTCGGGTCGCGATTCCTCTCCATCACTTTACCTCCATAATACGTGACTGAAGTGCCGCACTCGCGTATTTTTTGCATGACGTCCTCGCTGACGTACTGCAACTCGCAGCACAGTTCCTCGTTATCGTTGCTCCCGGCGTCCGAAGAAGAATTAGTCGTGTTCGAGGAGTCCGTGATTGAGCAGTTGTCTTTGTCCGGATCACGATCAATGGTTTGATATTGCACGGTCTTCTTTGTCGGTTTGATGTCGTCTAGAGCTTGCGAGCTTTGAGATTTTTTTAGGCCATTTTCAAACAGTTGCCGGACGAGCTTTACGGTGTCGGGATTAGGTAGTTCGTCCTCGTTCATTTCTTTGTTTACTCTTATCGGATGATAAAAGAAACGGCGTCTTAAACTTGTGTCTTTTGTTTCGGTGTTTTGTGACTTATGTAGCATTTTTGTCAAAATCTTCGGGCCTTTCGTCGTTGGCGTCGCCTCGTGTTCAATTTTAGTTCGTATAGGTTCGATTATCACTATATTGTTATCGATCAGGAGCTCCTGAAAACTGTAATGCTGCAGATATTGCATCAGCCCGTCGAACTGTGACTCTTTCTGACAGTTGGCAAATATATTTTTTTGGAAGAGGTCCGATTTCATGACGCGATAGCGAACATGATCAAATTCTGTTTCAAATGCGTCACTGAGGGCTTTGACGGTTTGATGTTTCTCTTCGTTTTTTTCGATGATTTCCACTATGTTGGGATTAAGACTTTCGTACTGACTTCGATTTTCAAATATGTTAACCTTTTCTTTAATGGGCGAGGCTTTGCCAGAATTTTCGAAGAGTTGTTTAGCCACTCTTACTATACTTTCTTCTTTTTCCGCATCTTTCTCTTCTTTATTTTCAAACTGTTTGATAACGTCTTCCACTTTAGTTTGTACGTCGACTATCTTACATTTCGGAGACTCGCCTTTGGATTTATCCGTTTCGTTAATTTTTCCCCAGTAATTTCGCATGGTACCTAACTTCTTTTGGTACTCTTTATTAGACTCGACGTCCATTTCTGCAACTTCCGTGATGCGAGGCAGCTTAGTTTTCTCACTTTTAACGTCACCGATGTTTTCCTTGTGTTTCTTGTATTTTGTTCGTCCCAATCGTTTAACCGATTGTTGCTTGTTCACTTCGACAACCTCCGGTTTCGACTGCTGTATACCGTTAAGTGTACTATTTAGATTCTTAACGGCGTCGATAAATTCCTCTTCTTTGTTTTCACTTTTGATAGACTTGGTCCTTTTCAACTTTGGTATCTTCGATATTTTAACTTCAAAATCTACAGGTATATTACTTTCGGCAGTTACGTCGAAATGTCGTCCAATGTTAACGATAAATCGATTGGAGTTGTCGCACTTTCGTAATTTTTTGTCGATCTTCTCACAGTATCTCAAATTTTTTCCGATAGATAAATCGGGAAGTGAATAGTATTGGTTCGTTTCTTCTTTTTTGATTCCTTCGAACGCTCGCGAAAATTTTCTTGAGAGGAAGTTCTGTAGTGGCTTTTTCGATCCCTTTTGAGATTCTATAAAGTCTTTTAAGTAGCTGTGGCTGTGCCTCGGAGGTTCTTTTACTTCGTCATCTACGTTAATGATAGTCTTGTAATCCTCCTCTTCACCTTTGACTTGCACGCAGGTTTTTAAAATTACGTTATCTTTATGCACTTCGACCACCGGTATTTCGTCGTAAATTGGATTTGTTTCGAAGCAAGAGTCGACAGAGATCGTTTTCGTTATATTCTCGTTGTTTAGGTTGATCTCATCGAAATTGAGATCGGATTGCGAGAAATCTGATATTTCTTCTTTAAATACTTCATCCAACTCTTCATAGATTTTCAAATCGGCCGAATCGTACAAGTTCGATTCTTCTCCAAACGCTATACTGCAATTTGGCAAACTTCTCGGTTTTCCTTCGTAGAAATTATTGAGATCGTGATCGAACGGTGTGTAATGCCGTATTGTACGTGGTTTGAAATATTTGTCATCAAAACTTTTACCAAACGATATGTTGTCGTGGTAAACAATTTCCGCCGAATCTTGGCGATAGAGGTTGTTTGTCGACTGAGATCTCTTCTCTTCTTTGAATGAATATTTATCGGACGACAAGTCAGTTAAAGAAATATCGCTATCGGGATAATAATTTGGTAGGCTTAGACCGAAATCTGAATCTATCGTTCGTGAATGTGGAAGTACGTAGTCTGATGATATACTGCTACATTTTCTCAATGTGTCTTTGGATTGGTAGATTTCGTGAATTCGATCTTTTGAACCGCACCTGTAAGTGAAACCTAAATTAATTATCGTAATGTTAGGAAATGGTTCTCGCCCACATCCTTTTTAATCTTAATTGGGATTATAATCGTGACGCTAATAGTTAATGAACTTTGGTTGTGTGCTATTTACGTACAGTCATTGCCAGAATTAATAATTCACTTTCACATCTTTGCAAATACATTAAACCAATACTTCCCGTTGTTTAACCCTGATACAGTTGAAGTTTCGAGAGCAACTAATTTTGTCAGTGACTGTATGTACTAAGTAATGATTCTATCCGTCCAACCTTTAAATAATATAAGGGTTGCGCTATAAATTCCAGAATAATAAAGTTCATACAAATACGTACCTTTCCTTGACACCGTGCTTATCAATAAGCTTTGCCCGCGGTATCAGTTGTTGTCGCCTTTGACGTTTGCCGGTGGCAAGATTAATGTCGTTGAATACTCCAGCTTCTCGAGAGATCGCTAAGCTGCGACTTCTTTGCAATGTGGATTGATCCGTTTCAAATTCCCCATGAGGATGCGTCGATACATTCTCTAAACTTCTCTTTAAAAATTTACTGTGAGATTTTTTACTGTATGTTTGCTCCAAAAGTCGATGTAAGACTTGGCGGGACTTCTCCGTGGAAAGGGTTACGTTATTCAAGCAGGAATCCCGTTCTTGTCTGCAACAAAAAAAGGCTTTTACTATTTTGAAGTGGGACTTTGGAAAAATTTCTTTTCATTTAACTGGAAATACGAATTCGAAGACCTTCATACTGTGTGATTGGAAAACTTTCACGCAATGGATTTTTAGTGTATGTGATCTGATGTTAACATACTTTCTATTCGTCATAGTGTGGATGCGCGTTTAGGTTGAGCGGCAGAGCTATTCAGTGGCGTGATCACGTGAGTCCAATTAAAAAACAACGAAAACTTTGTTAGTGCATTTTATTAATATTGAAAAAAATGTACCTACTATTGTTTGCGTTTTGCCCGTCCGTCCGTCTGTTCGGGCCCACTTCTGCCGTGTCTAACTACTTTTAAGCGAATGGTCCTAGAGTCTTGGAATTGTTTGCAATATTTTGTTGTCTTAAGGGGGGGGGCGCCCCACGAATTTTTATGCTGTTTTTGAAAATCAAACATTAATAACTTTTATTTGTTACTCAGTTGTAAACGTTGATGAACAAGACAAAACGCAAACGGGTAAACGTCATGTTTAAACGCTACTGACTTGTAAAACTGACAGCTGACCTGTAAAAATTTTACAAGACATTTCTTCAAGATCAATTTAAGAACTAATTATTTACGTTTACTATTGTTTACAGATGAGTAACAAATAAAATATTGTACATTATACGCCAGGGAATAGTTTTTACTGGCTCTAGGAGATGACAGGTCAACTTCTCCTATCGCCAGTAAAAACTCACTTACCTGGCTAATAATGTAAAATACTATTACATGAGACAACCAATTTGTCTCAAATTTCCAGTCTCATTGACAAAGCTAAATTACTTAATTCTAATTCTAGACTATTTCTTAAAAAAGCAGCGCACGAAAAGCAATTAAGTAAAGGTGCCGTGAATTTAGGGGCTTTGATCTTCGGTCACTCTTTTAAGATATTGTGAAACAATTTTCGCATACTTGACGGAAAGTGCGCCAAGATCGCCAATGGAAAATGCGCGAGACCCGATGCACAAAACAAAAGAAGGAATCCAAAGCAAACCAATTTTCAATTATGTATAAAAAATCAATGCGTGCTAGTTTTCCAATGAAACAGTAGGTATGAATTCTTTTTCAAGTCGTACCTATTTTGCCAGTAATAAAAAAATAATTTTAGATATGTAATGTGTTTTTAGAATATGGTGCAGAATACGAAACGTGAATAAAAAACATTTCAACATCCCATACATTAGAATCTTAATTTTTGCAAAATACCTTCGTGTTTGTCTCAAGATTAATAAGTTGAAATAGATTCATCTCAGTCTAAGCATCGCTTAGTCTACTTTTAATTTATCACTTGGTACAAAATCCCAAATTAAAATTTTATTTTTAACCAAAAGTTAGGAAAGTGAGCCAAACGCTCCAATGAAAATCAACGTGCATTTTCTAAAATAAAGTTTTGTCAACGAAACGACACTACGTTACGAAAGAGTATTTTACAATTTATAGATGTAAGCTTATAAGAAGTTTTTCACATTTATCCTGATACAAAATTGCCCATAAGAAATCTATTTGCTTTCACTTGTTATTCATTTTTCTTTTGAAATTTGTCGCTATACATTCATTTACAGTCCAATATCACGTTTAAATTTCTCCAGGTGGCGATATTTTGGCACTCCGATTGCCACCCCAAGAAGGCGTTTTAAGGAGGGAATTTGAAGATCGTCATTTAATAATGAAATTGAAATATGGGAGAGGCGGTGACGTCAGGCATATGTCAAAGTTTCAAGTTTCAATGCTGGATTAAATGTCAATTATTTCAACATTGAAATTGTACTATATTTTGAAGACACGATTAAACTGGAAAATGCATGTACAATTTCCATTTTTCATTCCTCTTTGAGATACAAAAATCGATACGTTAGAGAAGGGAAGAGGAGGGGCCGGTTATCATTTTTCTTTAATTACGCTAAATGCACCACTTTGATGTGCTCATTTTATTCGTGTCCTAAAGGAAATATCAAATCTCAGAAGCTGCTCATAAATACAAACTACAAATTCGCTTCTTTTTGGTTGCCAAAGTACAAAGCATTGTGAAAGGAATGTGCGAGTGACGACGGGCATGTGTTCCCACAACGTATGCAGGCACATGTTTCGGTAATGAAGATTAGTAGACTTTCCTAAAACGTGTATCTATCAATCCATTCCATTGCATGCCTTAAAAATGAAAGTAAAAAATTCCATAAAAATAGGTATACCAAGTGTCTGTTGTGCTGTATTGATACAGGGTGTAACATATAAGGACATATACAGGGTGTTACATGACCGTATGTAAAAAAATTGGGTGATTAGAGGGGATCAAGATAAGCACCGTTTCCAAATAAATCGAGGGTCCAACATGTTTCGTTTGGGAGCCACCCCCAAAGAAGTGGTGAAATTTGGATTTCTTCTTTAATTTTTTTCTCAGCAGGCATAAAAATTTTCAAAATTCCTACCACGAAAGGGCGCACCCAAAATTCCGATTTCGACGAAATTTGATATCTGGGGGTTTTTGAACATGAAAATCACGAATCTGAAATTAGCTTTTGAAAATTCGAAAAAAAGTTCCACTGCAATTCTTGGACGGACAACGAAAATGGAGAGAAATTTGTGGTAGGAAATTTTTTTTCAAAATCGGATAGCGCATACCCGAAAACCTATTCAAAGACGTGCCACCCATCTTTGTAACTCTTATGGTTGCTGAGAAAAAAATTAAAGAAGAAATCCAAATTTCACCCCTTCTTTGGGAGTGGCTTCCAAACGAAACACGTTGGACCCTCGGTTTATTGGGAAAAAGTGCTTAGGAAAAGAGAAGGAAAAATAACTTCATTTCCAAGTAAAATAATATGCGTTTATCAAGTGAAAGTCAAATAAGTTGTATAACCAACAGGAGGTTACCTAGTTTACATGTAGTCGTTGAATGAAAAACAATTTTTTTCAATGATGTAGTGGAATCGCAGTATTGCATCAATTAATTATTTACGTTTAGGACCAAATTATACCTGCATTTTAGGTGTATTGGTGTAAGCGTGTGTAACGGCTCGGCCATACAACTTCTCCTATCGCCAGTAAAAAGTAAAAACTCATTTATCTGGCTAATAATGTAAGGTACTATAACGATGATAATATACAAACGCAATGATGCCAATTTGTAAATTACATTTTGCGGTTCGTTTTAGTTTACACATTACATTACTATTCCTATTGACCCTATTGCACTTGCTTCAAATTGCTTACCTATTATCACTGACGCTCTTTCTTATTTCAGGTGAGTGAGCTAATTGTCCCCCGCAGCAAGTAGCTGTCCTGTAATAAAAAATGAGCAGTTAAGTAAGGTAAATTGATTATTTTTGTAATTACAAACGTTGTTAGTTAGACTAACGATGGATTATGTTATAGTGTCGTTGTCGTAAACAATTATCGGAAAAAAGGGTTAATGTTCTGCGAGGGGAAGAGCACTTCTAAATTATTATGACCGACTTAATTAGTCCGAAATCCCCCTAAATGGAATTTGAGATGGTTTTACTTCCAAGCGTATTCTCTGGAATGGAAACCAAAAATTAATGCCAGGTCTAGCACTACCCGTTCAATCTATTTACGTGTATATAAGAGGCTGCTTTAGTAATATATTGTATCCCTTCTGTATTTCTTCTATATTTATTTTTAAAATGACTCTTAGTGACTGACCACATCTGAAATCGTTCCCTTGCATTTACATTACCTACAGTAATATAATCAAATTAAGTGAAACAATACAGTCGAACATAAGGACAACTTTTATGGTTCTACAATCTACAGCTACAGCATCATTTTCAATTACATCAGAAATTAAATCTAATTAGAGAATTTGCAAATATGCATCACACGACCTGTCTTTAGGGGATGAAAGAGTTAAAGGCGAGGTGAAATTTGGTGTAATGCATTATGCAGATCTGATATGCTCCTGCATTTTCTGTAGATTTGTCGAAGATCTGTTCCAGTAGCCAGGTGCAAATGTTTGTTGATCTATTTTATAATTATTTGTCATCATTTAAATAACAGTAGGGTACTTTTATAAACTGTCATTGAAATCGCTGATGTTTAATTATGTATACTTTGCTTTTAGCACTAAGGTAGCATTCTAAAGAAGTTGGGAGAAAATTAAACCTGCTTTGCATAATTATCCTCACAATTTAGCTGCAATGGTAATACATACTGAATTAATGCGTTATCCTTTTCCACCAGCCGTAATATTTTGTTCAAACACTGACGCGATGTCACGAGTTTCAATCACGCGCCCCGCACAATTTTTTAATTAATTTAAAACAATCCTAATTAGGTAGGTACTTCCTTAACTATTTGCACTTGTTTTATCACCATCTGATCGCTGTCTCCGGCAAAATTATTCTGAATTTAAACAAAACGTAAACTTTTTGTCCTGGTAATAAACTTATGGAAAACAATTTTGTAACGGAAAGTGTTACGTTCACTGGGATGAAAAAGTTTTACTCAATATCACTTTCCATTGTATACCTGTGCAACTAATTACGCCACGTCTGTAAAGTACTGTAAGCTGTTCATTTCTAGCACATTTGCCCTAATTGTTTGTGTTTTTAATGTTTGGACGATCGTTATCATCGGTTACTGAGCCGTAACTTTATAAATGGGGTGATTTTTAATGGCACCTTTATATCGTTTTTCCGTATTTATTGATTGTGTCATTTTATTGGTGGCCTCTGTCGACACAAGAAATCGTTTCTCATTCTCACAATTTTAATTTTTTGTACGTAAGAGTAATCATACTTACGAGAAAAATGCTTTCATAGTGAAATTATTTATGAGAAAAAATATGCCACTAGGCGTATATTAATTACTATTTTGAAAAATAGCCATTAAATCACCTACTAACCAAAATTGATTAAAAGCGTAAATATTCAAACCATACTACATATAAATAATTAAATATACACAGGCTGTATCAAATTTTGTGTTAAGTACAGAAATCTCGCTTATTAGCATAGATAGAGAACCATAATCCTCTGTACATATGGGGAAAAATAACATAGTTGATGTTTTTGATTTTTGGCATCTCTTTATTTGAGGAGGTATTGAAAAACTTTCTTTAGAGAACTTTTTCTGTTCTTATAGATGGTGGAAAATGAATGTTCGTTATCATTAATATTTTATTTTGTAATATCGATAGGTACCAACTTTTGTTTTTCATATGGGAGCCATTTTAAAGTGTAGGATCATATAATAGAGAAAAAATCTTGATTTCAAAACATGTGTAATGACGGTGTATTCTATATACCTAACAACAAGGAAAGTAGCTAATTAAATGGGAGCTAATTGTTGACCTAAAACTTTAAAATGAACAGATTTAAATATTAATTTTTACTTCACTTTCTTTTATGTATTGAAATACGTATTTTGGTAATTATTAATTATTGTATATCAATTAACACTTTCGTACCTAATTATGAACCTATTTCGACCAAACTTCATTTACTTGTTTACATACACTTTTTTACAAAAATTTTAATTTCAATGTACTGCGACTTCGATGTTTTATAACATATTATTTCTCGTTGCAGTCTAGTTTTTTGACCTCAATTCAATTCTGCACCTATTAAATATTTTTATGGAAGAAGAAACACAAAATGACTAACAGGATGTGACCCTTTCCGGAAATCCTTTTGGCGAGACACGTTTGCGACGCATTTGCAAATGGGAAATGACCCTTCCACGATTTTTAAATTAAATAGTTCCTAATTTTTATGACAATACAAGATAATTAGCCTTTCATGTTATTATTATTATGTTATGCCTAGTCATAGACCAAATACAAGGCCTAGTATAATCTTGATTCCGTCCTCCTTCCATCATGTTTATTTTATCAAGGTTATGCAGTGTACACCTCGATGTACACCACCTATTTTGAACGCGATCGCATAACTGCCAAGGGGTCAAAGACTCTGACAAACGTCGAGGTTACAAATGTTTCACTGATAATCTAGATTCTAGGGCATCTGGGATGGTATATTCGCCAAAAAAAGATCAAATGATTGTTTCATTGTAATGGGAAGACGTTGCAAAGCTAATTAGCGAAAGCGGGAGCATGTGACATATCTGTCCTAGTATCCGTCGATATGGTTAAAATTTTAAACCGATGTCGGAAATGAAGTGTCGCGAAAGGTACGCTGCAAGCGAAAATGGAACGTCTGGACGGCATCTGTTCAAGAACGGTACACTACTAACCGGCGATTCCCTAACCGGCAATGACCAAACCGGCGACTACTAGCTGGCGCTATACCAAACCGGCGCTTGGTCAAACCGCCGATTGACGAACCGGTGCTGTGCCTTGGCGGCGCTCGGTCGACCGGCGCGTCACGTACCCAATTTTTGATTTGTCTTCCATGAAGGGTGAGGAATAAAGATCATTATTATTATTATTATTATTATTAAATCAATGTTTTTCACTTTTTCTCCTGGAGAGAGAAAAGCGCCTCGCGGGACAAAAAGTGACAATACACATACCTTTATACGTACGAGTAGGTACATTTAGTGTTGTGCACCAAATTTTATACTTATTATACCGTTTTCCATACCTTTTTGAATTTGGGAGGCAGTACATAGTTTCCTCATACCTTGTTCTTCAGAGTTTTCAACGATCACGCCGTCGTTTTGAACGCGAATCTTTGACTTAAACTGACATCACACTGACATTTACTATTTATACGGTCATAATTTGACATGACGAGGTATATTGATTCTACAATTAAACAAATTTTCTTATTTCGAATTTGAACTTTATCATTGAAATTGTTGTGTCTGATTACTGAAGTACAAAAAATAGCGTATATAGGTACCACAGGACTAAAGTACGTCCTAATCCCTCGAGTGCTTGTTGAGTTGTTGCGCTCAACGACGTTTCGAGCAACAATCCTCACCCTCCCGATTAAAACACACACTTTAGTCCATTGGTATACGATATACTGATTCGACAGTTTTTCTTCTACATGCTTCATTTTTTCTCTTTTGTTATGAATTTAACTTCGATGTCTTTCTGATTTACGTGCCACAAAATGTGCTGTAAATGTTTTAGGATCAATTTATAAAATTGCGTTATAGCCACATTTTCATGTATAATTGTGTTTGACCTTTTCAGAAAAGAAGTGCTTCGCGTGTACTTTAAATACACTCCACTATGTACCTACTGTTTATTATTATTTATGGAGCTTAACGTTTTTAATTAGAGCTGAACTACATTAAACTCAATTAAGAAATTTGTATCGGACGTGCTGTTTAACGATTCTTTCGGCTTCGCATTGCCAGCATCTTGATCAACCCAATTCATTTTGACAGATTCAGGTTTTGATCGATTAAAACCTACTTCTCACATCTCACCATGCAAATTTCGGTCTTAGTCCTCGCCGTTGGATGAGAATTATTAAATATAATAATAATTTATATACGGTATTATTGCGGCACTAGGCCAACAACTGTTAAATATTTGATTAAAACTAACGGTTTTTCTTCTGGTTGGCGAAACTCAGAGGGAGAACAACAATATCCTCATTTAATTAGCAATTTCACTATCATTGCCCCATTTTACGATAGGTATCCCAATTCTCACGTACATAAATATGAGCAAAATGAAAACAGAAATCTCTGGTCGCAAGAGAAAGTACGTGACGAGAGGGTGTAATAAAACGAGCTTATCCTTCATTTTTATAGCGCCTTTCGGGGATGGAACTTTTTGTGTTCTTATTATTGCACTTAACGCGATAATGAAAACGTCACTAACCTTTTCTTTTTCTGGCTTTGGATTTTGGAAATATCTTCTTCGACAAGCCGTAGTGCATCCTGTGCTTCATGTATAATATCCGTACTACCATTTGTGATCGAACTGTGCCCCGCGCCTATTTTTACACAGTTTATTAACGAAAGAATTTTAGGGTCTGTTTACACTTTAACACTTTGCGTTCACGAAAGTCGAGAAGTTTAGTGTGCGAGTTTTAATAACGTACTGGTCGTTGGTTACGATCTGAAATTACCCGACTAATTAATGTAATAACGTTTTCTTCCTATCCTTTCTGCTCCAAAGATTAAATGGAATAACGGAATCGAATAAGGCACAAAACCTTTTTTTTCATGCGAACTATAATATAAATACCGTTTCGAATTCGATTTTAGTCGTAGGTATCCCTCTTTAGTTTATAGGTGTGTAAACATTCTAACGGTAAAGGTCTTTTGTATATTGTTGGGTAGTAGTTATAATTGCATTTTCATTTTTTGTATTTCCATTTGTTGCGGCTGTCGCATTCCAAACTTCATTGATCATTATTTTGTTGGAAATAGGTAGGTACATGAGGCGTTTAGGTCTATCCATTGCGTAGTTATTGTTAACTAAGCGTTTAGTTTTAAATAGAAAAATTTAATTAATTGTCTCGTTATTTATGTATTTAATATGGTAGATATTTTATCGAATGTAAATCTCTAAACTAACATGTAATTATTGAAGTATAACGCTGCACGATTGTAAAATAGTACAGTAAAATCACCTTGTCGGAAACAATTGTGGTATACCTATTATTGAAACCATAGCAAAATCTATTAATTCGCTAAAATCAACCAGCTCAATGACAAAATTGTAAAAAAATAAAATTGGCCATTGACATTTTTTTTAATTGCTTGATCATTTTTTTACGTATCCTTGTAGAAGTCTTTAAGCACTTTTCTTCGGTTTACATTTTTAGTAGGGTTATATTACGAAATCTTTCAGAAGAACAAAGTGCGTTGAAAATGGAACCCGATTCTCGAAACTTGTCATTACGGGTAGGTACGTACCAGAAACCAAAAAAAAAGTGAATTTGGTCAATAAATAATTTCCTGCAATATCAAGGGACGTCATTTTGGGACACTGTAATCTATTCAACAAGCGATAACCGACCAGCTGAATGTCATGTCAGAATCCGAGTTTCAGAGCACTGCTATGACGAGTGAAAGAATGTTCTCCAACGTTGTGTGGCTTCCTAGGAATAGGTACTATTTTCAAAGACACTGTAGGTAATGAATTGCACCTATATCATTACTTAATGTGCACACCTCGTAGTAACACTCGTAACCAAGAGTATTCCGTAGGTCAAGGGTTATGCTTATGGAATAGGACAATCTTGTGTGGCATTCTCGCATTGCTTACCATGCGGCTTATAAGTAGACAAGGCTAATGGGTAAAATCCGTGTAATGGAAAAAATCTATTATTTTAACCCTTGTTTTCAATTATGTATTATGATTTCAATTACAAATTGTGTTGTCATCGTGTAGGTACCTATCTAATAAGGATGGCTTCACCTGACCAACTCTTTGTAATGCGCAATGAATCAATGATGGTATTTACCATAAATTCGTGTAGCTGGATAATTACCACAGATCAAATCGCTCACACACGTGTAATATGTAGGCCGGTAGTTTTTGCCTACTTAACAAGTCATTCGTACCGGTTAGTATCCTCACACTCATACCTACCTGTTTATCATTCCCTCTTATTATTTAATTTTGTTGGAGCGTGTAAAATATGGAATACATTTTCATCACGCGACGGAATCTACCACTATATGTTAGTAACCCCTGTATTATAACACCTGTTAGCTCAATCGATGGCGTATAAAGTGGCAGAAAGTTTACAAAATCTAACATTGCCCTTATGCAATCGTATTGTTTTGAAATCTTGTTCTTTTGGTATTCTTCGACAGTTTGCGCCAATATCTTTCGTTTATTGGTATCTATAAGATCAATAATTCCCGTATTGCAAATTTATTCACTTGAAAGAAAATAGAAACTACGGAATCTCGCAATATATTGATCACTTCCCTTTAACGAAAATATTAGTCTCACATCACTCAGTTGCGCCTTTTGCTGTAAATGGGCATCGATGCACATGCGAAGCTTTCCTATATTTTCCCATCGTAATTTTTAACAATTTTGGATTTGAAATCAATGAAATTCTTTCCAAATTTTCACCAGAAGACGTACTCGATGACACGCATATTAGTGTAAAGTAAAGTGCCGAATAAATTATTGGCTTAAACCTTTGTCCGGGCCTTTCGCCGAATACTTATTAAATAATAAATTTGAAACTACCTACTTTGAGTAATTTCCTGTAATCAAGAATACAGACTTGCTGACGTATGATAGTCAATCACTTTCCCAACCTCTCTTTCCTTGTCTAAGTTCCCAACTCTCTGCTCAATCACTATTCCTCATTATCACCTAATGCCTCTAATGGTAGCGTTTGTTACAGATGTCCTGGTGGAATTTTCACATGGTCTACCCCAAGTGACGGTACCTTTGCCCAGTAGAAAAGAGAAATGCAAATTTACGTTAAGGCCGATCTCGAACACAGTAGGCGATTTTTTAGAAATGTTAAAAAAAGAAGATAAAGGTATAGATAGGGCCGTCATTCACTCTCGGGACGGAACTAGAATAGCGTCTTCCAATACTATAGAGACACTTCTTCAAGATGATTTCAAGTTAATCATTAACGATACCAATTACAATGTTAAAACGCCCGAAAGTAGTAAAATTAAAAGGGACGAATTAAAAGAGTAAGTATAATGTCTAAATTTTAACTTTCTCTATTACTCAAATAACTTTCTTTAACGTTCCTATAATAGTGTCCGTAGATTACTATAACTGCGAATCAGATAGCTTTGACGAGGGTGAGTAGGTAAATACTTCGATGGAGGGCTTAGGTTTATAAGGAACCATATTTTAGGGACAGCGGGTGGGCGGGGGGCAGGGAAATGTATTTTTATTAGAGCAACAAACATCTCAAATAGTAATATCATACCAAAATAATCATATCATTTCAGATTCGATGATGTAAAAGTTCTAATATCGAAGTTGTACGAAGCGCTGCACGTTGAGGATTTCCACATACAGAAAGAAAATGATCTCCAGGTTCAATTAGAAGCTTTAAGGCAAGAAATCTTACCCTTAGAAGAGGTGGGTAACATTACGATTTTTTACCTGTTTATTTTCTTCTTTCATATTTTAATAACAAAATTAAGTATGCGCTTGCCGTTACTTTGGATTTTTTTTTCAATTTTCCGTCGAGATTATTCGAGAACGAACTTTTAATTAATTTCTTCCCGGTCGATGATGTTACGGTATTCCACAAACTGTTTTAAAATGACCTCTTTCTAGCCAAGTATTTAATTAGTATCTCTATAGCCAAGAATGAAAAGGGAGAAATTTGTGTACAGCGCACAGTGCAATAAAATGTCTCTAGTACAGTGAACACAACCTTTATTTTTTACATTACAAATAATCAATTTCCTTACGGTAATATTTACGTGTACCAAAAATGTAGTATGCACAAGAGAAAGATCTACTATTGTAGTTGTACAATACACCAGGATAATTAAATTGCAATAGTAACTAAATGCTATTAAAATGGGTATTGGGAAGAACGTTAATCAAATAAATAGTTATTATTTCCATTGATTTTCACTTAGTCTTTCATGTACCTAATCTCGTGAATATCATCTGAACTTGATTGGATTGATTTTCGCGTACCTACTTCTCAACAAGACGATTGGCATGCTTCCAGCGCGCCAATCTACTAACAATGAAATGTGACTGCGACAGGGAACTGTACATTTATCATCATAAACTTGGTTTTTCTTCCTCGTGGTTAGAAGAGCGATTGAAAAACGATTTAACGAGAGTTTCTAAAATACTGATAAATAATTAATCGCCGAAATTTTGGAAATCGCAAACCTAATTATTATTAAAAAATCTACCGCAAACTCACTCTTGACGTAGGTAATTCATCAATAATGTGGTTTGTACAAGAAGAAAAGGGATTACGTGCTGCAAGTCTGGTATTTTGTATACTTCGGATACAAATTCGTCTTCGATTATATGAAACAATTCGAGGACCGGCAGTCAGCCATCCAAACTATACCTATGTCCTGTACCATAGAGGAAAGTGTATCTATCCTCTATTTAACTTTTAACGTAATTCAAGAGAATAAGATAATTGATTTATTTATCTCATTTTAATGGACTTAATCTATTTCTGTAAGTATTTAATTGTGTTTCTTGTTTTAGCAAAGATTACAAATTGAAATGGTTGCAGAAAGAAAAAATAATTTATTGTCGTGGACAGGGTTAGGATTAATGTCTATTCAGTTTGGAATATTAGCACGACTAACGTGGTGGGAATATTCGTGGGATATTATGGAGCCTGTAACTTATTTTGTTACATATGGTACCGCGATGGCCGCCTACGCTTATTTTGTACTCACCAAAGAGGTATGCGCCGTCAAATCTTTTCATATTTGACCCATCTTGTTCTAGGAATACATACTGCAGGATGTGAAAAATCGCCAACATTTATTAACGTTGCATAAAAAATCTAAGAAACTTGGCTTAGACTTAGTAAGATACAATCAATTGAGAGACCAAATTAGTACTTTAGAATTAGAAATAATGCGATCGAAAAAAAAGTTACGCAAGAACCAACTACCTCGTAAAACATCGACTGATGTAAATACAAAAAAGGAGAAATCGAGCGAGTCATAAGAGTCACCTGAATTTTAGCTTAAGCATTTTGGTTTATGTCTCTATTACCTAAAGCATTCATTGTTAAAAGTTTTATTTCACAATGGAAATTTAGAAGCACGCATCCGTCCTGAAATATGTTTGGACTTAGAAATGCATGTTGGTTCTTGTTTTGTTTGATCGGAGTGTTTAGTAACTGAATATGCTCAATTGTTGTTTTTTCTTACATAGATCTATTTTTGCTATAGGTACCTACCTTCATTTCAATTTTCTTCGCATTTTTAACTACAATGTAAGATGCACACTTACTTATTTACTATTATACCTAACGCTTTTTCTAAATGCTATTGCATTCTTGCACATTTTGCTGTGATTTTATATTTCTAAAAAAATGCACATTTAATAATGAAGTAACACAATCATATTGTCTAGGTAGAGAAAGTTAAGCAAGCAATTTGAATTGCCTAAGTACTTGTTAATTGTTGATAAATGCACGTACTTTTTAAAAGGTGCCAATTTCATTAGGACTTTCTATTAACGTTATATACCTACCTACCAAACATTTATTTACAACTTCCTTTATTATGTACCTAACTACTTACTCATTAAATGTTCAACTAGTTCTACCTTGTTACATCTTCCAATTTTATATAAATACAAATCTTCTAAGACTTGCCTATTATGATTAAGATTAAATAATTTCATATAATGAAGCAACATTGATTGAACATTGAAAGATGCGCGCTGCTTTTCATATAAACCATCACCTTTTTCAATTCAATCTCATGATCAAAGTACAAGATTACTGGCGTTTCCAATTACTGTAACTAGATACATAGCATAGTTCGAGGCATACTTGAATTATCATGTCAAAAAATGTTAGTGTTAACTAATGTTACCTACATCTTACCCTTACTTCCCTTTCTCCTAACATACTTATATCGTGCTACAAACATACTTTGTCAAGGATGAAGGTCTATATGTTACCCTAATTCTATTGTACTATACAGGGTGGTGACTTGCATAACGCATAGTAGGGATTTCAATGTAAAATTCATAACATGCGATTATTGGTTCCCCAAATTATTTTAGAGCAAAAATGTATTAAGGTATTTTGTGGAAACAAATTTTTTACGTCAATCAACCGTATTAGTTTTCAATTTTTTGCATAATAAAGGCGGAAAATTGGAAAAATAAAACCTTAGACACCATATAGTACATTCTTGGTTGCCTCGTGCAACTTCAGCAGCAGCTCCCGCGTAAACCATTTCACCATTTCAATTTTCTCGGATAATAAATACATTTTTATTTTCTTTAACAAATTTTATAAACGAATTTTCTATTACAAGCAATAAATGTGATAGCAAAAATAACAGAAGGGTTAATTTTTGTTTTAGAAAATTCCATGGCATCGCAGATTATTGAAAAAAATGCTAAAGAAAACACTAATAAATATGGTTGATTGGGGTAAAAGAAATTTTTCTACAAAAAACTTCAATACATTTGTGCTCTAAAATAATTTGGGGAGCCAATAATCGCATGTTATGAATGTTACATTGAATTCCCTATGATGCGTTACGCAAGTCACCATCCTGTATAGCAATTTGCATCTCTTGAAAGTGATTTTTATGTTTTTTTATACTTTGTAAAGATCTGATTTCAATTTCTGTATTTTATTTTTGTGTGTTCCGTTTAATAAGGTAGATGGAATTTGGAAACGCCATTTAAAAACTTCATTAGCATTTTTATTAAAGTAGTATTGATGCGACAAACGCTAAACGTTTGTTCTTACTAGGGCTGAATAGTTAAATTGATGTGTTTTCTCACGCCCATCGGATGGGAAATTTTGCTGTATGAGTATCATACAATGCAAGTGTACTAAGCAGTTAATTTGGTTTAAGAATCTGGAAATTATACCATGTAAGATTGCCGGGTTCACATTTATGACGAAATTTATCTAATATTCAAACATTCTCTTGATTTTTTGGTGCCCTTTTACGTTTTTTTGTACAAATGAGGTATCAAAAATGAGTTGCTGTCGAGCCACCTTTGGAATTTTTGTTTACATGAAAAATCGTATTTAACTTGAACTTCCTAAGGCGACTCGACAGCAACTCATTTTTGATCGCCTATTACTTACTGAATTGAACCCCCGTATTAAAATGCAAATGTAACTTAATAATTCAGCCTTAGTTAATTATTGTAGTATAATGTGATTAAACAATTGTGATATCCTAAATGATTTACTAGTAACAAGAAGCGATTGAACCTAATAATGTTAAAATGCTGATGGGTTTGTAGTTGAATGATTTCATCTTTTTAGTTTTATTACGTAAAACGTTTACATATTTGTTGAAATTCATTTTGTGCACGTTTCAACAACTGCTTTACATGCAAAACAAAATCCTGTCTCTGTTGAGTACTACGAAAGTGCACAATGTGAATGTATCTATTGTGTAAAATCAGTCATTTGTATATATATTCGAATCGTTGCATATAAGTATTTGATATTGTTACCTAAAAATTTTCTGAAATATTTATGAAAAATAAAATTTAGAAATCAAAATGGCTGTTTCTATTTGTCATGAATATTACAAATGTTGCTTTAGAATGTCAAGAAATTATTTCCATTGCATATACACAGATATGCTTAGGCATGTTTACTAAATTGTATTTTCATGCTAATTTTTATTTTCAGCACTTCTTCTAAGAGCTGGCTTAGTTGCTGTTCAGCTTGGAACCATTCCATCTCAAAATATATACAAAATAATTTTATATAATATTCTAGATATTGCGATATCTGTTGCATTTTTTGGCACCGTTGGAGTTGTTTTTGCATTTGGGGATGATAAACTTGGTGTAATTGGCTTCAAACCTTGGTTTTCATTGGATAGCATAAATATTTACAGTATAGTAACTGGTAGGTATGCTCTTTGTTACTAATTAGTGTCACTGTTGCATTTTTGATCTATCACTTGAAAAAAACAGTGTGTACTTCCATTCCATTTGAAGATAACTTAGAATTAACCCTATTTAAGATAAGGCTAGACATGCAACTATGCGGTATAATCATGGTCACATCAAATGCTCAAAAGGGCAGAGTTCAGACTGTTATTATCAATAAGGTCTGTTCTTCCACTATGCCTATTGTTAACTTTGTTTAACATGTATGGAACGACAGTATGTAGTGTCAATACTTTATTGTTATACATGATTAAACAATTTGATTTTGTTTTATAATCAAATGAGTAAGAAGATTCAGTTTAAATTGTTTTGCAGAGTAGATTGTTAAATAGTTGGGCAAAGAGTTATAGATAGGCGATATAAGAAAATGATCTTGTATAAAGTGTAATTCTATGAAGTGGTATCGTAACAAGAGCCTTGTGACGTATACTTACTCCATGAATATCTGACCAAAACTTGACTTTTCTAAATAATTGTAGTGGAATTTTGTTCATATAATACAGTGTGGCTGCATGTAATAACTTTCTGTTATACCATAGATTAATCCCAGACGGGAGCTTTGCATGCGTTAAATACGTTTTAACATCAATGCCGCCCAAACAGGGACCATGCACGAAGTACAATAGTTAAACTGAGATAATGCAAGAGATTTGCATAAGATTATTTTAACTTTCTGATTTAGTATATGACGATTTTGAAATATTAGGTCTTTTCCTTCCTTGTTCATGTTCAATTATCTAGTGAGGTCGCTTATTGAAAAGATATATTTACCAGCTGGATACAAGCACCAAATTTTGAATGAAGTGGACCATAACGGCTTTAAGATGCTTTTAAAAAAACGGTTTAAAAAATCAATTATTTTTAATATCAAAAAGTTTTGGGCCGTCAAAAAAATTGACTATTTAAATTTTCAGATTGTCAATTTTTTGCGTAAAGGCTCTCAACATCCTAGCACAGGAGATACTAGTCAGTATTTTATACATATTTGCATGTAGAATTTCATACATTTTAATCAAAATCAGATGTTGTATTGTTATGATATCGAGTAGGTATGTATTATATTTATAAGTAACCTACTGTGTGTTGTAAATAGCTGTTTGTTTAAATATGTCCGTGCAGTTAAAGAAATTATTGTTTCAGGATTTTCTTCTTGTCTAATCGCAAATGGAATTATTACAACATGTCTAGCGGGACGCATGCACTTTTTTGGTTTTGTTCTTTTGAACGTGCTACTTTCAACGATCTTACAACCCATGGTGATGCATTGGGTATGGCACAACAGTGGATGGATGCAAGCAAAAGAATTTCTTGGTATCAAAGTGTCTTTTATGGATTATTTTGGATGCCTTGTAATTCATATATATGCGGGAACTATCGCACTCGTCGGGGGAATATATCTTGGTGGACGTCTTATTTTATTAGAAGAAATTAGTGAAATGTCGATTGGTTTAGAATCACCTAGCAACTCTGCCATGGGTTACATTTTTGTAATAATAGGGTTTATCGTTTTTGCACCGCCACTACTATCGCCAAAAGCAACAGTAGTGAACAACCTTGTAGCGTTTGGATGTGGTATGCTGAGTGTAAGCGGATTACAGTTTTTGGTTTGCAAGCAAGACGTAACTTATTGGAATGTGCTTAAATGTATACAAGGCGCCGTTGCAGCAATTACAACAGTTGCAGGCGGAGTTCATTTATATTCCCCCTTAACTACAGTATTGTTGGCTTCATGTGGTTCTACAGCCTTTTATTTTGCACAAATTGTACTGGAAAGTAAATCATCGATCGAAGATTATTCTAATGTTGTTGCAATTCACCTTGTATGTGGATTCTTGGGTTTAGTAATGGTCCCATTAATCATAATGCAGAATGTGACTGGGATGGTTTTCTTCCTGTGGCATATAATATGCATTTTTGTAACTATAGCTGTACTTGCTGTAGTAATTGTTCTTTTTTTATTTCTTTTGCATACAGCAGGAATACTTAGAAGTACAACAGATGAAAAAAATCATCAACGATCACTAGTGGTTGCCAATAAAACTACACACAAAAAGTGTTCTCAGAGGCTTTTCCATCTGAATTTAAATGCGCCACAGATCGAACCAGGATCTAGGAAAAACTTCAAACAGTCGATTACTATTGACGCCTAAAATATTGAAAATCATCATTTCACTGATGGGAACAAGTCACAGGATTGGTTTTGAAGCTATAAAACACTCATTCTGACATTGTTCTGCTTTTTACAATGGTTTATTGAAATAAAGCTATTGTTGCCTTAACATATCTCTATTATATGGATTTTCTTTTCTGCAAGAACCACAGACATAGTCAGGCTCTCAATATTGTCTAGTCTGAGCTTGTCGGGGTGGTACACAGTCAGATGCACTAGTTTAGTTTGTAGACATGGAAACCCTGTGCAATCTGCAATTTGGTTGGAATCAACTGGATGCAAAGCGGTCTCATGATCTCATCTTGCGAGTTTTCTGGACCTGGGAACCCATCAGTGGTAATGACTATGACCAGCAGGTAGGGCTGTTCTGGAACCCGCAATGCTAGATGGCCCAAATGTTTACACTATTACACGCTTTAATAATAATGGATTTTATCGATTAGGAAAAAAATAGTTCCCCTGTCTAAAAAACGTGTAAAACACGCTTTACTTGACCCCGTATACTTATTTTGGAAATGGAGATTATGCAACAATCATTACAAAAAAACTTTTGTAAAAGCATATTTCTGATAACTAATGGTCGTATGCACCGACAAATTTAAGTGAGGCTTAGCTTGCACGTAGCGTATAATTCATGGCAACAATTATTGCGACAGTGATTGCTGTTCACTGCTTATACCTAGTTTAAGAGTTAGCCCATACCATTGAATTTATAATAGCCAACACTTTGCCGTCGCGCTGGCAGAGTTAGTAGGTACTTATACGAATTCACGTAAACTGGGACCAATTTGTTTATTGTATAAATTCAATGCCAATACTAACGATCACATTTAGTCACTTTTGTCAGTTGTAGTTGTCTGTACATACAGATTTGATACCATTTTGATCTCTTTCAAGTCGCAGCACCCTATAGTATGACTAACGAGCGATCAAAAATGAGTTGCTGTCGAGTCGCCTTGTGAGGTTCCAAATACAATTTCCCCATGTAAACAAAAGTTCCAAAGGTGACTCGACAGCAACTCATTTTTGATCGCACAGCATTTAGTATTTTGCCATGATATATGAACTGAATAAGGAATAGGCACTATTCTTTTTTCTGGCGTGGGAATTTCATACCCACAAGAACATTTCTAAGAGGGCGCCAAGGGGAAGGAAATGTGCAAGCCGTATTATTATTATTAATTTACGGTTCACAGTTTTGTTTTGGCAACCCCGTTTTACTTGGCAACCGTGTAAACGTCATCTCCACATGTTGGCTGGTGTGAATTTAGAATTGGTGTTTTGTTTATTTCATTGGCGTCTTTCAATTTTGAAATAAGAATTTATAAGCGAAATGAGTGGAGATTCATTGCAAAGTGATCAATTTGACACCCTATTCTTATCAATAGCCCAACATCATGAGAGAGGGGCTATTCAAGTGAGTTCAGATCCTGTAGAAACACTTAACCTCAATTATTGATTTTTCTTTCAGTTATTGGACACCTTCGTAAGCTTTTTAGGCCGTAAGACAGATTTTTTTACTGGTGGTGAAGAAGGAGCATGGGAAAAAGTAGGTGTCAATGAGCGTGGTCAACGGGCAGCAGCTACTCACGCAGCAAGGTTTTGTCAGTAGTTGTACGCAATTTACTTAGCGGGAAATTCTTATGCTTATTTATGATTTGTCACTGTTGTCCGCTGACTCCCGCTGACCGCGCCCACTAGTACCATACGCATTCTTTATCGAATTTGATTGTAGTTGGTCATGTCGACATTTCGAAAGCACGAGAAGATCTGTCGAGAGAAGCACGTATCCACGCATCGAGAAAAGCGCCAACATGAATCGGCTAGTAAGGTTGAAGAAAATAAAGAGATAAAAAAGGCAGAAATTAAGGAATTAACAGATGAGGAGGCCGAAAAATTACAACAGCAGTTAAATTCGGAAAAATCGTGCGATACCAAACCAAATGTTTCAGAAATGATCGAGGAAGACGAAGATGAGTCAGAGAAGGGGAAATTACGTCCAAATACTGGTAACGGTTGTGATTTGCCGAAGTATAGGTGGACTCAAACTTTGCAAGACATCGAGGTAGGTTTTTCTTATTTTTTTAAAATTAAATATAACAATATTGTTACTAGTTTGTTTAAAATATCACAGTAACATTAAGGCAAAGCTTAAAAAATTTCTTTAAATACCTATTATAATTCATAAATAACTAATATAATTGAATTGTTCGCCGCTAGTGAGTTCGTCCTCTTGCACGCACTGAAAGTTTTATCGTTAGCAATTCCTGTGTAATATTTTTCTATAAGGACATACCTTCAAGACACAAAATTGCAACGAGTACTCCTACTGTGAATAGAATGGACATGGTTATGATTAAAATTGAAAGCTGATGTTTGCGACAAAAGCTTCTTGATTTCATTTGTGGTTTTGTGTTAACATTCACTACTGTGAAATGCATGGAACTTGCGTTCGAATCTGTATCTGTATCTTGTTTCTTTGTTGGCATTGGTATCGAAAGGGTATCCTTATTGACTTGCTGTAAGTAGTACTGAAGATTACTGTCCCGATTTGTGCCGTGCTTTGTTTCATGCTTGTGTACTTTTGCTAAATTGGCCGCAGTGAGTAATAACGATCCAGATTTTATACTCTGCAATGTAATGAATTCAATCCAAAGTTCATTATCTTATAATAGCTACATACCTGAGTACTATTGTTGCTTGAAGTTGAGCCTTGAGAGCTTCGAGCTAGTGTGGGTCTTGGTATATGCCAACTCTGGTGGAGATCTGCAGAGATCTGCAAATGCAACAATGACAGTGTAGTATATTCTGTGGATGTGGGTAAGAAAATGGGAATTAAATAAAATACGCTTTTCCTCCAATCTATTAACATTCCCAATTGATCACTTTGCGCACGCGATTTGATTAATTCAGAGACTTGTTATAACTAGACTGCGCTTAACGTATCTAAGGTGTTGTCGACACAGTATGCAACACACAATGCACTGCGGGGCAAAAATCGCTAAGATGATGTGCAATATAATGAAATAAGCTGTTATTTTAGATGTTCCGTCCATTAATAATTCTTGTGATTAGCTCGAATTAGTGAACAGATAAATTTCTGTTGAGAATAAACCAATAAACTTAGGTTAACTCGTTCCTATCAACATGTACTCTGCCGATAAATTTTTAAATAATATGCTGATTTTCAACGAATAAAAGTTTAAAGGGCCAATGGATCAGAGCCATTCGAAGAGAAAAATGTACTCCCACCATAGTGCATTTGCGGGGAATGAAGCCGATTTTAGAAAGGTACCGACGAAGGTGTTAAACAATAATGCAATACCGAACGTTTTCGACTTTCCCATTCAGTTAAAATAACGTAGAACTATTATTCGACATCCTTTACCAGCAAGACAACAGCAGTACCTATTTGCCTATTAGGTGTTTTCTTACAAGAAAAATAGCTAAGTCTATGTTCCATATGTGCAAGCGCAGATGCGATATTCGGATCGGGGAGTCAGTCAAAGCTTTTAACTAGAAAAAATCGTGAAGGATTGTTGCACGTATCAAGCGATGCATTAAAAATTTGTCAAATTGCTGAAAATGTGTTCAGGTTTTTCATTCAAACCACACCACACCGCGTTGTAAACAAAATGGTTATCAGCAGTCTAAGAAAAACAAATAACAGTTACAGCCCATTTGGGTTTTTGGGTAGGAATATATTGAATCAAAATCCGCTAAATAATCATATCTTACTACTTACAAGTTTAGTTTTAAGAGTATATTTTCCCATACGTGTTCACGACCAAAATACACATATAAATCAAATTAGGACTAGAGTAAGGCAGTTATATACCAATTTAGTTCAAATAAAATACTAATAAATTCCATTAAAACAGTTAACAGCTATATGTTATCTTTTTTTGCTACTAAAATTTAGAATAAACATGGCTAAAGCAAGCTGCAGAACGTACGTCTGCCCCGCGATGAACAGTTGGTTGCCTATCCTATCTTGACAACAGGCGTTTATAGTAAAATCTACGTTACGCGCGGTCTAGTTATAACAAGTCTCTGGATTAATTCTTAAACGATTGTAGGAAAAACGTTCTTCCTGACATGCCCGCGAAGGTTATTCCGAACCTCAAGCAGGTAATATCCTGCTTTCGTTTCGGAATCGCCAACACTATTCTGTATCTAGTTTCAAATGCTCGATTTTGATGATCTTGTACAAGTTTGAGTTCTATTTTTTGGATGCAAATTTGAAGTTTTAAAATGGTTAAAGGTAATCGCATAGGTACCACTAATGTATTACTCGTACATTTTTTGAGGGGAAAAGTAGTAGTCAGGAATCGGGAGGTCTAAATTCGAACGTGGTATATGAACTCAATGGTACCTATACATTTTTAAAAATAGGTATCTTGTGGAGAGTTAGATAATATATAGCTTAAACAATTTACAGAGCGGTTGTTAAAAACAACATTATCTGTTTTTTTGTTCTCTGAGACTGCAAATATAATGAGCTTTCGAATGATGCATAAACTTATTCATAAGTAACTCCGGACAAGCAATGTAAACGTAAAATTTCTAATTTTTGAGAAGTAAGAAATTTTTTACAAACTATTTTTTCTGGCTATTTTGTAATTCCTGCGACCATCGCCTCCTCAAGATACGTATTTTTTAAAATGTATATTTTCAAGTGCAGGTAGAACTATAATTGTAGAAGCATCTTTTTGGTACCCAGATTCCTGACTGTAGTGGTTATATGTACGGTTTTGGTCAGAAGTAATGTCCCTCGATTGTCTCAAGTGTAGTACATAAATAATACACCAGATCTCCTGTGAGTTTTAAGCTCTTTTCAAAATGAGGAAAATCCCTAAGATTGAATTGGAATAGAACTAAATCAGGGAGGAACTGACATATTAGTACCTTTTCTGCAGTTGAGGTATCTGAGGGAGAACATTACTTCTGACCACGACTGTACATGGTGTGGATACGGTGGCAACACTTATTTAATCAATATTTTGAGAGCATAATTTTGATCAGTGTATCTTTGAACTTCTTAAATGATTTTTGCGTTATGGCGCACAATCAGTCATTCATTCGCTTCCTTAGAGAATGCACTATGTTATCCCAACGTGGCCTATTCAATTCCAGCTAGTTTGTATCTTTTCATGTAAAGGTCGCTTGTAGAAGACTTTTCTTGGGTTTTTGTGTATGCTTATTCGGTTTTTGTAAACGTTTTTCGAAAATTTTTCACGAAGCTTCCCGAGACCCTAACAAACTATTTCCGAATGGTTATCACTTTGAGGGTTCAGTGGGAACCCATTTTATAAGGGTTTGAACCCCTGAAAATTGACTTTTTGCCATTTTTTTCAGAAACTTGAATTACCAAACAATTTTTTCCTCACTACAATTTGGGCAATGAACAGACCTTTAAAATGATACTATACATGTGTACCTTCCACTTCCGGTTGCTTTTTATTTTATTTTTATTTATTTTATTTATTATCCCGCTCTTGTTCTGGGTCCTCAACAGGCTTGCGCCCAATTACAGAGGGACCCGCATAATGCTTTTTAGAGGTGCCTGATGTAAACTGGAAGTTGTACAAGGGTAACAATGACAGATACAGTGTTAACGCGGATTTTCTGCATTTTAACTGCGATTGCGTGGTTTAAGACCAGTTATTCTTAAAACTGGTATATTTAATGTATTCTGTATAAGCCACTCGAAGTGGCAACCTTTCGCAAATTGTTTGTTAGGATCTCGGAAAGTTACATGCACAAATTGGTGCTTGTATCTGGCTGGTAAATATAATCTAAAAATTTTACATTAAGTGACCTCACTATTAGGAATCTGTTAAAAGAAAAAAAAGTGAGGTCGCGAGTAAGGACCATTTACATTAAATTAAAATTTTGGCGTTATAATGAGTGGAAGTGTAACATGATTATTAATGCGTGCATATCTTAGTGATTGCATCAGTGCTTATGCATGTATAATAGATTAGTGAAAAAAACTGAGTCTGTTGGAAATCTGTGATTATGAATGTTTTTCCCGCGAAACATCGGACAAATCAAATCAATATGCTATTTACTATTATATTTTGTTGTTAGTAACCGTTGCTAATTTGCTATTAAGTATTGTAGTTCAGCCTATGTCGTTGCTTGTAAATTTCTCAAGTTGAGTATGTGTGCTTCTTCATAGAATGTCACTGACGTTTACATTGAAGGGGAAGATTGAATGATTATTGATCTTTTTTATAAGTACGTTCTCTGATAGAATTAACAATATTGTAGTACATCACTTCCGTAAATACAATGCGAGGCTCATTAATTCTGTCAGTGACCGTACACGTATATAAATCTAACAGACGTACCATAAAGATTTATGACATGACCACACCCCCCATCAAATTTTATTATCAAAATCGTGTCGCGTAGGTAAGCCTCCATATCAATCGCATTAATAATTTTCGTCTGTATTACGCGTCTAAATTACTACTGGGTGTAATAAATTTGCGTAAATCATAACTTGACCAACCTTTGCGCAATAAAAATTAGTTGTTAATTACGACCACCTTAAAGTTAGACGTATATAGATATTGCCCTTCAATTTTACATTCAGCGACCTTAACAACTGACGATTTCAAAGAACGCGCTCGTGATTGTTTATAATACCGGAGTATGATTAGCTAAATTAGGGGGTCATTAAATGTAATTTCACACCGCATAGGAAATTTCTCGTTGGGCGTCTTTTCCTTGTTCCTGGAGTTTTTTCAATGTTCTTCCTCTTGCAGGAGAAATTTCGATAAAACGATGCTCTAGAAGTGACCAGAGCCCATTAATTGTTCGCACCAAATCTTAATTCCAATCTCCGCGATGGGCCTATAGCTATCCTGTGTTGTATTTGATATTCATAGGTTTGCCCAAATTACATACTCCATAATTCCTTCGAATTCCTTATAACGTAATGGCATTTAATCATAGTTATATCAGATTTGAAACTGAATATTTACCAAAAAAAATGACTGAAGTTTAAATCAATTGAGTTTACCGAATTTTTCTAATTTGAATTTTGTTAAATGTTTCAAAACTACATTTTTTTAAATTTTCAAATACTCCTCCGTCGGGAGTTTTTATGTAGATCGTTAAATCCGGACACTCAACAATTTTAAAATTCTTTTCTTCGATTTTTCCTGTATTTTCTGAGTAGTCAATTCAGTTTCCGTTTTTTTAAAAATTTTAATTGTCCTAATTGGAATTGTTTTTTTTTAAATTAATTTACCGACTTCCTATATATTAGTGGAACTGAACGACCTTATTAGGTCACTTCAATGCGTGTCATGTGCTAAATTGGCGATTGGCAGTGGACCTCGTGCGTATGTCTGACTTCATCAACACTTCTTTGAGTCAGTCTTTAGTCATTTATCACTACAGTATCGATTTTGAGGTTTCCAAAAATCGTCTGTGGTGGTTTGTACACATCTTTGGTAAACATATTTCTGATTTGGGCGAATGTCTTAATTTCAATAACCATAATTTGCCACTTATTAAATCGAATTTTTGCTTTTAAGACACCGCTACCAAAGACTATGAGAATAGTCTTTGCTGCTACATATTTCTTTTGTATGCTCCACGCTTTCATTGCAAAATCACTTATTAGATTTGGTTTGAAATTACACACCTAGCTCAGTAAATGTAAACTTAGAAAAACCTTGAAAGTTTGCAATTAATCGCTTTTCTTTTTGGTTGAATGTTAAAGAGAAGCACGGCGCATCTTATCGCGATTATGAAAAAATGACTTTCTTCTATTGCGTAAAGTAATTAGCATTATAGTTTACGTCATAGTGAAATTCAAGCGGTCCAGTAATTAAAGTAATTTTTAATATGCGCAGGGTGCGACGGTGTCTTTTTCCGTGTATTTTATTTATGATGTTACGTAACTATTAAAATGACCTTCACTTGTTTCTTGTCGTTTTTGGAGTAGGTACTGATCGACTCGGATTAATAAAATTACGGTGTCTTTAATTTCCAATATGTACTGTAATAGCTGTGGGTGATCTTAATACGAGTACTGAAAGTAACACCAAACATCCGCGCGTAAAGCAAGGCCGTTTATTGTTTTCTTTTAATAATAAATTTGATAATCTCAAGGGAAATCCTGGGAAAGTTACGTAAAAATTGTTCCCGTGACATTGTCCCCGTTTTTTAAATTCACTTAAAAAAATAAGAATAAAAAAATACTTACGGTATTTGATACAATACTTTTGTTTTCCATTTATGTTAATCATAAACAAACTATTCGTATCCAAATATCACCGTCGTATCACACCACTCTCTATACTCTGCAACAGATACTGTTCCAGCATCCGTCTGGCATTTTCTTTTAAAGTGGTATTAAATACCTACATGGTTTGCATATATCTATCACATAGGCAAGCGACCACTCGATTCATTTGGTGTCGAATTTGTGGTGGGATTTACTACAGGTAAGTCTCTGGGGGATATTAATGGAGATTCAGTCACTTTTCTACTCACGCAATGTGAATTACTATTATACGATCGCATTTTTACGAAGTACGTCATTTGTTAGTCGCCGAACGTAATTACATTTTGATGCGTTTTTAAAGGTCATAGGAAAGTTGGGATTTTCATTATTTTAAGCCTTTTTGCCGTATATTATTGACACATCTGCTTTTTCTTCTAATTAACATTTTTTATTATTAAAATGCAAAACAAATATGTATAGTTTCTGTTCCTTGACGAAATTCAGGATCTTGAATCAATTGGGAAAATACGCACAACCGGATTTTAAAAAAATATGTAGGTAATTCTTATCGATGATTCATATGTTTATTTGTTAGATAGTCCTCTGAAATTTTAAACTAGCATCTCGCATTGGGATATTTGCGATAGATCTTAAGTATAGTAGTTGACAAGTTGAGGGCGATTCTCACACAAGAGACAGAGACGCGTGGCGACGGCGTCGCGTCACAGCAATTGTTGCTTCCAGAAGTGTGCGCGTTTTCAAATTGTGTAATTCAGTAATTCTCACCATAGTCCCACTCGTAACAGTCGGCAAAGTAGAAGAACTAATCGTTGCTGGCAAAGACTATCCAGAGCCATGTTTTAAATCTGAAATGAACCGAGCCGTCATCAAAAGGACAATTTGTCGCGCCGCGCTGCTTATGTGAAAATTGAATCTAACATCGACGTGCAGCAATTATGTGTGAATCGGATTATACAGATACACTCTCTTTCAAATAGAAAGAATCGGAAGTCGATACCAGGTCTTATCGGCTGAGCTATAGCACGGACCGACGGACGGACAGCGAGCACATAAGCGTTACCACTTCGTGAGTTGCGCTAAAAGTGTAGAAAAAATGAAACAGAAAATGGCTACAAGAATTTATGACACTCGTATTCGGAAACGTGACTTATAATCCGGCTCATATTCAATAGCGCTGATCCTTGAAGCTTGAACTCGTAATTCTCGAGTTAATGACGAGAAACGGACGGAAAAAATCAATAAGGGGATTTCTTTCGAATGTTTTAGGCGGGAAAGCGGTCGATTTATTTTTCGTTAGAAAATTACTTTCTTACGGTAATTGGTTCTTTATTAAGCGGCAGAGCAAAGCGATGCAAGCTTTATAGGGGAGTCGATGGTGGCCGTTTGTCCGTCTGTCTGTCTGTCCGTGAACACGATAACTATCAAACGCTTGGACCGATTCGGTTCAAACTTTGCACAGTTAACATATATACCACATGTAACAAGCCAATTGAAAATTGGTCAAATGCAATTACTCCGTGGGGTCACACTGAGGTGCTCTGCCGCTTTTCTAAACGCTCCTTATGGATTGTCGTCACATGGACAGCTTATATAATATACCATAAGTAAGGTCTCCACTGCTAGGTGAGGAAAACTAGTGAGGATACCGACATGGACGCAGGACGAACATGCACCCGACAGCCTATCTTATCTAGTTCGTGTGTTTAGTTTGATGCGATCATCCGTTATTTTTTGTTTATTCTAATGACCTCAAATAATCAGTTGCATTTTTTTTCACTAAACTGTTGCAAATTTCTTCGAAGAGGTACAGGGGTCAATTTAAATTCATAATGTGAAACAGTTAAACAGCGAATTCGCAGACCTGCACAATTGCCATTTTGGTAGCCATTTACCTTGGGATCAGGGAATGCTATAAGGACGTAGCGCGAGCATTGTTTTACTGCCCCTGGCGACGGGGTTTATTGCCGAAGCCAAGAATGAATCTGTATTTCTCTAAATTATGGCTTATCTATGTAAAATCTATATTTTTTTGTAATGTTTTATTACTATGTATTTGCAATCAGTATAGATAAAGTTATAATACTATAAGCAAATGCATTTGCTGGAACGGGGGTTTGAATTTAAATTTAAAGGAGCTGATATCCAGTGATAATCAGCTCTGTTGTTTCTTAATATGATGGGTAATCGTATTCTAAATGGATTTAATACGCCTTTCATACTATGTATTTCATTCGAAAATCGAACTTTCGAAAATTTATATAAAATCGGAATAATGTAAAAACCAATTCGAAGACGTGCCACCCGGCTCTCTAATTCTTATGGTTGCCATTTTTTTTTGTAATTTTCGAGACATGTAAATGCGTAATATAATTCTTAGGCAAGGCCGACTCGAAGATCGTTTTGCTCAAGACAAAGACATTCAACTAAAATAGATCGAGGCGGAGAAGAAAGTACGAAAAAATTGAATCTTTTTTCAAGGGTGTAACGTACGTAAACGAAACCGACTTTTTATAAATTCATTGCCAATAATATAATTTGAAACTTCTGAAAATTCACCATTGAGATTATTATTAATCGTTGAAACGATCGAATTAACCTTAATCACGTGGTGAACTATTTAAAAAGAGTGTTAGGATTGTTGGAATGATGAAGTTAACTTCGTTATTTGATGATTTAATTGACGATATTATACTTAAACCATCCACGTTGATGCTGTGAAATATTACATTTATTACCTCCTTCATGTACATCTGCAAGGCCACTTCGTTGTATGCATGCTTGATGCTCGTTAGAGTGTATACCTACATTTCGTAGGTATCACTTTTGTCATCGATATCGAAAAAAGACGACCTTTTTAAACGTTTCAACTTTTGGTCAATTTACGTCATCTAGCAGTAATTTATCTAGAAACCTCAAGAAAGCTAATACAGCGAATAATATGTTTTTCCGGTGTCCGGAATATGCGAATAAGTTTTGTTTTCACAGATTAGATATACTTCCTGCGAAGCAGGACGGGCTCAATTGGTCAAACGTAATGTCTCAGGGCAACTTTTTATCAATATTAATTAATATTTTATAATTTGGACTATAATGATTTCCTAAAGTTTCTTTTTGGTCAATATGTTAAAAAATTAATTGGAACAGGCTAGCGACCCGACCAACGTTTTGGAAGGTCCCAACGCGTTGGAAGACTTCTGTATACCCTCGTTCAGTGGGAGGCCGCCTCTTACACTTTTATTGAGGCTGTATCTCCACTCTTCATTCATCATAAGCTCTCCTCTTATAGAAGTTACGTTTTCGGCAGTAAGTGGTCCGGGCCAAAAGGGTCTGTGCAGATGTGTCAATAAAGTTCCTTGAAGTAATGTAAATAGTCTAAATTGAACATAGTTAGGTAATTGATGATTTTTTTCCGAAGGCTAGTTCGTTCTCTATTCGTTTTGTGCATGATTTTTACGTACGTATATAATCACTCCTCTAATTACACACGTTTAAAGGCCGATCTATACGAAACCGTATACCTGCATGTATAATAGGTAATTCTTATTTACCCGCGTAGGATAGCGCTAATTTTCAAATGAAAATTACGTAATCGTTCTTTCCCCCGAAACGGTCATACCAACATCTACCAAATAGAGACGATTAAATTTTGATTATAAGACAATTTCCATAATCTCTTATCGTATCGATTAAGGCGAAGAGTAGGTAATCAAAAATATATTAGAATAATTCCTAATTTAATCTTCGTTGAGATGCATGTTAACGATGTGTTTACAAACTAATCATTAATTTCTCGGAGGAAAAGGAGGTTGTTTTAGCTATAATAGAACCAAGGCTTAGGTATATAAATGTAACGCGTTCGATCTAGTACATGCTTAGTGTAAATTAATTGTGATCATATTTCATTAGCGAAATCCTTGCGTAAAAAGCTCCTATTTGGCGAATTTACATTAGCGTTCGCTGTATTAGTTGACTTTACATTGATTTTCTTTTATATGTAGTACATGCAGCACGTATAGATACGATTTAATCAACCTTTCTTTTAATTAGTCACTTCGTATTATTAACACCTAATTGGAATTCGACCGCTGGCTATTGATGCAGGATTTTTAGGGAATCTTCAATTTTTTTTAATTTGAAACGTCTGTCTAGAAAAATCTTACATTCGGTTAGCCCGCGGCAACGAAGTAAAAAAAATCGTTGGTTCTCGTATTGGGCTCTTTAGCCATTTGTTTAAAATTTTACGTCAAATGTGAACCTACGCCTCAAGTCCCCTGTACTTTAATTTACTTCAGAAATATGTATATTTAGTAGACATAGGGATTAACGTTGTATTTTCTACGTCTACTTGTAAATAATAAAATCTCTTCTGAAGGGTTTTATGCATCCAAACTAATTTCTTAAAACAAATAAAGGTCTGACTGTCATATTTATTAATTTGAATATTGTTGCTTTGGCAACAGAAAATAAATCTCTTACGGTCCTTAAACTGTTACCGCCACTATATCAATTGACAATATCAACTTTTTCTTCAGTTGAATACCTAGCACACGAACGAAAATAAAAATACGGAAGCCAAAGCAAAAATATTAAATAATTTTTATTTTGTTTGGAATTAATTTTTCTATCTATTTTTGTGGTCAGATTACCTATAATAAGAAATTTCTATCCCCGACACGGGTAGTAACCACTCCCAGGGTGAAAGCGTGTCTCGAAAACGAATGGCCCGATGACGATGACAGTTTTCTCTCGATACGTATAGTATTAAAAAAGTTGTGCTAGATGTAGATGAGAAAAGGAAATTAAGGTCTACTCAAAAACTTGGCATTAATAAAAAAAAGTGAGTTAGGTACTATTTGAAAAACAGTTGTATCACGTCGCGGCCCTATAAAACACCGTGATCCATATGTTGTAATAAATATGGAATAATATTTGACATTTCCTACTTCCAGTAGCAGTGAAACCTTGATCAAATTTAAATGTTTCACGATTAACGATACTCGAAAATATTACCACAAATATTAATTTACATAGAGCACCTTGATCTGCATGTTTACGATCCATCGCGGGTTTCCATTTTTGGTGTTTCTGGAAACATTAGATAATATATTCATTCTGCTTACTGTAAGATGTGTTTTTAAAATACTAAATCAAAAAAATTGTAAGTAGATATAACAAAATGATTAACTTCTGTGATTTGAAAGCTGTGTATGGGCTAAGTACAGAGTAGTAAGGCTAGATTACGATATCTGCAAGAAAATAATAAACCGCTCACATCAAATCATACCAAATCCCAAATATGTCTCATTTTTCTCCTGAACAACACTTCAATATCATTTAGCTATGTTTTAGAGGTACTGTGGAGAAAGAAAGGGAATCAATTCTACAGTGTATGACAGCCCTTATTAAACCAACTTTATACTTTGACATATTCCTGGCGTCGCGTCGGCGTCTTTCCCAGGATCAACTGTCGTGGGGATGCGTCCCTCTTAAATCAAACATGTCTGTCTATTAATTCGAAATCAGTTAATCAACCGTTAGAGATTAATAAATTAACTGTTTCGTGTTACAGTTTCGTTCAATGCAAAAAAGTGTCTGGATTACAATACAATAAAATATCGGGACCACAAACTCGTAAATATTAGTTTATCTTATGCAAATTACTTATGGAATTTGCATAATCGCGTGGTTCCAAACGGCTCGCATCTGCGATGAACCATCACTCATTTTCTCAAACATAATTAATCTGGAGAATGCCGCCTCAAATGAACCTTAGGGCTTTTTGGTACAAAAAGCAAGGTCAATTACATACGCTGTGCTGTAATAATTCATCCTGTTTGCGTATATGACCGTGACACTTCGTTGTACAAAAGCAAATACCATACTTTGTTGCATATATTCCAGTTTAAAAATTAATAATTCGGGTAAAAACGCCTTCGTCCCTGAACGGCATGCAATCTTGAGATCCTGTTCTGCATCCTCTTAAGGCTTGTGTTCTTTGTAATTGGTTTGCTAATGTTGCAAGTATTCTCGATTGGCAAACTGAATGCAGGGCTTGTATATTGTAACCGGAGAACGAAGAGGACGTGTAACGTGTTGATTATTGGACTGCATTTGTTACGACCAATGTCCTTGTTGAACACTTGGTAGTGGCTTCCCGAAAGATGCGAATACAAGATACTGAGAAGATTGGTATTAGATAAACTATATTTTTAATTTACTAACAAACTTGGTTTATGTAAATGAGTTGAATAAGTGCTACTTTAGCGCCGTGTTAAAAATATATGACAAGGGCAACTAAATCGTTTCGAAAATATCTTCGTTTTCTTCCAAATGTTATGAGTCATCGATATTCGAAAATCCGTATTCAGTGATTATACCCTGGATTAGGTATACTGTATTTCTTAATTCGTGCGGTAGGATAAAAAGGTTAGTTGAGATCACTTTTATACGGACTGTTTTAAAAACCCTATTGCATTATTTATTTATTAGGCCCGAGGACATTACAGTTAAATACCTAAGTATCGGTTTTGGTAACGGTAGTTTCATTTCACGTGTGTATTTTTAACGTTTGCATGGGTTCTCGAGCAATCAATCACATTCTTTCAAAATATGCAATCTATTTCACAGCATTGCCAGACCGCGTTTTCAAAGATAAATAATACCCGATGTTGGTAGATTTCTTCGTCACCCTTTCCGCCATACTGATATTGGGTAACGAGCAGAGCAAATAACGGATTATAGATTTGAATCTGTAGCAGCGATTGGAATGATTGATCTTTTTGCTCTGACTTGTTGAGTTTGCAAAACGATCAAATCTCTAGAATTTCAATCACTTTCTTGATAGACGAAACAAACAGGTTAGTAATTTCTTATTGACCGTTTTGGACCAATACACAACAAGGTTCAACTATTTCTTTGTGTAGCTCTATACGGGCGAGCCGAACACGGATCGAAGCGGAAGTTCTCCAAAACTGCGAATATTTTAGGTAGAATGTATACATGTTTAGAAACTAGTTCTGATTCTGGTTGATTCATTATATAATAACTTTTGGATTTAGCTCGTCGGTACATTTGATATATCAGAACTTCTTAAAAGTATTTTTTCGAAAATTTAAATCTCCTTCAAAGTAAATTTCACGAAGACGAATTTAATGATACTTTATTATTAGGGGATGAATACTTGAATTATGCAATCACGATTGGTTTTTGTTGCCAAGGTTTTCTTTGAATATTCACAAAAATTCTAAAATGGTCATTGCCAATATGTACAGTAAATCTAATCATTTTCTCTTTAGGTTGAAGGGGATTGTTTTAATATCGTAGGTAGTTTGGAAAGTTGCCCTGGATGACGGAGTTCAATGCAGGCAGGTGTAATTATGAGAATTATGGAGTCACTTTGAATGAATGCAAAATATTGAGACGAGCTTTACCAATATGAAAAGCCCATTACATAAATTTTTGATTATTGGTATCGTAAACGTTGAAATTGCAAATCTGCATGCGACATTATATTGTATCAGGCAACAAACGCGATTTCGTTCCGATGGTAAATTTTCGTATGCATCTTGTTTTTGGAAAATAGTGTTACAAAGACCTATATTGAGTGTGGTAAGGAAGTACACAATAAATCATTCTTGACTGGTTTAGAGTAAGATGTAGCAAACTTGGCCAAAAACGACCTCTTCCTTATTTTGCTATAAAATACCTACTTGCAAATGAGGACAGCCTCTTACTTACCATATTCATGAATTTAAAGTATTGTAAATAAAGATTAATGAGTAATTTCCATTTTAAATGTTGTCACATGGTAAATCTACTTTAGTAATTAAGTAGTAGGTATATTATGATGCACAGTCTAAACACTTTAATTTTATATCGATTCGAATAAATTTATTAACATTGCGTTCCCATTGAATTGAGACCTTGGGCACCTAAATGTTGCTACTTCAATAATAATTTCTGTTACATAATTAAATTCCGGTTTCCATTATTCTCAAAAACGCCCAAAGATTATTACTCTCAATTTAGCCCTTATAATAGGCGGATCGGTCGTGTCGATAATAGTACCGTCTACCTCATTTTGATTGCCGGATCTTCCTCTGGTTTAATTACGCTGACGTAACGTTTTAGTTAGTTATGTTTAAAAATTGTTACATCACTCTCAATTTTGATTTAATTATAGAAAGAAGTGATAGGGAGATTGTTTTGCTTCAAAATTATTCAAAAAAAAACTTTTGAATACTACACCTACAGTCGTCCAATGCATTGTTTTACATACTGGATTTGTTTTGTCACATACTTCATTCAGGCGTTACATTGCACTGTTTTATGATCTATAATGTATATTACAGTGACTTTATTGAGACAGTGGCGACAATAGATGTCTCATTTTTGATTGGTTGGCACGCGGCAGCCATTTTGTGGCAAAATTTCAAATTATCACCTTATATGTCATCTATTCTTGGTTATTTTCAAGTCGTGTTTTATTATTTGCAACGTTTATTTATTAGTTTTGTAATATACGAGGGCTATTTTTTTCAAGTTCCGTTAGGTTAGCAATGGATACTCAAATGTCATAGCGACGTGGGGCTTGCGCAGTGGTGTTCAGTAATCTATCTGTCACTATCTACGAGCCGAGGTGGCCATTACGTGGCGTAGTTTTGGTGTGAGTGCTGTTTTACAATTCGGTAAATTCGCCTTTTTATGCAATTCAGTGTGATAAAAACACTGCTGCCAGCTGATAGTGTATGTGCGATTTATGATGGTGCTATAAAGGAAGAGATCCTATTCTTGAATGGACTTGAAACTTGAAACGACCACAAAAGCCTTTGCTCATTTTAACGACTTTACATCTCTTACGATTTACGAGCCCCCATAGTGAAAATGAAAAAAAAACATGTATAATAACATGTAATTTTTTAAAAATAAATACGTCTTTTGTAGCAAAACCAGTTTTTATTTTGTAATCGAGGAAGTGAGCAATTTTAATTTTCAAAAAGGGAGCGCCATGGAAAGAAGTTTGGGAACCACTGCTCTAGTCACTAGTTGAATTGACTATAAGCGACGGTATTACTTGCAAAAAAAAGCAATAGTAGCCATTAGTAAATTACTTAGGTGTATTCTTTAAGTAATTTAAATCCAATTTTCTAAGGGATGTATAATAATTAAACAACTGAGGTGAGAACTTATTAAGCGGTTCAAGGTGCAAATAGGAAAATTGCACATATGTATTGTTATAAAAGAACCCTAAACAATACCAGTTAATTAATCTGATAAATTGTAGTAATTTTTATATGTACTTACAATCCTATAATTAGTAGATCGCAGTAACAAATAGGTTACCTTTTGCGTTGTGCCTTCCATCGTTAACTTCACCACTCTACGACACTTATCATAACAATGTTCAGCAAAACACGCATCGAAAAAATTTTGTAATAAATATCATTGGCCAATCACATTGTGAACATCGACCTCCAATTACTTATGTGATGTCTTCATTACGAAGCGTTGACCATACAAACTTGACAATGATTTTTGTGTTTCAAGAATTTAAAAAATCTTTAAGCGTTGGTAACGCTCATTGCAATCAGTAGCATAGCATTTCAAGGTAGTCTTCTTGACGAGATCTGGAGTTTTGCAATATCATGTTTATTCTTGTCGTACCTATATCCTTTTTACGCAACGATTTACGTAGATACGGTCTGATTATTCTGATAAAGGTTATATTAATACCGACTCTTTCAGATTCAGAACTATCATAACTAAAGATGATTCTTTCTCAATAGATATATGGAAGTGCGTTCGGACAAGGTCACATCCAATCTTTTTGCATAATTGGCGACACGAAATTGTAATTAAATTATAACTAATGAAATTCATTACTCACCGTTCTCCCATTGTACATGATTATATTTGTTAATAGAAAAACAACATTAAATTCTTATCACATACCTGTGATTGGGTCAAGGTATCTTATCGAAATTGTTTCTAGTAATTATTATGGAAAATTGCGACATTTTGTGCTTCGCCGTATGCAAATATATAAAATTTGTGTCACTAAACAAATTTCAAGGTTTGTAACCAAAATTTCTGTTACAGATTCGTATACCTTTAAACGTAGATTTTAAAGTGAGACAAAAAGATGTAATTGTCAATATCACAAAGAAACACTTTACGTGTGGTGTCAAAGGACATCCGGCTATTGTTGATGATGATTTTCCCCACGAAATCAAGCTAGAGGAATCTACTTGGGTTATTGAAGATGGCAAAAGTATTTTAGTAAACTTGGAAAAGGTCTTACATCGGAAAGGCTTTGGCTTAATTTGGATATTTAAGTTTACATTGTAGATTAATAAAATGAACTGGTGGTCGAAATTTGTCGTTTCTGATCCCGAAATATCAACTAGGAAAATTAATCCAGAACCATCAAAGTTAAGCGATTTGGATTTAGAAACAAGAGGTATGGTGGAAAAGATGATGTACGATCAAAGGCAAAAGGAATTGGGGTTACCAACCAGTGATGATCAAAAAAAGCAAGACGTCATTAAAAAGTAAGTAACAGATTACCTTTAACCAACGTAACTCATCCCCTCAATTTTAATATAATAAAAACAATTTACTCTTCAGATTTATGGAGCAACATCCTGAAATGGATTTTTCTAAATGCAAGTTTAATTAGTATTAATAGATGAATGTGTTTAATATGCACCAATTATACCCGCCTACATTTAAGTTGCTCTTTCAAATAAACAATTTAAACCAATGTACCACATGTATTTTGATCCAAACATGTTACAAACTAACTGAAAACTCACAATACCATGATAAGAATCAATGTGATGGTCCGTCAAGAAACTGGTAGGTAGGTAGGTAGACAATGGTCGTCTCTTGGGAATGTAGGGTTAACTCTGGCCGGTCTGCCAAAAATGTTTTCTATGTAACTCATTTATTTAGACCTCCTGCAAGATATCCAAACCGTAGTTTCTAAATTGTTTTGAAATTTTGAGGAAAACGATCCAAAACATTTGGAAAATTTGTCCCTAAAAGTTGGACGTTTTGTTGGTGTGGGCACGCGAAGGTATATTTGAATTCCTCCAGTGGCGTATCAACAATCCACACCATTATTGTAGATGTTAGATATTAATGAATTTATTATTGATACATTAAGCAACGTTACGCCGGTGTTTATTGTTTTGCAGGTTTCGTGCGCCCAATCCGAACTTCCGCTAGCTCCGTCGGTATCTGATCTAATTCCCGTGAGCCAATCATATTTTTCATGGCAGGTCTTAGTAAGAGCGCTGTTTGATTTTCCACAAATTGCTTACGTCACTTAATGATTTGAAATCAGAAAGGGGACGTTTCAACCACCGAAAATTATATGAATGTTATTGGTAATATTTACATTTTATTAAACATTAGGTAAATAATGAAAACTCAATCGGCATACGTCGTTCTCGCCGGTATCAGAATAAGCCGCTTTTACACTTTTCAATTTAAATTTTTAAATTTTACATTGTTCTAATGTTTTATTTCATTCAACTGTAGAGGCAGACACACTTTTGCCTCGCGCTTTCATTTTACGACGCGCACCAAATTACAGAGTAAATTTGTGGACAAATCCTACTTTAATTTATTGTTCGATATACATTTATGGTGGCGGCGTTACAATTTAATAATCGTAACGTACCAAATTAGAAATTTACAGGTGAGGCACTACCTCACTTACCTCATCGGAAAAGCCGCCACTGCAGCACATTGTAATTGCTATTGGTGTAATAAGACCACCATTTTGTTTATTTACAATGGCCAAAAGTAATCAATATTGTACTTTTTACGGTTGTAATAGTAATAATGCACTTGCAAAAATTTCATTTGCAATTATTACATTTTAAAGAGAAAGTGTAGTTCGCATTTTATCACGTTACTTTTAACGTTAATTTTAAGTGTGATCAGTGTAATTATTACCTATCCAACCAACAATAAGGATAATTTAAGAAATCGTCGTCTATACTTACAGCATAATATTTCCAAAGTTTTTATTTGTGAACAGTGCAATTACACAACAAAAACTAGGAGATGTGCTATACGTCATGCTCTGACACTCTTCCCTTTGAATAACTTTATACCACTGTTATCAGTGTAATTACGCTACAATTAAGCGTTCGCTTAAAGCGTCACGTATTAATACACTTACAACCTTCTCAAACATTTGATTTGTGAACAGTTTAATTGGGCTACTCAAGACAAGCATATCTTAAAGCGGCATATTCACATTGACGGATGTTACGGGCACTCTGTGCGATTTGGTATTCCACAAATAGTAAGAAAAATTGAAATTGTTATTTATTAAAGCACTACACATCGAAAAGTACCGAATGTTTATTTTGTGGTCAGTGCAATTATGCCACAAATAGTAAGGCTGTTTTAGAGCATAATCAACGTAAGGGAATGTCGGCGAGTTGATGTACAGTTGTACGAGTGCGCTAGAAATTGAATGATAAATTGTGTCATATCATACATTTCGTTATTAAGATTTACTTTTGCACCACCACGATACGATCTTCTCGTGTAATGCAGCAGGCACCGTGCATCCTGACAGCACATTGCATGCCATAAATTTTGTAAATATTGAGTAACGAATTTCTCTATTTTTTTGTATATCAACAATATGTATATTTTATGTTGTTGTACAGCTTTCCTAATATTATAAAAAAACATAGGCATTGCATTTGAAAAACAAAAGTTGTATCGTCACAACACGTTCCTTCATTAGAAAAATTTATAAAAATTATAGCCGAGAATGTACTTGAGATTCGTGTGGGCCAATTTATTATCGGATTACAATTACCTATAACCGGGCAACAAATTGCATGTTTTAAAAGATTTATTTTTACATCTTTCGAATTTGAAATTACCGCACATAAAATTATTCGTTGTTGTAAATATTTTTGCGAACACATATTAATAAGTTGTTAAAATAAATGATTTCATCACCAGAAGAAGACCTATAACAATTTAGAAGTGCAAGATTGTAATTCTTATTACTTACTTTAAACGAAACAGTGCAGATTTTAAAGTGTTTTTCAACACAATACTCGTTTAAGTCAATTGATGGAGTTTCATAGATTTTAGGGCCACACCACTGCAAGCATGAAATTTTCTATAATAAGAATTAACTAGTTCGTCTCCATCAATAACACAATTCTCTAAGACATTTAACTCTACACCAATTTCAATTAAGCACTACAAATTCAGGTTATTACTTACAAATTTCAGTTTGAAGTAAATCTAATTTACATGGATTAATGGTATTTATATTAAGTAGTAAAAGAACCAATATTTCTTAAGTTTTACAGACCACCTCCTAGGTACATAGGTAAAAAACAGATTCATTGCTGTTCAGCAAGACCAAATATCCGTATTCATTAACATCTTTAAAATTTCTTTCGTAAATTGAAACTTTGAAGGAAGCACGAAATAGATCGTTTTTTTTATACAAAGGTTTAATCACTTGGGATGACCAATCATCATATTTTGGATATACTGTGGGATGTAGGTAATATTAAATACTCCAAATTTATTGCATATCATTGTATTAAAATTGCATATGAATGGTGTAAAACAATATGGAATTTTTGCATTTGCGACATTTGCTTAACTTTTTTAAAAGAATATTTAAAAAAACCTATAGCAGTCTCTAACGGCATTACCTTTCAATAAAGCAAATGCACAAATTTTATATATTTCTATATGCACATATCGTATATGGGTTGAATTATGAGTATTTGTGACAAGTACCGAATATTTACAAATATATAATACTTTACAATCTTAGAAATAATCAACAACCAAATTTAACATTATTCAGATATATAATGTTTTAGTCAATGTGCATCCGTATGGTAAGCTTAGCTTTTTGGTATCTATGCACAATTTAATTAATGATAAAATTTTAGTAACTATTTTGGCACTCCAGTACCTTACACAAAACTTTTAAAAATATCTCCTTAACAATAACAACTTATTCATCTAAGTGATCAGCGAAACGATTTGTCTTGCATCCCTGATTTAGCTTTAACAGCAGAGATTTATAGGAGTTACCGGAGAATTTTTAACTGAGGTAGTTTTATCCAAATAAGATATTATTTGCGCAAAAAATTAGACACATACCTACTTTATTGCCTTGACTCCCTTGAAGGTTCAATACTAATATTTAAAAAAAATCTCCGGCCCTCTTTACAATGACACTTAATCAAAATAGCTTAGAAAAAAAACAATAAAAGTGGAATCGCAAGCACCTCACCTCTCCTTAAATTATAAGTTGCGCAATTCCCTTTTCATATTTCACAAGCGTAAGAACATTGCTTTTTAGTTCGTTAACAACTACATACATACAGGATGGTTCCCTGATATATACAATAATATTAATATGGTAGGTTAAAGTGATTTAAGCTCTAATATTCACTAGTGATTATAGGCTTATAGGCGAAAATATTAAATTATCACACATGATTGAAAAATAACAACCTATTATTTATTAGCTTAGCTTACATATTAAAACAGTGCATAGCAAATTGCATTGCAGTGAAGGCATATTCGAACATAAATAGGATCGTTTTAAACAATCCCTGATTGAAAGCGGGCTCACTTTTTGTTTTTGTTGTTTTTTTTTCTTATTTTATAGACGTAGAGACATTTTGGCACATCTACTATTTGTATATTCCATAATGGCTCTTGTTAAACCGAAACAAATTAATAGTGACAGTTAATTTGAATGTTTTCTAATTTAATTAGTCACATGTCTGCAGGTATTTGTTAGCAGTAAGGTTCTATTAATTCGTTTCAGTCTTGTTCTTTGGTATTTTGTAGAGGAAGATTAATCGCCATTGACGCAAGATATTTATGTGTATGCTGTATCTATGTATATCTATAGGTATAAAAGGTTTGAAAATACGTCTTGTTTGTAGGTTCAAAATATATAGTATATACCTATAATATTATTACTTGTTGTATATTTACATGTTTGACTTTTATTCTATTAGGTTTTGTAATAATTGCCTCGCCCTCTAGATTTGCACTAATTCGGGTCACCGATTTGATCAAATATTGAATTACCCACATGTATAATATGCAAACAACCATTTATGTACACATATAAAGCCTTTTAATATACGAAAACTGTACACAACAATTAAGTTTTAATGAACATGGTTATTATTACAATGGTTTAAATGCATATTATATAAAATCTATCCCGAGTTGCTCTTGAATTTTTCTTTAAAGAAAAAATTACAAAAGCGACCCACCTATTTGCTTTCCTAGATGTGCGCTTCCTAAAAAAGCCGCTAATGTTTTGATATGTGTCGGTGTAAGTATTAGTCGGTGACATTTCCAGATCCTTCGTTTGGTCCTGGAGGATCACTAGGGGGGAGGCTGAGCAAATGTTAAGCTTCTAGAAATATAAGAGCGGTCGGTTTAGGCTCCATATTACTTTTTTTAGCCTCTACCACTAAAAATTCAATTTCTTCTCGATCTCTTCTTGCAAATGATTCTGCTATTAAGCGCGCAACGTCTTGATGTTGTAAACCTTCAACCCGTGTACCATCTACTTGCAAGATTAGTTGACCCACTTCCAATCCACCTGCACTGTAAGCAGCGCCATTCTCCTGTAAAAATTATACATTGTTTTATTGTCTAATACCAACACGAAAATTCAAATTTTGCTCTGGCTGTGTTGTTGTGTACGCAAAGAGTGCAATTCCATTTGGAACTTTTACAGTGTTACACAGGTGATAGAAAGACAACAACAAAAGCCCGAGACTATACACTGTGTCTATAAGGGCGTCTATCGTGGGGATCTCTGAAACCACGATGGTCTAATTAGAGGAAAGATGCGCAATTAAAGACCTGTTATCATTCTGTAAAGAAAACCAGATAATATCAATTACTTCCAAAGATATGTCAGAAAAACCTAAATTGCGGAGTACACCTGCACTCAAACATCCTCATCAGGCGAGAATACCTATCATCAAGTGCAAAATTTGTCTGTTAGGTATTCTCGCATGAATAGGGCGTTGTGCGCGGTTGCACCATCCTGTTGAAACCAACAGTTTCTAACTTTTGTTTTTTGTGTGTGTGTGTGGGAGGGTGTGTGTGGTTGTGCACCATATATTGTGATATTCGTAATAAAAAATGCTACTTGATACTGTGTGTACTTTCTTTACGGACCATATAAAGTTGATGATGATTTCGCCGAAACGAAATGTTGTATTGCAAATCTCTCAACGGTGTCTTGTTGAACTCAAAAAGTGGCAATGAGAAAGTGTTTTTTATTTTGTTTAATTGCGCAACTTTTCTCTAATTTGACAATCGTTGTATCTTCTATGGTTTCGGAGATCGCCACGATAGACATCCTTATCTTGGATACAGTGTATATGGACCACATCTTACAAGCGATTAGACAAAGGAACGAGGAAATGAGATAAGTAATGATTTGAGGTGTCAAACATCCATAACGAGAGCTTAAACCAAAATTGGAAAAGGCAAATAATGAGCTCTAGCAAAAAATTAGAATTAAAGACAAAGAAAAAAAATTTCTGTGGCTAGCACAAATACCCGCACACTTGCGTATGCGTCATTCTGCCCTTTTATAATATGTGTAACAAATTTTGTTCGAATTGGTTCAGCCGAAAATGAGAGTACAGGCAGACAGACCAATCAACATCATCAGGATTTTGTCAGTACACAAAGAATTTGATGAAAGCGTTAAAAAACGTGAAGAAATAACATAGTATTGAAAAGGACCAACATAAGTGGAGTATTAAGGACCATTGTTCAACTGGAAGCTGACAAATAATTTTTTTCCTTGTCTACTTTTTCTAATATACGCGTAAGCATGCATTTGTAGTTTAATTATTGATTTATTTTTTTAATTAATTAGATACTATGACATTGGTATATTGTTGGAAAGAGAATTTTTTACAGAATATGTAATAAAATTTTGAATTACCTATTTGCTGCGCCTAATGTATTTGATTTTCAATTGTTTCTTTGGTTATAACAGCTAATACAAAATTAAATGTAGAACAACTTGTCTTCTATAACATTTTGTCATATCTCTAACAGTAGCCGAGATTACCCGCTGTGACTCCAAAATCAGACTGTATAACGTACGTATATAAAAATACATATCTTAAAGGAAATCGTTTGTCACCGGAGACTAATGCATTCACGTAAACTAAGTAAAAGAGTGACATTATCATATGTGTGAAATAACTCACGTTTATGTTAATAATTCTTGGGAGTGGATGTTTAGTGTTAGCACCGCCTTCTATTGCTATTCCCAAAATTGGTTTGGTTTTTTTAACCGTTATCCTAAGATTACCCCCTTCATCGGTTACCACATTAGGACTATCATCTCCACCTCCCGAAATACCGTCTCTAGATAATCTTTGCATTGACTGATGCCTTCGCATTCCACCTTCACTCTCAATAAGATTTTGTCCGTCTTTCATGTCGAAGCTTCTGGACAGCTTGTGAGCCAATTCCTGCAAGGATTAATGCGTTACTTTAGTCAACGAAATGTGCAAGTGGTGATTGAACGTCATGCCGAAAAACAACGACCTTACCAACTACGACAATTCTATTCTACGCAGTTCATCTAAAACGGCACGCCTACTAAATTACGACCAATACGTTCTTAATTAAATAAGGGCTGAGATTCAACATCTCAAGTACATCTAATGAATTCAGACAAAATTTATGAATAGTTACATATGTATCCCATCTAGGTATAAAGTGATGCTTTAGCAAACAGCCTGAAATTATGAACCGAGCGAGGGAGGCGAGTAAGAGGTGAGTTTGAACAAGTTACTTTACTTACTTGTAGCATACAAACTTTTAGTGCCAACCGTAATTAAAAAGAGTCACAGTGACAGGAAATAAAGATTTTGTTTAATTCTGAAAATTGCTATAGTATTGCTCTACTGACACTTGGCAACAATATAGTAGTTTACATACCATTTACAGGTTGAGGATTTTTTGGTGACATCAATTAAAAGATTATTTACATTGATAAAGTTCAAAAAAGCTTCGCGGTCGATTTTCAGAAATCAGAAGGAGGTGCACTTCAATAGGTGCTACATCCACCTGGTGCCAAATTACCACGACATCGTGTCGGAGCCGAAAGTATTAAAATTTTGAAAATGCAATTCCCCTAGGTCACAATCAACACCACTCCGGCTGATCGATAGTTAATTTGTCAAAAATTCCTCGAGCCCAAGACGAACCCCTATACAGTCGATTGATTTTCGTTTTCTTTTGGAAAAACTATCGTCGTCCCTCGCGATTCTGGAAATTAAAAAAATTCTTCTCTGTTCTCGACAATTTCGGGTTGCTCTTAGGAAGAAAAGCAAATTGGGACGTTCCACAGCCTTATGAGACGACAAGAGCGAGACACTCTATTTAACTGTAATTTGTATGCAGATAATAATTTCTTTATTTAGCATTCATTAATGTTTTTAGTATAACTATAGTATTGTACAACCCTGAAAAATATTGAATTTTATTATTTCCCTTCCATTGCTCTTTCTATTTAAGATAGAAAAACATTGGTATTTCTAATAAAATACTAATAAGGTCTAATATTCACCTCAGATTCATATTTATTATTATGCGCACCGGTAAAATACCTATCCCCCTGACGAAAGCGTGTATGTGACTACTAAGACTAAGAAGAGGAGTTTGAGTTAGTGATTATTGTTGTGTTTATAAAAGGTGCAATTCTGTTATAGTGCTGGATCTATACAATATGCTGAAAATTCATGCCCCATGCAGTGTGGACGGTGAAAGTTGAATCTTGATACCAAAAGAATAATCAAATCGTGTGAAACCGTTAATTCCAGCGAAAAACGCAGAAAATTGACTCAACTGGGTTTTTGTGTTAATACTAAAATAAAAATAGCACAAATGCACAAACACTACTAATAAACAACATACAGGAAAAACTGCTATTGTAGATACACACTGAAGTGTGCGTATATCTTGTATCGTTTTATTCTTTGACACCATCCCAATTAGCAATTTTAAAGTGGCCCTTATTACAAGTCTCCATTAAATTGTGCCAACAACTTCTTACTTTTACCTTATCAATCCCCGTACGTACTTTTTCCTTCCGAAGTAATACCTAACCCAGTACCTAGAGGGCTGTTGCTAACTAATAACTGAGAGGTAAATTCTAGTGTGGAGAGAATTTTTCTTAAAATGTATACAAATGGGCTATGTAAGCTTAAAAAAAGAATGTCAATGCATGGAATAGATGCCTATTATAATTAATAAGCAACCAAGTTTGTACACGTATTTTTTTAAATAAAAATATAGTCGGCTATGGAAACAGTAACTTAATAAATGTATTATTAGTCTTTATTATTATTAGCATCAAATAATGATTTTTTAACACAATGATTTATAGGAAAGACAAAAAAAGAGTGAAATGTTAACATGGTTTCAGAGCAATAAGAGTTTAGGAGCGTTTAGTTAGACGGTGCGAAACTGATTCGCGCCTCATTCCCGCTCGGGATACCGCGAATCTGACGAGAAGGCAGAAACTTAGTGATAATGATAATGTTTATTCAATAATGAAACATACAAAGTCTTTTTTTATCACGTCAGTACAAAAAAATATACAAACAAAGGCTAAGACAGTTTTAGATCTAACTTTTCAAATTCTTGGACAGAATAAAAAGCATGTTTCATTAACATTTTTTTAACCTTTTTTTAAATGTAGGTAATATAAGTTTGTGTAAGTAGGTATCAGTTGTAATGTAAAGTTTAACAGCAACAAGGCCATAACTTTTATGAGATTTTACAAGTCGTCTCGGTGGAAGTATCACGGTGTTACTACCTACTTCTGGTTCCATACTTATAAATTTGACTATGTGTAATCCACCTATCAACATTTCTGCGTGCAAAGAGTAAGGTTTCGAGAATGTAACAGCTAGGCATTGTTAGTATATTACTTTTAACAAACAAAAGTTTGCAGCAGCATATGCTGAAGAACAATTGCCCCAATGGGATTATATACTCGTACTTGATTTAAGATTGTTAAAACTTTTTTTTGAAGAATAAAGATTCTATTTGCTGAAGAACAATTGCCCCATATTATTATAAGTGTGGCAACATCACTCGCAAACAATGAATAAACTCGCAAAGCCCCTCGTTCTGCCAACCGCTCCACGTTTTGTCGGTTTTTTGGGCGCAAGTCAAAGGATCGGCAATTACGAGCGCGAGCTACGAGTATTTACTCGTAGAGCGCGAGTGACTGGCCATATAATCGGGCGAAGCGTCATTCTTATTTTTTTTAATGACGAATAGATGTCATCCGTCATCTCCGTTAGCCAAGACGACAAGGACGTATCTCTTTTTAAGAAAGAGATGTAATTAGCTATACTAAAAATGCATATAGTCAGCAGGGCGAAGGGCAGTGCGAGGAGCATAGTAAACGGTACGAGACACTTTAGCTCATTTGTATACATTCACAATGCATATAAATCCATATATAGGTAGCTATTTCCAGAGAACTGACGCCAAGGGATAATAAAATGATCGAATACCGGAAAATACAGTGGAATTTTTTCGCGTTTTGCATTTGTTATCAATATCATTCAATCATTGTCAAATTTTTGGAACAGATAACATTTATTTACAATGTTAAATGAAGTGTGGGTTTGGGAGGGGGTGGGGGGTGTCCCGCGTGCCGTCACTTCTGGGGCGCCACTGGTTCGTAATCCCTCAATTATTTTATCGGAAAATTGCGCTGGACCGAAGAAGTTTATCCTTGAAAAAAGAGCTTAAGAGAAATACGCGTTAGAATCTCTAGACAGATTATTATAGAATCTATAAAAAGATAGATCGCAGATTTCGGTCCATGGAGAAAATGGCATCATTACTCGTAATCGTCCAATCCAGAATTCTTCTACTTATGGAGGAAGAAACAGTATTCAAATGCTACCACTTTTACTGAAAAATACACCAAACTTTTTACCGACGACATCATCTGTGAAATCAACAGAATGCGTAGCCATCTGAAAGCTACATGTGCTGAAAAGTGAAAACTAGACGAATTTGCAAATCTTAGAATTTACTTTTTACTTGTTATTGTTTATTGACAATATGCCTTACCGTAGGAGCTTGGGAGAGGAGTCACGCAATGTTAGGATCGATAGAAAAAGGAACCTCCTTAGAAATCTATTATATTGATGTAGTAAATTTGAGGGATGTAAAGACACGTTGTCCTGTGTACATATCTGTTTTCATTATAACCCAAACCCCCCAATGTGTTAGTTTGCTGGGGATGTATGGGGCGCAATTTTCGTAGGTCGTCCTGAGCTCAGAGTAACTTGCTTGGAGATCCCGGGTGCGGTACAACTGCCATCGGTTTTGTATACTAAAATCAATGGATGTAGGTATAATAGTTACAGTCGTATGATGTGTTGCATAACGTAGGGATTACGTTTGCAGTAATAGGTATATGTAGGAACCAGTTCACATTCATCACAATTTATGTGGATAAAAGTAAAATTCGACAAGAGTAGGTACTAAAATAAAATACAAAAACTTAATATAAGGCAAACAGTTATTTTATATGCTGTATACGGTATATATAGTAAAATGTAGATAAGTACCTACCTACCTATAAGCTAAATTTAAGTGTGAGAATGTGAAAGCCTGTGATTAATAAATAAAATGACTAATTAGGGTTAATCTACGTTCGTCAAATCATTTTAAAAATGAGAATAATTTCCGCTAGCCGTGATAAAAGGCAAAATTTTTTAGTCGATTCTGATAAAGAAGGAAAGGAAAAATTAAAAAATATCGGCGCCACTTATTGCAAGAAGTTGTTGGCGTGTTAAGACAATGCGAGTATACAACTGGAAAAATAAAAAACTGCATAATAGAAAAACAAGTGTGCATATTATATTATCTAAATGCCGCATGCTATATGTGCTGTGAGGGGCTAAGAACTTACAAGAGGTCTGCCCCAGTACCAAGACTTGACTTTCTGCGTCCACCCGCCCAAGCTTGAACGAAGTCCGCCCAGGTACCCGCTCTGCAACACACTTCTTTCATTCACCTGTTCTCCTCATATGTTGGGTACCACCGAACCAACTTATCGCGATTAGTGTGGTACCATTTCATTATAAATGTCTTATATTGTACGAAAAGAATACGTTAAGATTGTAATAAATGGATGTAGGTTTTAAATGAAGAGTCACTCGATACCAAAACAAATCCAAGTACGTAAGTGGTATTTATCTCAATTGTTCAGTAATCATGTCTGAAATAGGAATGTCGATATATTAATAATTTTATTAATAATAATGCACGCAGAATTTGATTCCATTAAATTTATGCCTTCACATAAAATTTTTCCCAATCCAAAATCTCACTTAAAATTCACGGATTATCTAAAAAAATTCGTTAAGCCGCGTGTGAGCAACAGGCGAAGAGTGCACTTTCAAATTTGTTTTTTCTATTTTAATAGCCTTTATGGACATTTCATGCCTTAACGAGAACACAAATATGAAATAATTTTTAGTTTTTTATCGAATGACACCAATACCAAGTATGTAAGTGGTGTAGTTTCGAAGCCTCTGTCACTCAGACAGACATATATCATGAGCGCAAAAAATGCACCTTTTATTTTTTGAAAGTAAAAGTGCATCTAAAAATTAAAATCGTGGAATTTTGTCTACTGAATCCAAATCTGTAAATAAAAAACCAAAACAACATCGCACATTTCAAATAATAATAAAAATCCAATGTTGTTATATGAAACGTCCCGTATATTAATTTACAATATATGACAGCTTATTAAATTCTATACAAAAGTGCCAATTTGCCATAAATCCCTCAATGTCAACATTTAGTTTTTTTTGTTAATTATTAAATTTTTGTTAAATTGTCTTAATTAATATTGACTTTATTGGTATCACTGCAAAGCATTTTTCAGTAGCTTTCCAACGATGTGTCACAAGTAAGGGGTTGCCATTTAGGATTTTTGAAGAGGGGTGGGGGGTTGTCACTCGTAACGTCATTCTGGTTCCCCCTCGATACCCTCGAAACGGTTTTGCGCGATTTTCAATATCTTCTTTAGTTTGGAAAATATGGTCTAATGCAAGTTTTAAAATTGACTCCCTGTATGTATGCTAAAAGTAACTGCCTAAGGGCGGAGTTCAGTCAAGAATGGAAGCATGCTCTGCTCTTCCACTAATCGGAAAGTACTAAACTTATGAGAATCAAATTGATAGATTATTTCTGCTAAGTACCTACAGCAAACAGATTTCGTGAAAATTTGTCAAAAGCTAAATTCATAATAGGTAGGTACCTACTATAATTTTTTTCTAATATAATTCTAATATAAATTTTCTAATATAAAGAAGTAAGTACCTATATAAAAAACACAATTCCTTATTGTTTCTGGGGTATGATCGAATATTGTTATCACATTTTGTCATTTCTCCAAGAGGGCAAGACACATTTCGTCATTTCCCCGAGAGGGCATTACGTTATTATAGATACCCTTTGTGTATTTTTTGGTGGTTGATTGATTTTTCTAATAGTTTAAAAACATTATCAATGCGGATCGACATGATTGATTATATTACGAATCCAAACAAACATTTTAGGATCCGCCCCTCTCGGCCTCTCTGCCCCTTTCGTATAATGACTTAAAATCCGTCAATGCTGTACCTACACGTCAATTTCGTTTCCATCCCTTTAATTCGGAAGAAATGTTAAAAACAAAAATTCGATAAGTTTACCACACTAGAAAAAAATGGTCAAAATCGATAAAACATCGACAACTTTTTTTTGAAAGAAATTGTTCGTGATTAGAAGAAATCATATTACTCTCCACTATTGTTACTGATGCTGTCAAAGGGATTTCACTACCTGAACCTACTTAGTAACACAGCCGAAAAAAGGTTTGCAGACTCCAGCACCAAAACCAAAAGACAAGAGAAGAATATCCTCGAAACATGGAATCTGGAAAAGATCTCGATGGCGATTGAGATACAGTTTCGAACTTAAAAGTGTTAAATTTCCCCTAAACCCATGTAGGTACTACATAGCACGATTCAATAACAAATAATAAAAATCTATAAATGATATAACAATCTGGCTTTAGTAATTTTGTCCCGCTAGATTATGAAAATAACACACTGTGCGTCGGTTAGTTGAAACAGAATTAAATATGAAAATCGTTCGACGTCAAAAACAACCATAACTTAGATGTGCTGCGCTTGCAGTAGTTTGTTAAAAGATTCCAAAGCATTACTGATTTATAAAAATGTAATTTTTTATTTTGCGGATTTCTATGGTTTTGAAGAACTGAAAATTATAAGTAATCGTATGAACAGATGCAGTATTTTTTTCTCTAAAAAAACGTATTTAGACTTTTGCTCTAAAATAATTAGGGGAGCTAGGAATTGGCTATAAAGAAATTACCATTGAAATCCCCATGCTGCGTCGCTCTACGCACCACCCGGTATATCTGTATCATTCATCAATCTACTGTATCATTCATCAATTAATTTAAAAGATCGAATCCGAAAGAAAATTAAATCAATTACTCTCAATCAACTATATGCTTTTTAGGACTATTTTTCACAGTCAAGTGTCATGTAAAGTGACAAACGAGATATTCTCTAATGATGAATTGTTTACCTTTTGTTTTGAGTCTTCTTTTGTTTAATTATCGAGTGACCCTGTTAAGTTAATTTCCAGGCATTCTTAAAATTGGTTTTTACCCATTCATTCACTCAAGAGCGTGGTACGAGAGCGTTCATTCCTTGTTCTTTTTAGCAACGGGTCGGTATATATAGGTAATGCAAATAATCTTTACGCAATTCACACTACATATTAGGTATGATATTGTATTATAGGTAACTAACGGGCAATCAAAAATGAGTTGCTGTCGAGTCGCCTTTGGAAATGCAAGTTCAAGTTAAGTACGATTTTCCATTTAATAAAAATTTCAAAGGCGACTCGACAGCAACTGATTTTTGATCGCATAGTACCTACTTACTAACAAAATAAAGCTAGTTTGATTTGTTTATAAACGACTACATTATTACTTCTAATTTCTAAATACCCACTCAACTGATTTAACAACTAGCAAAATACACTAGCGCGTATAATAGATATAAACTGCCTCAGTTATTTCTCTTCACGCGGAAGTCGGAAGCTCACAGAAGTATAGTCAAAATTGACCGACTGTGAATTTTAATATATAGATTGCTTGCTGATAAATCCCAAGTGATTATAATGCTATTTCTTACAGTCAGTAACTGAAGATCTATAAAACATCAATGAATCTGGCAACACAGCGCTTACCTGGTCCTGATGTGTGTGTGTATGATCAAGGTAGGCATGAAACAAACAAAACAAAGTAGAATCAGGCCAACTAAGTGTCAGTGTGATTTCTACTACAACGGAGGTTAAACCTACGTCAGACACTTCAAACAGTTAATTACCATATTGTTTTAGTGTATTTAATTGTTAGAAGGTGAGTAGTATTTATTACATAAAATTATCGCTGCCGTTAGTTTTCAATGGGTGTATGCTCAGATTAACAATTGTGTATGTGAGGAACGGGATTCTTTCTAAGAGTATGTACGCTTTGATAATTATTTTCAGTTATTTTTGTAAAGTTTGGGGAGGAATTGAAGTCTCATAATCCCCTTGGCCACGGCCTTGATTTATTGTTAATTTTGGAAAACTTGATTGACAAAAATGACTAAGAGGAAATGTTCAATGTTTTACGTCAAAGGTAAATCAACTTCCGTAGGTATTATTTTCTTCAATAACTGAGAAGGCGTTCTGAGATAGCAAATTTCTTAAAATTAACGAATGAGAGAGCTTCAAATAATGAGCCTCAATTAAAAAAAGCTCGCCATTTGATGGTAATTTAGTCTTCAATACGTTGCTATTTGTTTAGAAATGTTCTTGAATGTTTGGAATCGTTATTAAATTGTTATTAATTATATAATAATGTTCGGGCCATTGATGCTCTGGTGTAGTTGTGTAAAGTAGGATATGAGCGACGCAAACGAGTTTTTCAAGTATTAAATACGTCTGTTCGTAGTGTGGAAATTAATTAGAAATACTTCGTTAAATGTCCAGAACACCTGTGTGACCTGGGGACCTGAAGTGAATCTAGTCACCGTAATACTTGATCTGTGATGCAAAATATCACGATGTTCCAAAGTCCGAAGAATTTTTCTTTCTTTTAGAAACAATGAAATTTAACATAATATAATTTCTATTAGTGAAAACAAATTTTACGTGATTAGTAATTGGTGAAAGTGGTTAACGACACCTTCTGAGTCGAGAAATGTACCTAGTGCACTATGACAGCATATAAATAGAAATCGACTTTAGTAACAAGTTGGCCGTTTTTTGTATACTGTCATGAGTAATCATTCCTCAAGATTGACCTTATTAAGTACCTATTGCAAATGTGCCTTCTCTATGAAGAGTATCTGGCTACTTGGTGTAGGTATGTAATGAAATAAAATTATTTCAGTTTTGCTTTCAATTAACGCTGCTATTAACTATTATTAGTTGCATGTTAACATGGGACAGAAGTAGGAAGCACGTTGCTAACTGCCCCATTCGATTTTCTACGCGATCTAAAACCATGGCCTGTCGGCCATTAAGTTTCCCAAATGAATTTCTGTACCACCTCAAATGTCGATTTTGTTTCACTTAAATTCAGGTCAAATTCACTGTTTTTCTCGATAAAAGACGGATTCAAATTCGAAAAACAGTCAAATTGTGAAGAAAATATAACAGTGAAATCGTTGGTTAAGGGTATATATATACCAGAGGGGCAAGTTGACGGCGCGGCGGGACATATAGGGAAATAACATCGGAAAATACATTTTCGGCAATTCCTGCTCCCCATCCTACAGGAAAAACAAAAACACTCTCGGATAGATAATTAAAATCGACATTTTAGATGTCACCAAAAAACCGTGCCTAAGCCGTTTTTTAAAATTATAAAAATTAAATAAATAGATCCAAAAGGGTATAGTAAAAAATTGGTTGACCATGATTTACCTACCGCATTTGTCACCTAATTCTTTGATTTAACGGCCATCTTTAAAAACACTCCAACATGAATAATAATTACAGTACAGAAGGAATTATTGTAAAATCGTTTTATACTGGGAATAATACAATACACGGCAAAGTTCGTGATTTATTTTCAGTTAAGTTTGATGACAGGTAAATCTTTTATAGTGTAATTATTTCACCCTTTCGTGGTTAAAGTGAGACGATAGTCAAAGGAAAGATTTTTTATAGTAGGTACCTTATAGCAAGTGCGACACGTCACTCCATTGACTCCATGGCCAACCAGTTTTTACCAATTTTTAGGATTTTTTATTATACCTACTTGTATATACATATTATATACTTATATATTTTAAACTCATCATGTGCCAAAACCCTTAAGGGACTTATCAGTTTAGTTTCATTTTCAAAGGTTCTCCATATCTTTCTAACTGACGCTCGTCAAGAATGACCCTGTATAGTTGGTATGTTACATAAAACGGTAAAGTACTTTCCAATTTATTAATAAAAAAATATGGGGAGGGTGGGGGTCCATTTAAAAAAACACATTTATTTCGATATCATTTATGTAAACGTATAAAGGGATTATGATACGAGGGATATTAGATGCTACTACACCATGTAAAAATAAATCTCAGCTCCATTCACCTTTATGCATTTTAATAGTAGTAAATAGCTTTACTATTACGAGACGCATAATAACATTGAAATTCTAAACAAATTGAGTGGTTTGAAAAACTTGTATAGGTGCATGCATAGTTTCATTTAACCCAAAGTTCGCGTGTGTGAAGAAAGCATATCAATGTGATCTGAGAGGACCCAACCTTTCAACGTTTATTGTTTTATTTTACTTTCTTACAAATTTTTATACAATTCTCACCAAAGAAAGTATGAGAAAGTAGTACGATACGATTGAAGCAATTAATACTTTTCCTTTCTGAAACAAATCCCACACGGCGTTATTCTTATTTTCAAGATTTATGATGTTACTATAACGTGAAATCAAGAAGGTGAAACCATTTATCGACTGACGAAAACTATTCTCCTATAGCATAGTATATTTCCCGATGAAGTTCCGTTTTGTAATAAGTATTAAGGTCCTTTGATTACTTATAATAGATTCATTTTACTTATATTCAAAGGTAGGTCTCATACAGCTTATGATTTATCCTTATTCTCGAAGTGACAATAATCGATAACAAAAGTTGGATCATTTCTTCCCCAAAATGTTTACACCCCAATTCGAGAAGATGGAATTCCCAATGTATTTCTTAATGTATTTTCGTTTGCGTTGTTTTCATTTTTTACGGTAATTTAATATATGAATGTCACTTCCGTATTCGTTTCCATGAATATCATTACCTATGCATTATTTTTCTGTGAATCCAAATTGGCAACAGACATTATATTAATATTAAAATAACCCATGCACTTACTCAGTTCTGATATAATTTTTAACGGAACTCAGAAAGAGAAGTAATTTATGAAAGCGCATCGATACATTACCTACTTACAACAGAAAGGGTTGCCACTTATAGATTAGGTATATAGACGCACTTTAAATACTGCGTATAATAGTACAGTGTTTCCTGACCTATCTATATATAACAACTAATTAAACTTATAGTATAATGTGACGGTAGTTAATCACATTCCATCGACTATACGTAAAAAGTAATTAAGTGGGCTTGTGTTTGGACAATAATGGTCATCTGACCCTGTAAAACCTTTGTAAAACACAAACGAGAATGTTACGTAGTATAGGTACCTACGTTTACCTACTTACCTAAAAGGAGTACAAGCAAACTTAGTCGTACCTACCTAAAAACTGAAAGTTTTGGAATACTTATGTTTCGTCCCATTGTAATTTTAATTGTTCCTTAGCATTTCGTTTGTCCTATTTTCCACAATTTGCTTCGTTACCCTCCGTTTTTCCCTTTCCAACTTACTTAAGGGCAAACATGCGCGGAGAAAAGGAAAATCGAGAAGGGTAGATTGTCGAGGGACAACGCGCCAGAAAACCAGAGTTCGGTCGTAAAATTAAAGAAAGCACAAGCCGCACCAACTGGTGTTCATTCGCATACAATATTCGTCGTCGTTCAACGCTGAACAATTTACCCCCTTCGTTTCGTCGCCTGTCCAGCCACCGCAGTGGACAATTGAACAACCACCAGCACTCGTCTTTGTATATACACAAGTAAGTTCCCTTTTATTAATTCGTCCTGTCAACCTCAATTTTGCAGTGGGCCGCCCTTACCGGTTCGCCAAAAAATACAATAGTTCATACTACACATTAATTTTTGTCATTAAATCAAGTCATAAATAGTTTGTACGTACATTTCTTTTCAATTTCCTTTTTAGACAAGGCACGAGAAAGATTTCCCTTCATACATACAGTCCACTTAATCGTTTGTTATTAACCCTTTGTACCAGCGCGGATCAACTTATTTACATAAAAGTCTGGAAAATGATACATTACTGGCAAGGAAATATTGAAGTGCGAGGCCCATAACGATTGATTAATGTCAATTGGTCAGTGACATGACAGAAGTCATTACAGAGATTTGGAAATGTCAAAAATGTGGCCGGTAAAGTGACGGTGAGGCCGGTAAAGTGACAAGCAGCAGGAAACGTAGTCAGCTCTGCCTCTTGGCATGGAAACTCAAATATTATGACAGAAAGTAGGCATGAAAATGAAGGTTTGAGGACGATTTTGGGTAAATTGAATTATCTGAGGATTTTTCGTGGAAATTTCTGGGTATTTGTTGTCGACATCGGCATCAGCAAGTTTACAAATTATATTCCGTAAGGATTTTTATCACAATAATCGGAAAAAAGTGAAAATTGTTCTCATTTTTTCGGCAAGACAATTTTGGAACTTTTTATGATTTATTAATTATATGAAAGTGCATCTGTTTCGCTTTGTTACGGCAACAAAACTAATTACCGAAATATAAAACGTGGAGAAGTGAGTAACGGTTGCTCGTGAGTTATTAAGATAGATACAGTAACAAAGGTACGGTTATGTTATATAAAACGATGTCTGGTTTATCGTGTAAGAAACTTCGTTAATTATATTTAGGAGCAAAAAGCTTGTAGTTACCTACACTAAATCAAACTTAATAGGTCAAATTGTTTGAAAAAAAATTGAATGCAATTCGAAGACAATAGTATCCCAGGTATATTAAATGGTGTAGGAATTAAAGGGCAGTTTAAATATTATAGCATGTAGCTAATTCCCTTGCAACCTTGTGTAATGGGTTAAAAAAAGGACTGAAGCGATTACCGAAAAACTCAAATATTATACTTATTTTGAATATAGTAGGTATAGATAGTATAGGTACCTACGCCATAGATCAAAATTTCTTGTTTCGATCATTAACGCCAAAATTTCATTGCAGGTACGTCGAGTTTTAAGAAACGAAAATGGAATCTTGGCTAGTCGATGTAAAAAGAGTTAAGATACCACGGCCAAAATTCGGCACCGGCACACGATGCCACCCGTACCCGTCAGAACCACCCAAAGATTATTTCTACGACGATTCCAGATCTGAAGACTTAAAAATGAGAACAAACTCAGGATTAACCAAAGCCACCGAAGACCTCCGAAGGGCGATCCAAGAAAAGTTATAAACGTTCATTCCCATCTCCTAGGTTCATATAACCACTTACACTTCGACGAGTGTTAATTTTTCGTGGCGCTCAGTGTTTGTTTTTATCTCCCTAGTTTAAATAATAGTTATTTTCATACGAGTACATATTTGTATATAGCTGTGATAAATGGAAAAATAAAGTATATATAAGTTTTATAAAGTCGTTGATTTGGTGTTAAATTCTTGTGCGTCTCGATGAACTCGAATCTGGACGATTATGAGGAAATGAGTGTAAGGTATGTTTATTAACGAGCTCCTAGCGAGTTTATAATTTTGCGGTGTCTGTCCGTCCGTTAGCACGATATCTCGATAACGAATGGACCGATTACGATAAAATTTAGTAAATGGATTCTTTATCATATTTGTAGATCGGAGTTCGTGAATTGCCAATGTAGCCCAAAAAATAAGGAAGGTCCTTTTGATATCTCCCTGAGTTATGAACCGAATTGCATGAAATTCAATATGCGCATAGCTTTAGTCGTATAAAACGTAATTCCAAAAATTGAGCCTAATCGATCAACATTCACAGTGCCGTTTTCGCATCTCGGCCATTTATAAACCGAATTGCAAACTTTTTTATTTATGAAATTTAATACATAGCCACTTGGAATAAAAGCAAATTTAACGCGAATTTCAAAATTTCGTTTTGCGCATGCGCAGTGCCGACTTTCTTATTTATTTTATTTTATTTTATTTATTTTATTATCCCTCTCTTGTTTTTGGGCCCTCAACAGGCATGCGCCCAATTACAGAGTGACCCGCATAATGCTATTTAGAGGTGCCTCTGCAGAAGGTCTTAAATGAAATTTCATACATATACACTTTAAATAAAAGCAAAACTAACATCAGGTTTAAAATTTGGTTTTGCAATTCTTACAAATGACCACCAAATTTCGAGAGTACTTTAAAAATAGAAATATTCACAAAAAAAGGGATGTGTGAACTGCACTGTTAGGGTTGTTAATTGGTCTAGGACTCGAGATCAAAAAGTCAGCCCGCCGTTCTAAGAATTCCTTAAAAGAGGGTTGACATTATTTTACTGCTGTCATAGTAAATCTGAAAGTTATTGTGAGTGTGTGGGTGCTCTGATTGATTTAATTAACCTGATGCAAATAGGTGAGTTTTCACTGAGCGGTTTATCCTTTTACATTTGCATGAAATAACATTTGCTTAGTCATTGGCATGAGTAAGAACTGGAAATGTGTTTGGACATTAATCGCTCACACTAGTTCTTAATTATAAGTTCATGCAACGTTTCCGCTAGCCGCTGGATCAGCAAACCCTCTTCGCAAACCAACTGACATAGGTACTTACTGTGTAGCAACATAAGTACCTACATAGATTCAATTAACATTAAAATGCTAGAAGAACGATCTACGAAATGAATCAATCCCTCAATCTTTCTCCACCTTCCCAACCCTCATGTCATTCTATTTTAAATTACATTACACCTCCTACAATTTTTAACACCTTACATGAGAGAGTAATAATCCTATAGTGGATATCATATAACAAAATCAATAAAATGTTTACTAATTAGTACCTACGCCATTGTATGTGTTACCTCAAATAGTAGGTAATAGTACGTAATAGGAACTAATATCTATAAAAAGTAATAGTATATGTATATGGACGCATCTATAAGGGCCTTCTCTTTTTACTGCTGCACTATTTCTCTAAGCCCCAGCTCCAATTTATTCCATTTCCTGGCTTCATCGGTGATTTTTGTGCCGCCATAGGGGCTTTTTGCTCACCATTTTCTTATTTTTAGCGCTATCAGAGTTTTTGTGCGCCATGTCTTCTTTGCTCTGATATGCTGCATCCAGTATGTTTAGGTGCAAAATAATGTGCTCTTTTGAAAACCGCTCTGCCCCTATCTAGCGTCACTCCGCTCTACTTGGTGTTAACCTAAGCCTTCCAGGCGGCGCTGTAGGAAGGTGAAGACCTTTTAAATATCATTATACAACTCTTGGTGCTTTACATATATTTTTTCAATTATAAGTTGCTCTCGTCTCACAAATATAAATGTAGTACCCCCTATTCTACGCATCTAAACCAATAATAATATGGAGAAGTTGGTGGTTCTGTTTCGGCTTGTCCAATTGGTGCGGGTTAATATGCAACAGTCGCCGTCTCTACTATCCGTATCGTAACATGCCCGTTGTTACGTTACGAGTCATTGGTTACAAATGGATACCCAGCTTTACATTGTGAAAATAGTGATACAAATGATAGACATACACAAAATAAAAGTAAGTTACATACCATAAAAAAAGGTCATATTAGAATAATGAGTAAGGCCAAACAAAAGGCATTCCAGAAGAGCTGTAGCGCGTAAACGCTCCTATAATAGCACATTATCTTTTGACTATATCAAAATAGTTATTTTTCTACAACTGTCAAAAAAGCCTGTCATTTTCTGACGAATTTCGAAACACGAAGTACTAGATTTTTAAACGGTTAATATTATTAAGCAAGGTTGCTCTTGACAACGTGCGCGAAATCGTCAACAATGAAAAATAGTATATTAAGATACAAGTGTATAATCAAGTCTTTAAAGCACGCGCAACGAGTTTAAGGGCACGACGCAAAGCGGAGTGCCTTTAACGTTGCAAGTGCTTTAAAGACCAATTATACACGTGTATCTTATAGTATTTTTTATTATACCTGAGTAGTATAATTTAAAAATAGGAAATACAATGGGCTCGTTCATAAGACACAACAATTACCGCTACGCTACCTCGTAGCGTATCGGTAACAGTTGGGGGTCTTATGTCACGTTCCCTATTTTGACGTATGTAGCGCTACTAAAAATGGCCGACTGCTCCGTAAAGAGCGTAAAAGTAGCGACCTAATTGTAAGACGTAGGTATCAGTAACTGTTCCAGAACAGTTGTGTCTTATGAACGCGCCCAATGAAGTCATATTGACGTTATACTCGAATACATGTCTAATTAAGTGGGCTGGGTGTTCGAAATTTCACGATTGCCATGGAAATGTCACTTGACGTTTGCTTATAATCATCATCATCTTTGTAAATAAAACGATTTCCGTTGAAAAAGATAATACATCGTCCATTACATCGATTGTTGTAAAATCTAAACAAACGTTGGTAGGTGTAAAATCCAAATCTAGTAAAGCCTATTATAAAGAATATGAAAAGTTGTTTCCATGGATGAAAAGGAAGTTACTTACGAATAAAGTCTTAAATGCATCGATAATGCTGGGATATATGAAGGAAATGCCAAAGGTATTTAAATCTCCTATCTTTTGGCGCATTAACTCAAAACTTCAAACAATGCTGCGATTAAAAGTGGAACAGATTTGGAAGCATACCCTAAATTACGCGCGTTTGTGAAACCTTCAACCTAAGGATAGGTACAAGCCAAAGAAATGTTCTGCATTTACAGAAAGCGACCTAAGAGGATCTTTTATTTCAGCCCCAGATGACAGTTTCAAAAGTCATACTTGAAGTATCGTTACTTAGCAACTTTAAAGCACGTGTGTTTTAAAGGCCTTTTTTCGCACGCATTTGAGTGTTTAAAACGGAGATTGTGATTCAGGTATAATAAAAAAGTATTTCGCACACATATGACAAAGTTGAACTGAAACCGCAAATTTAATTAACAATCGGTTCAGTTGTAGCAAAAATATTGTATGTAACGCTAGCGCGAAGTTATTTCGCGCATTTTGATATTTCGACTCGGCTTCGCCTCGTCAAAATACCTTCAGTCTCAATGCGCGAAATTGAACTTCGCGTTCTTGTTATATAAATAACTATTTTATTGATGCTATGAATTTTTTCATTGCTTCATAATCATTTACGCACTTTATTCCGAGATTTGTACAAAATGTATTTTATTGTCATAAGTAGGTATTTTCCATAAAACCAGAAGCATTTGTTTAAGAAATTTGCTATCGGTCGCAGTACCTACTACGGCACTGCTGTCCAGACATACTGGCAATATTCCAGCCGGTGAAACTCTGTCATTCTCAATAATAGACGGGCAACAGTGATCGTAAATCGTATCATTCCAAAAGGTAGCTAGGTACTCACAGAATCCGAGTAATCAGGTTGATGTAAAGCAGTTGCACTTCCTGTTTGAGACTCTCCAGGGCTTGAATGTCTTCTACTTCTATTCTCGGTAGGATTTTCATCGTCTCCACTTGTATAATCCTTAAATATACCATCGTGATCAAATATTGTCTAGATCGCCTACGTAGTAAGAGTGAAACAGACGTAAAGAAGTGCAAGTGAAAGTGTGATAGAAACATGTAGTGCTTAGTGCTGTATATTACACGATTAACTAAATCTCAGCAGCCCAAAGGCACGGAACCCCCTGAGATTTATTCAATTCTACTCGTACGTATATTTATATAGAAAATAGTGGAGAATAAGAAAAGAGCGGATGGAATATGAATGGATTCATAATCACCTGAACGGGATTAACTTCGTCTTTCGACTCGGATTTTCCAGGCGGCCACACACTATTAGTGGCGCTTCCGGGCCGTTGAGATGTTCTAAAATATTCCGGATGCAATATGTCAGCAGGAAGCAAAGAACCACCTCACCTATGGACACGATCCGTAATCCCCATCCCCAAACCAGAATCTTCGCTAGGAGAATGATACTCCTCGTCACTATAACACGCTAAATTGTGTTCGACATTCGCGATCTTCTCCTGGAACCACCAACCACACCCTTTTTTTCTTTTACCACAACACGAAAATGAGCTAAACTACGAACTACTAGCAATGGTTTCTGTCTACAGACTAGGTATATGCGTCCAAAGAAGATATACTTAAAGCAAAGAACGAAATCTCTGAACTTAGCAGATACAGACAGGCATCATGGATCGAGCAGAAATTCAAGGTCTTAATAATAATATAAGCACCACATATTTCTATCACTATTTTAGCTAATTGTGAAAAAAAATGTGAAATGTTTTGTTGTAAGTAGGTAAGAATAGTAAAGTGAAGAATGCACAAACTACGTGTACAAAATGTCAACTTACCGACTCCGGGAACGTTGACAAAAATGGTGCGTTATTACTTTCCGCCATTCCAGCTTTTCTCTAGAACACAAGTATATGTACATATGTAACTAAAAAGGTATCGTTTAAGTTACGGCGACTTACCCGAGAATGGCGGTAATCGTAATCTCTAGGATCTCTTCCACGAAGTACTTCCGTGTCTTTTCTGTACACTAACTCATCAAACCTGGAACGATCTTCAACTGCCACAACTTCTCGAAGTTCAGTCATGAGAGTGTGCTTCTCGGGTGTACTTAATACTTCAGTCATAACATGTACAAAGGCATCTATGGTCATATGTCTAGAAGCATATTCATCGACATAGTAACAAAGCGATGTAAATTCAGGCTTAGACAAAAGGCATTTTGCTTTCTCTTCGACCATTTGTAAGGCCGCCGACCATTTCTTAGTAGTGTGGGCTGCTTTACTACTAAAATCGATTTTAGATCGCCAATCGAGTTTCATTTGGAAGTATACATATTACTCACCCCGGACTACAAAGGTCCCAATCTCTATCGTAGGGAGTGCAAGAATGAGGAACTTTTCCGACGTCTCTTACTAATAAAGACATGCGCTTGTGATATTTTAATTGAGTGACGGCTTCATCATGAGTAACATCCAAAAACGATTGTCCATTTACTTCTAAAATTTGATCTCCCACCTAAAAAGAAATACCACGCTGTTAAATAAAAACAAGTATTGGTCGCTTAAAGAAGTTGTTTTAACTACGAACTCAAATGGTGGATGTCTGCCCGTATGTACTTATACACCGAGTTTTAGAGTTAGATGTTACATAAGTAACACTGCGTAAATATATTGAAGTAAACTTACCATTAACCCTGCTCTATCGGCGACTGATTCCTTATCAACTCCAGTTACAAATATACCCAAATTATACTCAACACCCCCTCGTATCATCAATCCTAAACTTTGGCCCGGTTCTATACACAAATCAACCTAAAAGAGAGGAGTAAAGAAGTTAGTTCAGTTTTCCATTTACATTACAGTTATGAACGTTCTTGTGTGAATAAATTAAGTTTCATCCCACATCCAAATTTACATACATCACAAATAACATACAGACATGAAACCAAAAGCCTTTACATGGACCTTTGATTATAAAATACATAACTATATTCAAAGACATGGACGATTTCCACAAGAGGTTAACCAGGATTATGTTGATTCTATAGCAACGCACACTTGGTTATCTCAATGTGATATCTTCCCAGAAACTTAAGGTTTCATGTTAGACCAGGGGCTTATACCATAAACCAACTTTGCAACTTTTCACTTGTCACTTTGCATGTGCATAATCTTGAAGTGCAAAGATTACTATCTGTTTAGTAAAATATTCTAATCAACGTAGAATTTGGTGTGGTATTCTACTCTATCTTTCTAAACACAAGTACTATTTAAACCTTTAAGTTTTATTTTTTTTGCTGCGTTTACGTGGGCCTTTTTTGTCAGTGTGTAACAAAACTGGATCACTAAAATAAGAACCTTAAAAGCCAGTTTTTGTTTCAATTGAGAGAAAAACGAGATTAAAGATACCAATGTGAATTAATGTCTCTTTAGTTTGCCAGAATATAATATGTACATTGTAATGCATAAAATTCGCTTTTACCAATTTTTACAAGCCAGTGCCATCAGTGACGAAGAAATACGAAATTTGGTTGAACGAAAGAAAAGTTTCGCAATCAAAGATCTAAGAAGATATTTTGATAATTGAATTTTTCGATTTTACGTGCTTTTTGTCTGGAGTTAATATATGACCGAGAGCAAAATCGATGACACTTCTTGTAGGTAGGTATAAACAAAGTATTTATATGTAGTTTAGTTAACATGTCTGTTGCAGCTTTATCTGGTCTCTGTAGGGTAACGTTAATTACGTTTTAGAAGTGAGATAAGTACATATCTGTAATTTTTATTTCAAAAGTTATTGTTTGCGGATGCTTTAAACATTTTCACTAATCACTAGGGTTACAAGCCACAAGGATTGCTAGAGCCTTTAAATCGATTTGGAAAGTGTTTATACAATAATTGGTGTAAGGCAAACAAGTTGTCGATGTTGTCCCGTATACTTTTACCTGCTTCAAATAAATAATTGTCACTTACCCTTCGTATGCTGCGATCCTTACTAGAAGACCTATTGTACCCATAGCGTTGTGGAGGTACACCAGACATCCTAGAGTACTCGAGAGGTGGAGACACCGGTCTACCTTGTCGATCCATCCAGGAGCAGGTTTGTCTAGGGTAAAGTGGGCCACAGCGTGACTCCAAAGCACCGGCTGGCATTGCTGGCGATTTTACAGTCATGCTCAACTTTCGACAGGACTTTAACATCTGAACCAAAAGAGAAACTGTATAAATAAATGCTTATATAATACCTATGATAAAATATGCCTGTTCGCTATACGCCTTTATCTGTCCATACCATACGTATATACAGAGTGGCAATTTGAAAACTTACCACCCCCCATATCTTAGTATGTAAACGAGATATTTAAAAAAATCAAAATCCGTTTCGGTAATTCGGAGGGGGAATCACAATGACATAGTTGGCGACGCATCCTCTCACACCCCCTGCGCCCTAGCCACCCCAACTTTTAAATCTTAAATAGGGACTCCGCATGTGTGATACGTCATTGGAAAGCTCTGAAAAAATGCTTTCCAACCATACCAAATAGCATTACATTTAGGTTAGTAATTATCGTGCAAATCAAAAAATAAACATGGAAAATCGTAGTTAACTTGAACTTCCAAAGCCGACTCGACAGCAACTCATTTTTGATCGCCAGTTATAATCTATTCTCAAACTTAATGTACTTATATACGGTATTGATGTTTTGATGGAAATGTATCTACAAACATTATTGGAGTAATTTGTTATTAGTTTTAAAAACGTATTACGATTTCTCTCGTTTCTTTGCTCATAAATAACTTTGAAATTTGCATAAGTTTTTCATGCAATTTTGAGAGGTTTACCTACTAAGTGCACTTCTTTCAATTTTATTGTTAGTGCCTGTTGAGTGTACGTCATATATTTCCTTATAATTCCAAATTTGTATTTCTGCAAGTGTCTCCATGTAAAGCCCTTATGATCAAGTATTAATATGAATTCCAAGTGGCCCTGTTTCATTGCCAGATAATCGAGATTGATGAACGTCAACTTCAATTGTCTTTCTAAATCGTAAACGTCGGGATTAGAACCTTCTATTATTTTGACGAAGATGATCTTACAACCCTCACTTGTGATCTGCCTCGAAGGCCAAATAATACTACAAACGTGGCTTGTAAGGCAATTGAGGGAATGGTTCAAATTTGAAACTTACGAAAGATCAAGCTGCGCGCGTAAAGGTTGCAGTGTAGGATTTCGGCGTGAAAAAACAGCGGGCCATGCTGTTCGTTGGGTATGAAACGCAATAATCTTAGATTTTGCCTTTTCAATGTCATCATGATTGGTATGTAGACATAGAAAGAAAAGCAGATCTAGAATGTAAGTAATATTTGTTAAAAATCACTTCGCCACAAATTCTGATACATATTCACCTGAAGAATATGGTAAGTCTGTTCGAGTATGACTCCATTCCCTTAATACTTGGAGATTGTGTTTTAAACTTGGTCTGGAAATACAAAGATCTTCAATATTCAACATAGGTACCTATACTGCTAAGTCAGGTCAGAGGCGCTTTGCTGTAAATTCAAGACATTCAAGTACAACTAGTAAATCGTGTTTGTAAAAAGTGTGTTGCGTATTACGTCAGAAAACTTATACGCAAGCTAAGAGTAGGTGCTTAATTTATTTCTAATTAAAAAAAAATGTTATTCTGTGAGCAAGTTGAAGAGCGTTACTATACGTTTCTCCTTATGATATCTAAAGCCGCATTAAAAAATATTAATTGATCTACATGAAACAATCTTCAAATGTGACGTAGGTAATATTGTCGACATGCAATGAACTTTATTACCTACTGTAACACCACACGTACCTAATTAATAACAAAAATCCGGTCACCATAAAAGTTTCGATTTTCAGTGATCAATTATCTTAGTATCGAGTGAAATCATATAGGTACCTATTGCGTTTTTGTATATCGAAAAGCAATTTCGACTTTGAATGCGAAATTACGCATTAAAATTTCAAAAATTGCGTTAGCCAAATTTACGGAACCATTGACTTGTTCATAACAATTAAGTATATAAAATTTTTCTTAGGTACTCGCAAATTAAGCTCTAATCATGAGACTTTTAGAACCGTTATATTTTGCGCCGTAGTAGACATTTCAAAAACACTATCACGAGCCACGACCAACCACGCCGCGTACTTTTTCATAAATAAATTTTTTGTAATGCCAAATTCTAATGCATCTCTTGGCACTATTAGAATGACATTTTGCGCTCTAATAGGAAACGAGTTATTTCAAAAACCATTAACCCTGCGGACTTCACGTATAGCCGCATGAATTTGTCCTTTGTACGCTGCAGTTGGAATAAAATTGTGTGCCCTAATAGAAATTTGAGTTAAGTCAGACATTAGCGCGATCAACATCATACATCGCAGTTTTTCAGAAACAACTTTTTCTTATATAGGAATTAGTCGACGTATTGCTGGAAGTAAAAAATATGAATTTATGAGATAATGCCGGCTAATGTTTACATTTTAAACAAATTAGCTTATTAGGGATCCTCAGATCATTTGTAGTTTTGTATTGTTGTCCGTCCATCCGTCCGTCCGTCTGTGTGCACAATAACTCTTTTTGAAAGTGTCCAAAACGCTATTGATTTTGAGGAAGCTAGCTCAACAGGAACAAAAGTTATAGTACTTCGAGGGGATCGGGAACAGGAAAAACGGTGAGCCCAATATACTAATGGAAATCAACATAATTATTACATTCCTTAGGTCATGTATCGAGTTCGAACTTTCGCTAGATTATTCCCTATGCCTCTTAGATTCAATATAACTCTTCTCTGCTGTTTCTCTAGGTCAAAAGAAGTTGTTTTACTTTAGAACTAAAGGTCTTCTGCGGTAAATGCTTTATATGTGCGGGTAGCCGGTTATACAATGACTGAGGGCACTGAGGCCGGAATGTTATGCCATTTTGGGATTTAGCTAACCTACCAAAACGACAACCGAAGATTGTCTTTTAACCGGGTATTATAAGAATGCACATCTGATTGCGGTTTCTCCAAAGCAATATGTTTTTTGCAATCCATTATGTATAGTACTTAGATGGATCTAGTATCATTTTGTTGTCTTTTGGGGGCATGTAAGTGATACCTTGTGTAAAAAATGCTGGTTCAGTAAATTGTTGTACGATGTAAGAGTGAGTATAGGCATTGTTTAGTATTTAAAGGTAAAATATTTCCACCAAAAATGTGAATGTTATCAATGCCTGAACTTTTTCAGTTACGTTAATGATTAATAGGTACTTTGAATATGTCTCTTGTAGTGATGTGTGAGGGTGTGTCTGTGTGTGTTATTCGTAGGTGTAATGTTGCAGTGAGTGTAGAGATGGAGGAATGAGTTTTCCATGAGCGTAAAAATAGATTACCAACCTTAAGTGCTTCTTCGTGAGTAATTGCTGTAAAAGGAGTTCCATTAACTTCAAGAATTGAATCTCCAGGCCGCAAACCGGCCCTTTCGGCTACACTTCCCTCTTCCACTCGCGATATATATACACCTACGCCTAAAAACAAAAAACCGATAGGTAAGTTGACAGAGACGTGCTGTTGGTAACGATTTATCACAATTATTGAAATTTCTTAAAATGCAAAAGAAATTAGCTTAAGTAAAAGTCACTTAAAAAAAACAGAAGACTTACCGGCTTCTTTACCACCTTTAACGCATATTCCAAACCCATGGGTACCGTCTGGAGGATCTCGAACCATTGTAACAGTTCTAGTAACAAGTTCGTGTATACTAAATCCATAACTAGGAATTCTATAATTAACTTGGTGCGTTGTTGATGCTGGACTACTCGCCGGAGATCTTCGGGGTCTTTCGACGTTTAATTTGTTAGATGATTGATTTTGTGTGGTACCAAACAAACGCAGTACTTGTTCTGGTGATATAGGTCGTTTTTTATTATTTGCTAGCGATCTTTCAAAATTTGGATTACTACCTAAATAAGTCCCTAAAACAAAATTATCTATAAGAACTTGCCATCAACGCAATGTGCTGAGTAAAAAAATTCGACATTATACTTATACCTATTTAATTTTTCTCCGTAAACAAAATAAAATAACGTTATAATAATAACGATATTAATATTAATAACAATAAGATTTACAAAATTAAAACCCTAATTAGTACAGAAAAGCAAAAAGCCTAAACCAACTAAATATCGCCAAATAGGTAGGTACTAATTTATTTTAAAAAATTCAAACGTATATTACATAATTTCTCAATCTCATACTTATACCTTTCGGACTTTTAACGTAATGTTGAGAACTAAATTCTCTATCTCTTGAAGAGTGATGGTGCATTCCCGAAGACGGCCTTTCAACAATGGTGTAAGATGTACCGGGCGGCGAATAGTAGAGTCCCGAACGTCCTTTAAAGTATCCCCGAGGGCTATCGGTAGAGCCGAGAGCATCTTCAGCTTCTGCCGGAATGCGATTTCGGCCGTTCGAAGGCGTACGGCTATTCCAATTACCGCCATAACGCGTTCCACCATATGAACTATATTCTGTCAATTCAGCTGAAAACTCATCACTTGTCCTCATTCTTTTTTCGGGCTAATTTCTAGCCACTACACTGTCGTCACGAATATGTCAACTGAAAGGAAACAAAACAAATTCAATGTTCAGCACGTAGAAAGCATCGAAGAGATTCATTAAACTCATAAAATTCAAGAAATACCGCAATGAGGGTAACTACTGCATATTTATAAAGCGAGGGTTACGTTCATTTTTAACGAATTCAAAGTAGGTATAGGTGCCCTCCTTCCTACCCTTAATTCACGTAAAAAGCAACAACTTTTTAAATAGCAATTACATTTGGATACTTTCAACAGGTAGAATAAAATACTTAGGCGGACGATTGTAGGTATTAACTGAAAATTGCGTCGGCTCCGCAACCTAAAGAATTTAACAATGTATGTTTCTATATTTCTACATAGGTATGTAGAAATAAAATTGTAAGAATTCTAATTCTAAACGTGTGTAGCAAAAAATACTAAACGAGGTTTCTCTAATCGATAGAATGAAGTACAGGCGTCGTTAAATTGGCGACGTTTTCTAGTGGCGTCTTTTGTCTGTCAAATAAACGTATTCTATGATAAGCCTTGTAATGTGCCATTAATGCTAATAACTAATAAGTAATAATTCATTAATATGGCTATAAAAATTAGAAAAGTCCATTTCGGCGCATTCCCAAAGATGTAGAGAGGAATGAATTAAGGGTTAGGTACCTACCTATATTTTACAAACGAATTACCAAAAGTGGACTTATTTTTAAAAGAAAGTTAGGTACGTTCCTTTCCTTTCCTACAAGGATACAACGTGTTCGTCCCCCCAGATAATAATATGGTACAATATCTGTACCTATAAGTATATTAATACACAAAAACTTGTGCTCTTCCTCTTAGGTCCTCTTTTCTGTCAATTTGGTAGTGAAAAATCTCATTTAGTTGCAGCAAAGAGGATGACATTTGTGAAGATCACATTTTGCACACATTTTTACATTTTCTTATTCGAAGGATGGAGTTATAAATTCACTATTCTCGCACTACTCTCGCTCAAGCTTTCGCGTTCCCGGGCAGGTTTGAGTGGACCTTTAAAAGTTCCAAAGCTTTAATAATATATATATATATATATATACATATATTTCTTTGTTATTTTATTGATGGATTTAAAAAATGTTTCATCACTGTGGTCTAAATTGTAGTTGTATTTTCTATTTTCAGCTAATATATTATACCACCGCAGTACCACGACCACTGTCATTAGCATTATTACTCATTAGTCCATTTACCAGTGAATATTTTCATAACTGTGACACAGGACCGTAGCCAGAGCGAAAGTGAAGGTAGGGCAAACTTCTTCGGACTGCCACTAGTCGCCTTCAAACGTACTGCAAATTCACTGTTGATCTAATAATCAAGTGTTTGGTTAGAAGTCGGTAATAATATTGGCTTGGCCGTTAATAATGAATTAATAAAAAAACGTTTGGTAAGATTGGGCAACTTTTTGCGCCCCAGACGAAAATTATATGAAATTTCAACGTCAAAGCGGTTAAAGAAAAGTTATAAAATGTATACCTACCTACCTACTAGTATGATAAATAGTACTCAAATTTTAACAAAATCGCGGCACACATGTGGACACAATGCACAATGTGGAACGAATGGGGAAATTTTCTTTTAAATTATTGTTTCATATTTTTATCTTAAAAGGTCGGGAAACATCCTTAAAAGGACCTTGCGACCCCTGGCTACGGGCCTGCTGTGACAGTACAGTATAACGTTATCTACTTTTCCCCAAACGTCTAAAATAAACAACAGAAAAGAAATCCTTCCTTATGGAATCGTAAAGATAGAGTTTATTAATTTATGTTTAAGTTTATTTACCTATAAAGGTACTTCTAAAAATAGTCATAACGGTTGCGTGACCCTTTAGCGTTTTGTATATTTAATATAATCGATAAGAAAACGGAGCTAAAGAATGACTTCAAAGTATTAACGAGTAGACAATTGGCCAGGGACAGTTATGGTGTTTTTGTAAGTATATAATAATATCAATTTAAAAAAAGATATATTAATAAAGTGAAAAAGGTACCTAAATATGTGAGACGCGACTAATATCGGGAAAGAGAGTGAAGATATTACGAGCCCAAATCAAGGAAACAAGACCTTTCCAATGATGTATCATTTAAGATTTTCAAAGTTTGCGGTCATAGAGATGAAAATACTTTATCGTAAAATATGCCCCCTTCGAATCTAAAATTGACGTATTCTCGCGCTTTTTGCAAATCATTCCCTGCTCAATTTAAATTTTACCCAAGGCCCGTACACGTGTTACATAGTGAAATAAGTTTCATAGAGAGGAAGAGAGGTGTAGACAACGGTGTAGGTAGGTACAAAGAACAGAGCTATTTGGTAGTAAAAATAAAAATTGACAGAGTTTGGGGCAACAACCATATCCAATTCAACACGTATCACCATTTCAAGGAATAACAAAATCCATAACAGATTTGGATGCTGAAGACGCTGCAAACCCGAGTGCAAACCGCATAAGGTAATCTATTTGACCCCTGCTTTTTTCCTTGTCCGTCCTTTGCGGCTTTGCGTGCAGCAAGTGATTTTATATAACGTGTCTTAACAATTCTTGTAGCAAGATATACTGTGAAGTAAATTTGAAATACTGGTCCAAGGATTAGATACCTACCTAATGTTGCCTTTCAGCATAGAGTAAAACTTTTGTTGGTAGGTACTTTATGCTTTCAGCCAGATACCTACAGGTATTTTTTATATAAGTGCGACGCAATATTTTACATTTACCTATTTCCAAGAAGTTTTTCAACAACCGTGTAGTACCTACTTATAAGAGAACTAATGTTGTTGATTGATCAGCTAGGTACAGGCACTTCATGAAACCGTGTTATTCCTTAATAGAATCCCTCTTATAAAAAAAACATGGCACTCTACCTTAGCACTATTACACTGATCGAAACGGTATTTAGCTACTTATATACTTACATTTTGTGAATACGACATGTTAGTTAAGTGTGACAAACCCCAATCCACGAACGTTTGATACTAAAGTCATTCTCATCGAAAATCTTAGTACAAATTTCAGATAAAAAAAAACTAAGCACACAGATCACGTTTTGATCATTACCATTTCTTGACGGCACTAAACTGACTAGGAGACAAATATAAATCAAAAACTTGTTTATTGAAATACAAAAACCAAACCCACTGTGAGATCAATTTCCGAATTAAAATATGGAAGAAAGAAAATTAAAATTGTTATAATATACCCTGTAATAATAGTGAAAATATTGTTAACAAAATTTGTATAACCATTTTGTTTTTAGAATATTGTTTTATGCAATAATGGTTTAGAAATTTGAACAAATCGTTCGTCGTACATTAAGATTATTAATGTACGTGCCATTCGCGAAAACGCTTTCAGTGTACTGAAACGCAAATGGTAGGTTTTCATACGGCCATGTTGGACCTGCGTTTTCCTTTGTTACGTCACAATCAATAAAAAGGTTGAACTTGAAATCAAAAGAAAAATTTTGGTAGTACCTATAGGTAAATTATTGCGTGCACTTTCTTGGTTTGTAACAAGTCATTATATAATCGTTTGTTTTACTCTTGCAAAGTAGGTATACCAAAGAGGTACACGTACGGCCGTCCGTTTACCCGCCCTGTCCTTTGGGCATTCTAAAAACGCTATGACGCAAAGGAATAGGCTATAATACAGGAGCGAAATGTTTAATTTTCGAGTTTCGTGGTTTACTCCTTTGACAGCGAAAGGCACAAATCCCAAAATGTTTATAGCCTTGCCTGAGTTTTTGGTTAATATTAAAATAATCAAAGCAGAATACATTGTGCTGACATCTGTCTTTATTATTGGGGACTAAAATTTTATCGCTAAATGCAGGACACTTTATTACCACCTTTATTTTAGTTGGAACTTACACCTCAAAGATGTCGCCACACTAATTTTGTAATGTACTTAATGAAACTAACGTTAGATGTCAGAGCGCTATTTTTAAAAACCATAGATATATGAAGTTTTAACCTCAAATGCATAATGAATGTTTATTTTATAGTCAAAAATTAAACTTTGTTATCATTCCTTTCTCGCTTGCAGGTTTAAATTAGGGAACTGGCTACTGGGAGTGACAGAATAGCGGCAGACTCAACCTTTGCGGAATATGATACTGTTCGCTCTGGGTCGTCCAATGGAATACATGGAGTTCTCGATGGATGAGAAACGTTAGCATTGAATTCAGACAACACAAATTGAAAAAGGAAATGCTTTGTAACCAAAACAAGAGGACACCGTGGAGAACTCGCAGAAAACCCATTCCAATGCAACCCTGTACCCCACACCTTATTCATGTCTAAATTTTGAATTGTGACCTATCGCTGGTTAACCATAGACATAATACATCTATCTATGTGTACAATTCTATTTAAAAATTCCATACACTGGCACATTTGAACCTTGTAAGTCTCCATTTCCCAAACATCACTACTTAGAGAACAGAAATCTCTTACCACACCTTTAAAAACTCGGGAAGCTGCGCTGCTAGTTTTAAACTGAAACTGCATATGAACTAGAAAAAGGGAAACTAGCAAATCTATAGTCGAAACTGAATTATCTTTCCAGCGCGCCATGTCTGTAGCGAAGGAATGGTATAGGACGGGCCGCACGCTCATCTTGATTTGACTCCATATTTTTTGTTTAGGAGATATCTAAAGGACAGTTTTTAAACATTGATCAAACACTTTGGAAGAAGTAAAGAACCAAATTTGGGATGAAATCGCCGCTAAGTACACACTGAGATTTTCCCAAAAGTTCAGGTCGCCTGGCATCCGGACTCACCACAGAAACAGAGGCGTTTAAGGCTAAGAACAATTTAAAAACCGTCATCTCTACGTCCTGTCGGACCCCTGGTGTGCAAACTAGAAAAGATTTGAAAATACAGAGCATTTCAACAATAAGACGTTACATAGTGAGTAAATGAGAATAGGAAAAAATATAATGTTACGCACATCTCACTGTGAAGGCGGGTCCCCATGTGCGTAAAATTTAGGCGTAAACGTATCGGCGTAATTACGCGCGTTTTGGCGTACACGTTCCAATTGAAGCGGGTTTATGTTACGCTCGTTACGCTGCAAAAAAACATAAACAAAAGGACTTTAACCTAACATATTTGAATTTTTATGATAAAAAATGGAAAATATCAACTGTAGAATACTTTTGTGTTCAATTGGGGCACTAGTTATTAAAATGAACCGTTGTTATTCAGTGCAAAAGTATTCCTTACAACAAGTTATCACTTGAACATAAATAAACAAAAATGCTATTTACGTTTAACTACAAAAAAATATGAAAAAAAACTCCAAAAATATAACCTAAAACACCGTAGTTACGCGGTTACGTTACGCAAAAAAGTAGAAAGCAAGTCAACTTTGTGGCGTATCCGAAGCGCAAATTTTGACAGCATAACAAATATGGCGACGCGTAATGATATGTTCACGAAAGCCAATCATATCGCTGAACGCCATACGCTTACGCGAAGATTGCGCACATGGGGACCCGCCTTGAAAGTGCATTGAAACCAAGCGATTTATGTACTTGGGACAAACATTCGTTATATTTGAGATTATTTATCGAAATAATACATAGTCCATACTTATTTATGGATTATGCAAACTTGTACTACTACTGGAATGCCCTTTCATTTATTCTGGATTGAAAAATATTTAGAAAGATAAGAAGAAGTTTCTTTCTGGAATTACATAGAAATTTACCATAAAAACCACATCACACTATAGTTAAGTGGTCATGCATTGAAATAAAATGTGTGTATTGGTTGTTTTATTTTTAGTATCACTTGGTAGTTTTATGAAGTAATTTATAGGAATATACTATCGTTATAGGCAAGAGATAGGTCGCATACCTAAAAATGTAAATAAAAATAATTACAGCCTTTTATTAAAGTAACAAGGGAAGTAGACATAAATATATTTTGTACTATGAAAACTTTTTGTGAATGTTATATCTAATATAAGGCGTTAAGAATTGATTCCACTGTAATTTAATATCAATTTACAATGGAAATGAACTTTAGTAAAATATCTCACCTGTATGAACTGTGAAGTTCAGACCTTATAAATAAAATACAGTAGCGATAGTAATAAATAATATCTAAACGTGATGTACTAGTATTAGTGCACGTTATCACAGATGTTATCTTGCACGACTATTTATTTATAAAAGATAAATAGCGAAAATTCTGGATTGCCATAGGTTTGCAAAATTTAGATGTAACAAAAGAAAAATTGTGCACTCTGGGCACCATAGTGCTATTTACAATAACACACAACACCATAACATAAACTGTAGACAAACCATTTGAGAAACATAGTCATGAGATGTATCATTCTTATTCTGTATAGAGTTCCATATAAAATTTTTCTACCTAAAATACTTATCGACTAACATTAATGGACAGTATAAAGGTATGAAAGAGTAGTGCGAAAATTTCCTAATTATTGTCTACAATTTAGTTTTTGATTTGGAATGCTTCCCCGCACTTAAGGGATCTTCGGATGGCTTTGGTCGTAAAATAAAATTAAGATTATACGCAGTGTTCACAGCGTAATAGACATTCGCATTTGATGGCAATACCATTTCTGTAAACAATCAATTAGTTACTAATTGGCAATTAAATGAATTTTACCTTTATCGGGTAGTACTTGAGCTAAAGTGTAGGAATCGGGATTGCCCTCGAGGCACAGTTTTAACATGGCATTTCTAATAACTTGAGGTGTTCGTTCATTATTACTTAGCATAATACTTTTATATAAAACGATCCCGTCTGTTTCTACACAATCAGTTTCGTAAGTGACTTTAATAATATAAAAATCGGGACTGCTTTTCAGTGAATGATTGGGACTTAATGTTCCCGCATTAACCGACGGTAACTGTAATTTGTTATTGGCACCGCTCGAATGAGAGCTATTTAGTGAAACATCCAAAGACGGTAGTGAAGAATTGCTACTAGAATTGGACATTTGCGATGGGCTTAATTTCCTATCAATGCTGTTATGTGGTGAGCTTGGCGTGCTGTCAAAATCGCAATAAAACTGCGAACTGTTACTACTAGAATTACTCGCTATCGAATCGTTCTTTTTGTGACCCGTTGTTTTCTTTTTCACTTTATTTGTGTTAGTGGAATTGGACGAAGGCTCAATTTGATACGTTAAATGATAAGCTTCGCGATCATCCAACACCAGCAGAGAGTCAAACCACCTGTCAAACATCGCATCTTCAGGTAATTGGTACGCATTTGCAGCACCCTGCAGCAGCTTTATCTGAGCCAACACTTCGAATTCCTTCCTTCGCTTATCAAAATTGATAAGTCCATCGGCAATTGTATCCGGTATGGCAGTATCGATCATGGTTAGGTCAGTTAAAAATGTGCCTAGGTACGGAATGGTACCAAATGATATGTTGGCAGTATGATTATTTTGCTTTTGAAAAATTTTTTGCAGGTGCTTATCATTTTCGCCTACAGTATCTGCAAATTTTGCAGTTCCCTCACGCATTAGAAGCTCTCTTTGGGCCCATTGATTATTATCTTCACTAAATATACGCGCTAGTTCGTCAAATAATTCAATTTTCTCCTTGGATATTGCCTGCCAGGTTTTTTGTAATCTGTAAATAGGATTACTCTGTAAGCCACTTATAATTGCTTTAAGGCTCGAGAAATTTTTTAATACTCTCAGTTCTTGAGCTATGTCGATCCAGCACACTATGATCTGTGCTCGTTCATTCGCTTTTAACTGAGGATCGACTAGAATTGAAGAAATTACCCTAAATGACACGGCGTTAAATTGGTTTACTGTAGCCAACACTGTTGCCGCTTCGTGAGATCTACTTTTATCTCGCCGAGACCATATTGCTCCTAAACATTGATGTGGTACCAGCTTTTTAAATAATTCCTAGAAAGGATGCTGTAAAAATGTTGCGATGAACACACTCTCACCATATCCATCCTTGTAAGTTGTTCGGCAAAGTGCCTTACAGGTACTTCGGGCAAACGATAGGTCTTCCAACTGATATTACCACCACTTCTCATCGCGAATGCAGGTGGAGGTGTCAGTGGCGATTCGGCATAAGTTTCCCGACTGTACTTATCCAATCGATGCCGAACTTTTGCCTCTAATTCGGTGGTAGGTAAATATTCTTCACAAAACTGTAGGAGTTGCCTCAAAGTCGAATGATGCGTTGGTTCTTTAAAATCTTCAGGATAACTGTCAAGCCAAACGTGTAATGCCGAAATTAGTGTCCTACAAAAAATAAAAAATGTAGGTTCTACTTTAGAATATATTCTGCGTATTTGAATTACTTTCGGTGCTGGTCATGGTTCTCAGAATTACCATTAACAGATGGAGATGATAGTTCTTCGTAACGTTGTAGTAGCAACTTCAACACCTCCTTAGGATTAGAAAAACTTCGATAAGTTGCTAAAAATACATTGATATATGTGGTTTCCAGTTCTCCATCATCAGTCGCTAGAGCTTCAACGAGTTTCTTAAGCGTCCCCGCTTTAACAAAACGCACTCTGACAGTTTCCCATTCCAAATGTGAAATTTCATCATCGGAATCCTTGAACAAGTAAATAAAAATATCAATTTAAACCTATTAAAATGTCAATTTAATATCAGCTACGAAATAAAATAGTTTATTATGTATAAAGTTTAATAAACAACACTTTAGACACGGTTTATGTTAATAACCAGTGTATAGAGACGTTTTTAAAATGCAATACATACTATACTTTTTCTACAAGAATTCTGTTGCCGCTTGAGTTATTTCAGAAGGAGCAGCAATAACTTTTTTATCTCCATTATCATTCTCTGTGTCCAATTTTGAAAAACAGGAATTCGCCTTACGATGAATGTTAGAATAACAAACGTCAAACTACCAATTTGATTTAGTCAACAAAATTCAAGCCGTGTTTAATGAAACTTCCAGCGTGTTATAATGGCCGAGAACGCCCGAACGGGCGCCAATCTGTATCTAATGAGTAGTCGTATTTAAAATGACGCTTCGCGCACTATGTCAATCCAAAATGTGACATTTTAGAAATAGGAGTAGAAAATAGGTATTTATGTAACAAGTTGCAAATTGGCTGTCTTTGGCGCACTAGACGTGTATTTGTCCAGCGCGTATTTGGCCCGCCGACTGTACGTGTGTTGTAAAAACTGGCCGGTGAACTGAACATGTGTCGACACTTACACATTTAGACTTTCACCCTTGTACTTGACACAAACAACAGATTGCTACGAAGGATGTATTGTTCTATTTTGAGGAAACGTGTTGTATATTGAGGAAGGAGTAAAGAGAAATTTTTGTATGTAGTGATGTTAAACATCCACTACAACATTGTAAGATCGTTTAACACCATATATTATAGCTCGGTCTGAAGATGACCAATGGTCGACATCGATAGCCGCACCAGAAACTAAATAAACGTGTTTACAAAAATTTCTCTTTACTCCTTCCTCAACAGATTGCTAACCTTATGGATTTTGTTGGCAACACATTTAGTTCAATTGAACAGCAATATAAACATGATGTATCTTGAAAACTGTAAAATAATGCTTATGGATTTATGCAAAACATGTCGCTGCAAAAAATTTAAAGCCAATGAGTTCAATTAAACAATGGTGGCTTACCTCCTATCATACCATATCACTGTAATCATACCTATCAATAATAAGGAATTCCAATTGTGCAAACTTTATAGACCGGGAGGCAGCGTACATAGTAACTAAACCATAAGCGACAAAATATTCGACAATACAGGCTGAAAGTACGTTGAAAACTAATAATAAAATCACTCGTCTGCCACTCGACGAGTGGCAACATTAGCTTGAGGCGGCGCTGAATAGGTGACTTCTTTAGGTGATCAACTAAATTACCAAACTATAAGGGTCACGGAAAAGATTTGTATCAAGAAATCACATTTTTTCCCATAGTTTTCAAATATGCTATGGCAGACGATTTCAAGTGCAGCGTTGGTGGCGACAGACGCCCTTCAATGTAGGGAAAAACACCCCTGAACTAAAAAAAAAAAGGACAGTGCAGTATATGTATTTCAATCTTCCAATATCGCAAGTTTGCTTAGTTACTTGTTGATAAAAAAAAAATATATTAGAATTGTCTGTCACATTATATTAAAGTTCATATGTACAATTTGTTCACAATATACTTTTAAAAAGCAATTGGAATTGCTTATTTAAGACACAACAGACAGTATAAAAATTATACATAAAAAAAATCCTCTTTTTGTTACTACTTTAAATATATCCTGGCAGACGATATTAAGTGTAGCTTTAATAGTGGCAGTCTGGCAGACGTCTTAGAAGTTAAAAAAATGTAGGTATAGTAAATCCCAGCGAGTGCGAGCGTGTGAGAGATGAGCGCGCGAGGTCATAACGAACAGAGATAGCTATAGATTTACGCACCGCTTGGAGTTACCAAACGATTAAAATTAGGGAAAATAATAAATTGTTTATTTCGCGATAAGATTGTCGGTATTTCTTGAATTCCTTTCACACTGAGAAACTACTGAACTCTGAATCGGCCTTTACTCTAATAATACTAATTAAGAAAATCATAAAATATGAAATTACCTTAGGTACCTGCATATAAAGAGATTTTACAATTTCCATATGGATCCAGTTAAAATATTAAATATTTTTGATCAGATTTTATGGAACGTGCATAGCTGTTTTTAGGTGGCCATACACGATGCTGTTTACTGGAAAGCCGGGCTTTCGATTTGCAAACCCGAAGGCAAACCGTAGCGTTAGTGGTTATATCGTCCGGAAGGCCTGGCCTTCCAAAAAACTGCTGCTTCTTGAAAATTTACCTTCCGGCTATGATCTTCTTTGTCAGGCAACAAACAAACTGGGAGTCCTATTAACATAAGATCATCTTCAGATATCATGACTACAGCCCTGTTTTGTTCACACTACACTAAAAACTGACAAAAACCACGCGAATAAAACGTCGAGTGTATGGCTAAACCGATAGTACAGGTTTAGCCTTCGGGTTTGCAAATCGAAGGGCCTACCTTCCGGTAAACAGCATAAAAAGCATTATGCGGGTCACTCTGTTATTGGGCGCAAGCTTGTTGAGGGCCCAGAACAAGAGAGGGATAATAAATAAATAAATCGTGTATGGCGACCAATTGATCAATTCCACTCAAAATTTGGAAATAGGAGTACTATATTATTGTAATGTCTTGGGTAATCTCTGACTAAACTTAAACACATACCAAAAGGTATCATAAAGTTACAATATATGAAAACAGATAATAATAATTAGTAAATAAAAGCCGCATCCTCGGCAACATCCATCCCTGAAACCAACTTTATGTACAAGTAACACACACTTTATAATTAATCAAAATTTCTGCATGAGAATTCAAATTCGCCCTTGACCATTATGTAATATTGTCATAAATGGAGAAAAAAAACAGGTATCACGCTCAATTTCATCCAGTTTGCAATGTTAGTTTGAAGCAACCCTGAAGGTGTACAAAGTATTTTAACCTTCGACGGAATTACCATATATATATATATATATATAAATAAAGAGAAAAAATGACAATGATTCTTATACAAACCGAGTATGAAGATGATGATAAGGATTTGGTCGGGCGGTGATAACGTACTTTCTTCAGATACACTGTATATAATGCGCCCTCCGTTTTCTCTTCGCCCCAAAGTCGCCATGTGGGCTGCTGGAACAATATCAATTATAATTCTCCTTTTAGAAGAGAAATTAATGTAAAAACACAATTTTTTTATGCTGGAACCATACAAAAGACTATTGCTTTTTGAAAATAAGTAGAAGACACAAAGGTTGACAATGCCTACCGATGGTAGGTAGATTAATTGTATTGTCACTCATATAAATGCAGTAACTGGCATTCGTATTATCACATTAACTACATTATGGATTATTTCTCTTACATTTAAACTCGCTAATAATACGGTTGAAGATCAATTCACAACAAACTTTTCACATTTAGACAGGAATGTGCACCCTCAGCTTAAAGTACACGTTGCAAGGGCACATCTTTGAAAGATCTAGCAAATTAAAATGTATACTACGATTTTTCCTCGGATTTTTCAATCCACTGTTCTCACTATAGTACCATCCAAATCTTTTGAAACATACCTGCGGAAACAGATCTCTTCCACGTATACTTATAGCTGCTGAAATCTACCTAAAATGTCCACCTATACAGTTACATATACTGATATCTCGAAATTTATTTACTTAATAGACCGTCCATTGGTTGTATAATGTCCAAAATCAACAAAAATATTTCAGTTACGGTGATAGGTAAAAAATAAAAATTCGCCGTTCTTTACTACACAATAACACACGTCTCCAACTTGTCTCATTTTCAATTATGAACATGCTGGTGGTAATGGGTCATCTAAGTTCAAATGTTATTATCATTACAAGTCTGCCTATAATCAATCACACACCACAATCATAAGGTTAATAAAATTGTTGGTTGCTATAGCGATAAAAAAATTCATGCAATTCGAGGTATGTACCTCATTTAACTTGTTACTCAGGACAGATGAAACAAATTACGCAAGAGAGGTGGCCTATACCTAATGATTGGTAAAGCCCTCAACTGTGGCAAGGAAACCAACATACACGTCCAGTTACATACAATGTTGTTCGATACTGTACGTATATGCTGGTACAGTCATATTTGTGCCATATTTATAGTGTTAATTGATCATAATAATAGGCAGATGAGATGACAGTAAAAGAACAAAATTCATTGTATAACAGTATAATTTGCCAGTTATATAAGTAACATATTCTTTTAGACCACTCAACATGGGAACCAGAAGGTAGTGCATAGCATAGGTCATAATTACATTGTTGGTAATACTTCACGTGAACTTATTGCGCTATAGACATTCCACTTGATTTGTTCTATTTGATACGACTTGATATATACTTAGGTACTTATACCAATTCCTTAGTGGAGTACCTATACCTCGACCTATACCCACACATAATATGACTTTTCAAAGGCAGCTGGTGCGACTTTGTACACTTACAGATTCCTAAAATTGAGAACTAATAATTGTACTAATTGTACCTACTTTTAATATTTCTGGTGATTTTATAGTTAATAGTAAAAGCACATGTCACCAAGCATTTGTGCATAAATTAGTGTTGATGTTTTATAAACGAGAACAAGAATGAGAACTAAAGAAATGTTAGTAAACTGTAAGCTACACCCCCAGTAAAATGTGAAAGTCATTACACTCAGTTTGCAAACAAGATTCATTGTTTTTAGCAACTTACCTTCACATACCATTTCGCCGTTTCCTTTTTACCACCTTTTGTACCATTGCTCAGACCGCAAGCGCAAAGTAAAAATTTATTTCGTACCACAGCAGTATTTTTGACGGGACTTAGGGGACTGATGGGTGAACCGTTGGCCGAAAATAATTTTATTTTTGCTACGTTATTGTATAATTCTTGTGGAAAAGAGACGACGGGAGACGCCGAAGGTAACAACATTATTTAAAAAAAAATACATTTATAAAACACAAAAAACATGTGAAACGAGAAAAAGAAACACAATGCTATGACGGTGAGCAGTTTCGATTTACTGATCAACTTCTTCCTACAACTATACGACGTACGTTATCATCAAATTGGCGTTTACTTTACGGCATGCGCAAGTTTACCCTCCCCATTTCTACGCCTACTACAATATCGACAATATGCGTTAAAATACGTAATAATTACAGGAATTTAAACATTTTTGGTCGATTTCGTTCGAATGATTCAGTGCAAAACAATAGCAAGGTCAAAATCCTTGACCTTTTACCACTTTCTTGGAAAATGGTTCTTATTTTTATAAACACTTGTCCCTACTCAGAAAAAGCTATTTGTTATGTTTCGTCGAACCACCATTAAAGCTTGTAACATCGCCAATTTAACATGACGAATTTGAACGCATAATACACGCCCCGAAAAGATTTATTTTGAATAATGTAAAATCGAGGAAGAAACCAATAAGGCAATATAGTCAAAAGTTGGGGGTAATATGAAGGACTTATGGGGCAGTATGAGGAAATAAGGAGAACTCTGAAGAAATATGGCGGTAATACGGGAAAAGATGAAAGAATATGGGAAAATTATAAGGCGGCCAACCTTAGAGAAGGAAAGAGTGAGGAGTGATAATAATGATCGTAAAGTGAAGCCCACATTTGTTTATTTCACCGAAAACCTATAATTACCTGCGAAAGGATATACTTTCGTGTTTTTTGGCTATCACTTTCGTGCACTACAATGTACCATTGTCCAATAATGCTTAAGGATCGCATAATCACGAAAATGAAAAATTAAACAAATTTTGGCTCCGAAAATATGGCCGCCCCAGGCTTCAATGCACAGCATTGCCCTTGATAGAATGGGGATTTACGATCATTCAACCGCTTTAACCGAGGCCTACGTAAGTATCGTAGGCTTCGCTTTAAGCGATTGGTAGAAATCACCATAGAAACAATTGTGGCAATAATTGTAACTACAGTGACTTTATAAGGACAGTGGCGACAACTTATCCTCCATATTGGAGCTAAAAAATTGATTGTAGGATCAATATACCTTGTCATGTCAAATTGTGCCCGTAGGATAATAAATGTCAGTTTCATTTAAGTAAAGATTCTCGCAGAAATGATCGTTTAAAGCTTCGCAAAACAACCTATGGGAAAACCACTGCCTCCCAGATTCAAAAAGATATATAGAAAACGGTATAATAAGTAAAAGCCGTAAAAGAGATAATAGTAGTAAGGTAATAGTAGATTACATACCGAGCTGGGAAGTGGTTCATTACCTACGTCGAGGGCTTAAGGTACAGTGAGGTGCACGAGGCGTTGGTTATGAACCACTGACCATCGAGGTTTGTATACTATTTTATTCACAATCAGTTTTAACTTTTAAATAGGTAGTATAATAAATTCCACCAGTCTCAGCGTAACATTGCAATCTAGTCGGCATTGGCGTGCAAGTCGGGAAGTACTTTGCCGACCTCGGCGAGGTTCGCAAAAGATGACAAACAATTGCTCACTTCCAAACTTCAAAACAGTTAGCAATTGACATATTACATATGATTGTGAATAAAAATAATGTAGCATTGTGAACTCGATTGTGAGCCATCTTTGAAATCATCCTAGAGATAATAATAGTGACAATTCAACTCATGTATAAAAAATCGCATAAGCCGCAGTGAAATTGTCACTTTGACAGCAGCAAAAGTTACCTGCAACTTTTCCAGCGACAAATGCACTAGTGGTTTTTTCACTTATTCATTTTCGAACCAATTATCGCATTACCCTTTCCCATATGACTAGTTTGACGTCTGTCAATAATTGATTAATTTGGTGAATTTCTTGTTCGTTAAATTGTCCTGCCGAATTACACTCGAGGTTTGTATTTAAACCGAGTAAATTTGGGTTGTGGCAATTCAAATCTGTTTCCTTTTAGCAATTGGACTCGAAAAACTGTCAACCTAAAAATGCTCCACCTGCGGTGTCGCATTTTTATTAGTTGACAGTTTTTCTCGTCTAATTACTAGGCAACAGATTTTTATTACCTACACAACCCAAATTTACTCGGTAAAATACAAACCTCTTGTGCAATTATAAGTGAAAAACGAGGTGAAAAACTTCAATATACTCTTACAAAAGTGCATTTACTTGTTCAAGTACCAAATTGTTCGGACAACATTCATTGGCCCATATAGAAAAAGTAAAAATAAAAAAATAACATAAAAACCGAGATTAAAAACAATAACAAATCTGAGAACAAATCAATCACATTATTTGGAATTGATCAACATCGTTAGCTGTTAACTTTCCAGACTTTAGGTGTGTCGGGAAGCAAAAAAACCAGGCTTGAGAGCTCAAGTGGTAGATAGTGATGACCTACAAACAAAAATATTGCCTACAGAGATACCTATTGGTAATGTCCTATCAGATAAAATACTACAAACTCGTCGATTACGAGATAGATTTCCTTTGGTGTCCAACCTTATATTTGTATCCTTTGATTTTCATTGATAAGGGGGTTTACACCTAGCAGCATGACAAAAATTACAAAAAATTCATTAAGGAATACCTTATTAAAGGTTATACTGACCAAGCTATCTGCATCATTCATTTTTTCTTCGGCATTTTGAAAATATTTAATCCCAGTATTCTAGAAACATTTTCACACACATTTTGGCATCGGCACTCGGTCACACAAATTCATTTCAAGTGCGTATTAATTAGCAGTTAAAACGTCCACGAACACACAAAACAGATGCTCTTATCCCGTAACAACTCTTCTGGTTGAAAAATTATCTTATTTTACAAGGAAAATGTACATTTATAGTCATTTAGTCACATTTCTGTGGTTTATTTATACGTTTCTCTTAATTTCATATCGCGGGCCACATTCCAGAATTCGCTTTCTTTTTTATGACGTCATGTTTCACAGGCATACAATCAGATTTATCTGAAGCACTAGAACAGTACACCTAACCAGTAAAGTAACCAGGCATAGAATGACACAGACCATTACGAGATTTGTTTCTTTGATTCGTGTATTTTAAAATTACTACAAAAAAATGATCAAGTACATTACATTTAGAGTAGTGCCGGCATTGTTTATTTATAAATGAGTAAACAATTGCTGTCGGTTACAGTTGTCTATACGCGCCTTACCTTTTAAAAACTTGGCAACACTGCGCACCGCAAGGTGTGGAACTGTTGGATGACATGCAAAATAGTAAATACGAAATTAAAAAATGGCCGCGACATTGGCACCCGTTATTCCTGACGCTGGATTTTCTTTTGAAAATTGCAAAAGGTAAGCCAGTAAATTAAAAATATTTGACCAGATCGATCACACCATTTCTAAATATGATCAGCCAATCCACAAATTGATTTCTAACATAGTTTTTATTTAGGAATGCGGATTTGGTTAAGAAAGGGTTTCCTGCACCTACAGCTACAAAAACCGGGACTACCATTGTCGGTATAATATATAAGGATGGTGTTATTTTGGGAGCAGATACTCGCGCCACCGAAGATACCACAGTTTCGGACAAGAACTGCATGAAGATTCATTATTTGGCACCCAATATGTAGTAAGTTGCAGTTTTTTGACGTTTTAATGAAACATACTAGGTACGAAACTTGTAGCTGCTGTGGCGCCGGGACAGCTGCCGACACTGAGAAAACTAACGCAATGATTGCCTCCCAACTTGAATTGCATCGTCTCAATACAAATCGCACCGTCCCCATTGTTACAGCCAACCAAATGTTGAAGCAGTTTTTATTTCGCTATCAAGGACATATCGGGGCCGCTTTAATCTTAGGGGGAGTGGATAATACAGGCCCACATATTTACAGCATTTATCCCCACGGATCTACTGATAAGTTACCTTACACTACCATGGGCTCTGGCAGTTTGGCCGCTATGGCTGTATTTGAATCACGTTGGCACAAAGATCTAAGCGAGGAGGAAGGTAAACAACTAGTTCGAGATGCAATTGCTGCCGGTATTTTTAATGATCTCGGTTCCGGCTCAAATGTTGATCTTTGTGTAATTCGCAAGGGATCTGTGGATTTCTTAAGAACATACGATGAGGCAAATAAAAAGGGGGTGCGTCAAGCCTCGTATCGTTATCCAAAAGGAACTACTGCAATTTTAACTACAAAAACAAAAAATATTATAGTAGAAGATGTATCTGTTCGTCCTATTGAAGCTATGGATATATAAAGTTACTTTCCATTGTTTATTGGTAAAAAAATAATTTTTTGTATAAATTACTGTATAAAAAATTGCTACACTAATTTTTATGAACAATAAAATCCCAAGTATCTCTCCACCTAAGTCCAATAATATCGCTTGTCGTTAGCTGCACTACCCCATAACTTAGAACACTAAATTGTCTAAAAACTACAAAAATTGAACTTATCCAAATGAACAATAAAATTATAAAACTGTAAGCCAACCATTTTGCTTTTAAAACATCAATAAATACTGTGTAAATGTGCTCTAGAAGTCCTGCCATCAAGAAAACCTTGAAACAAAACGCAGGCAAATAATGATGTAAGAATAAAGTACGATCGACAAAAAAATATGGTACGTAATGTAGCAGATACCCAGTTAGGAAAACTTGTCCGATAAATTTAAATTTCTCCCATTTGCTTGAATCCAAATCGTTGCATAGTCGACGACGTCTCAATAAATAAAATATGAAGAGACTGCAATACAGTAGAAGGCTGAATGTTGCAGAGTACCAAATAATTAGGTTGCCAAGTAGGTGTATCTGTGCCTGTAAAGAAAAAGTTGTAAAACTAGAAAGATTATATTGGTAAGTATTGAAGTCTACGCAACTTTTTGTTGTAGTATAATTACGCATTAAAAGGAAATTACAAAATGTAAAATCGGTTTCTCGATCATTTTGGTGACCGCACCTTATTTTATACCGGGCGATATTCTAAAACCGAACATAGGGAATTAACATGGAAAAATGGTTTTTTGCACATCGTTACTCCGCAGATTAACTTAGAGGGTTTATAATGGCACCAATCGAAAGAAGATTTTTTCTCATCTAATGATATACGAATTAGTTCATTTTCAGGTGTATTTCTCATTATTTTATCAAAACTTTGGCAATAAATCCAATTGCCAAAATCATGTTAAGCCATGACTAGTAAGATAAAAAACAGATTCAAATTCAAGTTGAAATATCAGTTTATGATAACTGCCATTAATTTCTTGTAAAATGCAAGTTTACTGAGGAAAAAGCATTTGTAATAAACAACGTTTAGTGTGGAAATAGTTACTCTAGTACGCGATATTGTTTTCCGTACATTTTAATGAGCGTCTCATTCCGCCTGTGTCAAAACCTATTTCAATTCTTTAGGAAATTTCCATGGTTAGCATGATTTCGCTAATTGGATTTATTGGCGAATTTTTGATAAAATAATGAGAAATGCAACTGAAAATGAACTAATTCGTGTATCACAAGATAAGAAAAAAAATCATCTTTCGTTTGGTGTCATTATGAACGCTCTAAGTTAATATGGGGAGCAACAATTTGCAAAAAACGTTTTTCCTATGTTTGTTAATTGGCTATGTTTGGTTTTAGAATATTCACCAGGTATATAGAGTGTGAGATACATGTCAAAGTCCTTTCTATTTTTTATACACACAAGATGTGAAGATGGTTTAAAGAACGCAAATAAATTATATACTAAACGAGATAGGAACACCTCATATAAAAAGAATTAGAATTTTACAGCATCAAATTCGATAATAAAAGAAAAGAGGCGTAAGAAAGGAACTTTTTGTAATTGAACAAATGCAGCTGATTACCATTTTGCACGCCTGGCCGTGGCGCTCTTCGTGAAAGACCCTACAACTACATATAAATGTCTATGATGAATGTATGCATTCTGGCTGTGGTACTTCCAGAATGGGTTTATTCTGTAAGTGCCACAGCCAGAGAGAATCAATTCTTTGGACCTTTCATAACATAATTATTGTACTACACAGTAGAGTTCAATACTAATAAAGTAAAAATTACATTGCTATTATTTGCAACCCAGTAAGCAATACCACGTGACATCAAAGGCCATTCGGAAGGTTCCGAGCTATACATATGATTCTGTACACTCGATACTGTGGTAAAAATCATTTTATATTGCAGTTCGAAGAATTTATCCCAGAAAGATAATTTTGTCGGTGTTGTTGGTATCATTTCTGCACTTATCATCTCCCGTTCTCGATCTTTTTGGTTTTCCGCTAGTATGAAATAAAAGTTGTTGTTAAGTAAAATGAGAACCAATCGCTTACATTTTGTGTAACGGTGTTCCTCCACATTCCAAATTGTGTCATCCTGGTTGATAATTCTATCTGCAACGATTTCATGTTGGTGAAAACCCCAATCAGGTAACTGCCGACCGCTATATTTCAACGCTTGGCTTGAATCTACATGTATTAAACGTATCAAGGAGTGTATTGTACACCAAGAATCATCGTATCGGTCACGATTTAATATTTCAACTCGCCACAAATTTTGAGCCGGCATGGATACATTGTAATCTATATAACAGGAGACCTCCTGACACTGAGGAGACATTGGAGCAGCAACGTCGTGAGAATTCAAAGCCCTGCTAGTTAAACCTACAATTATGGCCGTCGTGTTTCACAATAAAACCCAAACACTCCTACATACCGTGAACCAATTGAATTATATCTCCATGTTTTATTGTATCCACAGTATCGACCACAAGATCATTTTTATCGGGACGCTTAACTATCCACCAGTTATTAACATCCTTAAACGAGTAGCAAGTCACTTGCTGCTGGTGACTGGATCCACGTTTGTCCATGTATCGTATCGGATAGACGTGCGTATGCGAATGTAACCAACATGTGCGTCCACGACTGTGTCGTAATGTAATTTGCGAACCATGAGCGACGACTAGTGGTTGACCTTTTGTAATTGACGCGAGTCCACCTTCCAGTGATGCTTGAAATGCACTCGTCATCACGCTATCGTGAGGGCCGGCTTTATACAGTACAGTTAGATGGAAATAAAAAATCACCAAGTAAACGATCACAGGTATGAGAGCTCCTACTAGAGTTTGTATTAACAGTCTAATAATTAAAGTGAGGTTTGTAATTTTTGGTGAAGATAAAGATACCCAAAAATCACGCCCTAAGATTGCAATGGCCAAGCAACATGAATAAAAGCCAGAATACTTAACACAAAGGGCGCAAGTTAACGAAAATGAACCTATAATCAACCAAAACCACCAAAAAATGCAAAATTGCTCGCAATAATACTTGCGAAATTTTAAAATGGACAAAAGACCAAATGTCGAAAATAGTAGAAGCATGGATTCCATTAATATAAAACGACTCTGAGTTAAAACGGCATTGTCGAACAATAATAAAAGGGCCGCAAGTACAGACGTCCACTGAGTTAAACCAATCTCGAGCATTAAATGATATGTAACAGGTATAAAGAGGCTACCGCATAATGCAGGTATAAAACGTAGTGCAAATAATGGAACCGACTCGTTGTAAGGACTACCGATTCGATCAAATTTGTATGTCCCATCAAATCCCATCAGATAAGCAAGTGCCGCGATTAATTGCTTTCCTAATGGTGGATGTGAATCGAAAAAGAAAGTATTGCGCATATACAGTGACACATATTTTCCATAATGTAATTCATCAAACCTAAAAAATGTAAACCATAAAAACTCATTTGCGAAAAGTATGTTTTACACTTACACAATGTACTTCGGTTCTTGCAGTTTATACATTCGAGTGACTAAACTTAAAACCAACAGACTAACTGAGATTAGATCGATCTCACAGGAGATTCTACAAAACCTTTCCGAACATGTGCTTGTTACACAATCCCCAGAAAGTTTCTGTTTTTGATCAATACTGGAACTTGTGCAGGGTGCCGCACTTCCATCGCCACTATCCCGAGCTTGAGCGGCCTTTTCATTCTTTGATTTTGCATTTTCACGATATATTTTAATGTCCATATGTACAAAAAATCACCTGTCCCCAATACAAGCTTCAAGCTCTTGGCATTTGCCACCTGAGCACTGCATTAGCAAATTCCTTGCAGGTTGTCGACCTTGAACTCTATTTTCAAAATACAAACCACGACCTGTCCTAAATTGTAGATGGCATTGGTAGATGGAGCTTAGACAGGAAAGAATATAATTTTAGCATATATATACATCTCTTATATATATGAATTTTAGTGACACTTGTCGTTGTATATTTTTAACCTCAAAATGATATATGTCAATTATTTACATTTTTGCCAAAATTTGCTAAAATTTCGTCCAAATATTCAAGCGAGATTGTATATGTGTACCACCGTTTTGGAAAAAGAAGATGATATTGAAGCTCCATCCATTAATTATTTGTCTTCTTCCAATCATTACAAAATAGGTAGAAAACATGCCGCCGAAAAATTACAGGAGTTGTTCAACTTGAAACCATCAGATGCGATTGAGGTCGCATTAAGGTTTAATAAACTAACTAAAGTAATGACTAAAACAATTACGGATAATTACGACTTATTAAAACAGAAACATGTGCCTCAAGAAATTATTTTAAGTTACTTGGATGTATTAGCGGAACCAAATTTGATGGAAAAAATAAAATTACTTAAGCCATTATCCTTACCAGTTTCACAATTATTTCCGTTACTATTAATGAGTGTGGAAGACATCAAGAAGTTTGTGAATACAAATGTTGTTGACAAACGGTGTGTTCACAGTGGACGTATCGTCTACATTGCTACTCTACTTAATGTATGTTTCAACGTTTCGTATAGATGAATGAATAACATAAAGATAGATTTCAGTGTACGATGCTGCCAAAGCTTTACTTCGTAAACCCTTTTTACGTAGAATTAATTTGGACACATTAAAGCAAAAGATAGATTTTCTGTTGGGTAATGTCATTGTTGTCTTTTTAATTACTCGGAGATTATTTTAAGGTTGGGGTATAACCATGGAAGAAATTTCAAATGATTATTGGATTTTAGCATACAATGAAAGCATGATTAAAGAAAGGATCGAATTTGTTAAACAGTGTAATGTTGATAAAATTAAAACGTGGATGGTGCGAGCACCAATTCATATCTTAAATAGGTAAGTAAAATCATTGCATATAATGCATATCAAGATCTTTTTTTTAGATATATACAAAGGCGAAGCGACAATAAGCAGATCTTAGGCGAGGCAACTTTGGTAGAGTACTTATCTGATAAATTGGAATGCAAATTGGAGGTGGCAAAGTCTTTACTGGCAAAGCATCCTGCCTTGCTACATAAACATATGACAAAAATTAAGGAGATTATCGACTTTTTATATGCAGAAGGTTTTACTCCGATACACATTGTGAGAAATCCAAAAATATTGCTGCATAGTGTGGAAACAACAGCCAAACGTTTAAAAGAGCTGAAAGCATTGGACATAAAGCTAGATAGTTTATATATACTGACAAAAAGTCAGAAGCAGTATTTCAACCACTATGAAAATTTAGTGAAAACTAAAGGGAAAATTAAAGAAAATACCTCAACTTAACCTATAGTTTTATTTTGTTTTATCCATGAGGTTGAATTAAAGTATATAAATAACATAGTTGCCGCAACTCTTGCTTGCTGATCTTGTTGACTAAGATCATGTGCCCATTCTACACGTCCCCATTTTTGTAATTGACATTCCTCTTCTAACCTCGACAGCAAGGCAGCCTTTTCGGGTGTTAAAGAGCGTTCAACACATGCTACCGTTAATAACACAGACTTAAGTGTGTCTATTGCGTAAACGAATCCATTTACACATTCAAAATTGTAAGCAATTAAATGTCTGTACACGACTGCTTTTGTTTCTGGTGAAATTGTAGGAGATTCCATACTTCGTGATTTTTGTAAATCCACCTGAAATTTATCGCAAAACCATTGTATAATAGGATCCCATTCGGCCACTTGGAGTTTATATAGTTCGTCATTTTCCTACAATTTCATTTAAGCATTGTATAGCTAAATGAACTATACATACGAACATGTGAATGGAATAGTATTAAATCTGTATCTAAAGAATTTAAAATATAATTAACCATATCGTATTTTGATAAATTGTTAGGATTATCGATTGCAGTGTTACATAATGTACTCTAAAAGAATGAAAAAATATAAATAGGTCCCTATATCTTTGAAGGAACTTACCAAATGCATATTACTTTGCTTAATTATATCTTTTTGTGAATCCCATTCTGCAGCAACTGCTAATGCAAGTGGTTCACTACTTACAGAAAATAAGTTACCCTTCGGTGTTTTAAGCTTACGCTGGTCCAATGTAATTTCGTACTTGCCATCACTGAATAAAATTCCAGTTTTCCGATAGAATCTCTTCCTTGTAGCTGCAAATACCAACAAGAAGTTATGAAATTTTTTATTTAACGTACCATAAAACCTCATTATTAAATTTAGTGAAATTTTCGAATATACGGTATGAAATGGTTGTAATATCGGCGACATTTTATTTTCAAATTTGCAAAAGAAAGAGGTTATGATGAACAAAATACAAATCACATGTTCAACCTCCTCTCCTTACAATTGCGCATGCGAGAGAACCGTGAAACGTGTGAAAAGTTGCAACATTGCAACTTTGACGTTTCTTTCGCATGCGTATTGTAGAGAGCCCACGTCGATAGGATCAGCTGATCGAGGGCGAAACCTTTCAGTAAGAAAAATTTAAAATACTAAGGGCGAAACAGCCTCTTTCTTTCACGTTTGCATTTCAGTTCCCTTTATACACATCCATTCGGACAGCCGAAAGAAAATTATCACTTACAAATTTTGCACAAGATTCATCATTTCTGAGTTGCAGATTTACGAAATGACAACAAAATTAGATATTGTGAATATAATAGAAAATGATGGTGAATAATTATTTCTAAACTGAAAAGATAATAATAACAAAATAATTATTGTAGATGTGCTAAACTTGTTTTTGCACCCAAAACCCAAAAGTGAATTATTGAAGAGTCTAACAATTGCGGAACAAGTCGCAAAATTGAGCAATGGAATTGACATAATCACTAAAGAATTACAGAAACAGGTCTTGTCTCGACATGATGATCTCATTCGTCAGGCTACCCACGCAAATAACTTGGAGATCATTTTAAGCAATATGAACGTGCATATGCAGAATTTATTAACAAATGCGGAACGTCTAAAGATTCAAATCGTTTCCCCTTTTAAGGCATTGCACATGCATACTACTGTGCTATCGCGTCTACATCTAGCTAGCCATATATTGAGGCAAGTGAATCGTATTCAGCAATCTAGTAGACGCCTCTGTAATATTGCGGATCCTATACAGAAAGCAACAATTTTGCAGGAACTGGGTAAGTGTCTATGACTTTGAAAAATAATCGTAATTTTTAATAATAGAGCAACTAACGGCCGATCCACTACTAATGGACATTGATGCTGTTATATCAGAATTACGAAATATTAGAGCACAGCAACAGAATGTTGTTAAAATTGCCAAAACATCGTTAAATCAAGGTATAATTAATGGTAATGTTACACAAACCACAAGTGCTTTACAGGTAAATCGATTTTCTCGTATCAGAATCAGTCTTTAGTGCTTGTTGTAGATTTTTATTAACTTAGGAACTATTCAATCGGCCATGGAGAGTTTTATAGACGTCTGTTTGGACGAGTGTAAGGAATGCTTAAAATTGACATTGGGTGGGAAAGTGGGAATGTCAACAGACATATCGAAAAAACAGATTGGCCCCGGTCGAGCCAACATGTCTTCATCCCAAGGTTTCAAAAGTAGAATATGGACAGATTTAGAAAAAACATTCTCCGATGAGATTTACCTACAGTGCAAACAGGTAAATAAGATCACCTCCACAAAATCCTATATGAATTATGAGTTAGATGAAATTTTTACAAGAAAGGCTCGACTGCTTGAATTTGTATGACGGTCACACTGTAGCATCAACTTTTTGGGATCGATTATGTAATTATATCATTGAAGAGATGAATAATTCAGGAGCTGCCGTACGGCAGTTGCTAGAAGTGGATTATCCGAAACTGTTGAAATTGTACAATGATATGATATTAAAACTCAACTACAATCATTTCGGCTTTAAGTAAGTAAGTATTTATGTAAGTTGATAATGAATTCATGCTTTTCATTGGCAGAAAGAATATCCTGGGAAAGTGGGAAAATGGTTACCTATCGAACACATTAAATAAACTTCTCGATGCGACACAATCCATGTTTACTCAAGAAAATTCGGTACCTTCGCACGACCAAATTGACTTGCTGATACGTAACATTACAAAGTAATTAGATCCCTAGTTAGGATATGCTTCTACCTCGGCTTTTATGTATTTTTTTAAGTGACTTGAGTGTTGCATTGGTTGAAGAATGCCTAAATGAGAAGATAGGAAAAAATGTAGCAAAGTGTATTCGCATGTTCGCTGTCAAAACAGAACAACAACTTATTACAGGATCAGATGCTATACAAGTTATTGGTAAGTCACTAGTAATAGACTGAAAATCCATCTGTATGTGGACAGTTGAATTTTTACTTTTCATTGCTACTTATTAATTGAGTAATATTCTAGGTGGTACGCCCAGTAGCTCACAGTTGCGCAACATTGAACGAGCAAACGCAATGTACTATCTCCGTGTCCAAGTAGAGAGATTGGTAATTAATATGAAAGAAAGTTTATCTTTGAATACTATAGCAATTATCAGCGAAAGTTTATCAAGCTTAGATAACTTAACTGCAGGAATTATACAACCATTAACAGGTAAGTTACTTACCCATTTTTACTTGTTAATATTTCGTATAAAATATGATTTCAGAATCAATTAATGCTACAATTGAAACCATTATAATCACTCTACATTTGGAACAAGATTGGGTTAAGTTGCAATCGCCTGCTACAAGAAGTAATATACCCTGCAGTCCATATATGCGCGAATTAACACAATTCATCTTCAGAGTCAATAGCACTTATTTGAATTTGTTTGAGAACAAGGATGTGTTAGCCTTAAAGTATGTCTTTTTGCAATGCACACACCCGCATAAATATTAAAGGGAAATTTAAAAAAATGAATTTCCTTCCACGTTTCCATGACACTACATGTTAAAACATAAACAATGTCCTCCATAAATAACGCGCGCGCTTAACCATTAATCCAATAATTCATAAGCACTCGTTGTATTACCCCCGAATATTAGGTAGGTATCCCTGAACATTTTCAAATTTATGAAACGGATAATGTACATTTAATAATATTATACTTCGGCGCGCGTTGTTCCTCTATTTCATTTGACCAATGAAATTGCATTATTTGGCCGGATCGTCCAGCGACTGTGCAGTATGCTTAAATGCGGCCCGGTTTCACAAACGATGATTAAGGTTAATCAATGATTAAAACTACATATTAGAATGTTAGCCACCTTTGATTATACACTCATTTCACATTTGTTTCCCATTCTAATATTTTTAATCAGTGATTAACCTTAATCATCGTTTGTGAAACCGGGCAATAGACATCAGCAAGGTGCTGCCCGTAAAGTATATAGGCAGCAGGAAAAGTAGTCCGGCCTGCCTCTGTCATGGAAACTAAAAAATAATGGTAAAATAGAAAGTAAATAGTTACATAAGAGTTTCATTTTTTATATATATTCTGTTTGTGATCTAGAAGTGTAAATTAACTATTAAGTAAGCATTTGTATTCTGGACTTTAGAATTGACAGTGGTTTAATATACCTAATACTAATATTAAATTTTATTGTAGGTGCAATGATATTGTGCTACGTTGCATTGATTTACTTGTGCGTCATACGTCTTTACTTCGTCCAATTTCCCACGGTGGACGAATGCGTCTACAAGTGGATTACATTCATTTGGAGAATGCGTTAAAGGTATTATATCCATATTTAGCAGATATGGGTCGACCATACAGGTGGTTCTGTGATATTCTCTACTTTTCATTGAACATGTAATTTTTAGGTTACTTAAGTCAATGGCCACCCTTATAACTTTGACACCTGCTGAAATAATAAAAAAACAAATCTCAGGAAGTTCTGTACCTCACAGTACAGTACTACTACTTCTTTTTTCTTTTGCTGGAAATGATTTGGCCAGTCCACATCAAAATGCTGCGTGGAGTCTTTCCCAATTGTCATCTTGGCTTGACGAGCACTTGGCAGAATCTGACCGGTAAATACAGCATAAATGTTCCAGTGTTGCACTTAAAATTATTTTTAGCTTGGATTTAATAGCAGGGGCACTTCAAAGATATGAAAATGATATAAGGTTAAAAAATTTACGCACATATGATCCGGTATACCCCATTATAAAGGAATTATTTGAGCATGCTATTACAGAACGTAGTTCGTAAATATTATACAAATGTCAAATACTTACACTGTCAAACTGAATAATTTTTTCCCTCTGTAGTTAAATAATTGGGCTCGTTCATAAGACACAACAGTTACCGATATCACAGATACATATTGTATGTGTATATATCTGTGCCGATATGCTACGAGGTACCTTTTGACATTTGTAGCGCTCTTAGACTATATAGTAGGTACATGGACTGCTAATTGCAACTAAAATACGGTCAAGGACATCGCCTGGGTATTTGAGTTTCAGGGTAAACGAGTCTGTCCAAAATTGTCCAATGAGACACGATTTGAGACTGTCAATCTATAAATTAACAACGTCAATTAATTAATCGTCTAGATATTGCAAAAAATGCAAATCCATTCTTATTTGTGGACCTGAGATTCACATACCCACGACTACACAGTGCCCTCTATCCGTAACCACCCATTTTGAATTGAAAGCATAGGACTAATAGCGGTTGATGTACTATATGGTCCAAGGTAGCACTACCAAAAATGGCCAACTGCTCTGTAAAGTGCGTAAAAGTCTCGGTAAAAGTAGAATTATAAGACGTATCGTTAACTGTTCCACAACAGTTGTCTTATGAACGCACCCATTTTAGGTGCTAGGTGATTATAGTGATTGTACTCTTCACTGTAAGGAAGGAATTTGATCAGTATTAAGCGTGTTTGTAACTCGGAGCAAGAAATAAAGATATGGAGGCCTGCGCTATAATAACGCGAACGTTTGTTTTGTATAACAAAAGGTAGACAGTAGCACAGAGTATTTTATCTGTGACATTAATAACTGCACTAATTCCACAAACAGTACGCTCTTTCCCCATTTCAAAGGGTTCAGATAAATCATTAAACACCATCGAATAATAGTTTCCGATCCCACATAAGGTCAACCCCATCTGTTTACCAAGTGAAATACGTTTTTTAGCAATCCTGATATGTAAACAAACATTGCAAAAGGGTTGCCTAAAAAATTAAGTCAAGACTACCCTCAATTGAAATTAATATTTCTAACTGCTTCTATCACATATAGAGAGCGCGTGTTCCGTGGAACCCTGCTAGCTAGGGCGCTGGGCCCATTGGATTTTTACGGAATGACACGAGGACAAAAAAATAAATTCCTTTGAATGCATCGCCATCGTAGCCATGTTGATTCAGCAAGATCTAGTTACCCGTGGATGTTTTGGTGAAAAATGAATGTAAAACTTTCGAATTTGAAATTTTTCTTGTAAATTTCTGTAGAAGTATAGTGTGACGTTATTTTTTTGTCTTCTTACTCTACGAAAAAATCCAATATGGCGCCCATAAGAAATAGGAAAGTACATACATAATATAGTAGCCTGTAGCTTCTACATCTAGCGTGTTTTGGAAATTACATATTCAGATTCCTTGAAAAAAAAACTGCCTATAGAAGGTGCCAACGGGAACCATCCATTTCTAACCGTTTAGGCCTAGGGAAAGAGAAAAGAAAATTTGAGATTTTCACTTTGTTGATAACTTGGTTATTTTCAAAAATTTCTTCAAGCGTTTTTTTTAATCGCAAACAGAGGCAACTTTGCTCCCGTCCCGTTTAACCTACACTGTATCACTATTGCAGAGATTGCAATGGTGAGCCACGAATTTGAAACACCCTGTAGTTACATAAGCAACATATTGTATAAATGTAAGGATAGTAACCTACGATTAGGTTAGTAACATATAAACATCAAATTAGTTTATAATTCTTTATTTCATGCTCGATTTCATGGTATGTCTATCAAGCAATAATACTTACTATTTATGTATAATAATTACTGCTTTTCAAATACAACCAATGAAAAGAAAAAACTTCATAATTTTAGTTTTTTTATTTTGATAGTCTATTCAAATCGGGGTATGCTTATGTAAATTTGTTAATTGATCCTTTACCTTATCAATTTCTTCTTGAGCAACGGTAACTTCAACATTGCATTCTTCTTGTTCTTTACGTATAAATTCTAAAGTACACATCTTTTCTTGCAAGAATTTAGGTTGCTCTGCTTCAAGTTGTTTACGAAAAGTTTTCAGTCGATCACTCCTTATATCTTCACAATGCTTATCTGTTAATTTCCTTAATGATTCTTTTCGTGTAACACTCTGAAAATCAAGCGGTTGGGGCTTGTAAACTATGTTTAAGCTATCAATTAACCACTCAAATTTTTTATAATCCCATCTGCGTAGATATTTTAATTGTTTTTTGCGCTTATCAATTAATTCTTTTAGTTTCACTCTTAATCGAACATTGTGAGGAAATTTCTCGACCAAATCTTGCATAGCACGAATAGCACCTGTCCAACGGGCAATTTTGGCTTCAATGGAACCTTCGTCTTGATTATGTCGCTTAGTGCTGTCGATTAACTGTCTAAGATACAGCTGAGTTGTTTTGTAACGTGGAGCATACTCCAATGAAAACAGTTTTTTCACCAAATCGTTTGCATTCGCCAGTTCTTGAGAATTTCGAAATTCTAGCTGTAATTGCGTTTTATCCAATTTAGGCATTGGAACTAGATCGCCACTTTTTGCGGGATTATAACAAGGTATTTTTTCTGGACGAACCCATTTAATCTTCAAATTACTTTTGAATGCATAGTTTCTTGTGCACGTCAACAGAGTTGGTATAAGAAAAGTTGACAATTCCTTACGACGTATAATGTTCATGTTAGTGATTTTTCAATAACTTTTATTACGTTCCCAATAAAAAATAGAAATTAGAAAGGTTATGTATCGTATGTGTCTCCCATACCAACCAGTGACACGGACGTTGATTACGGTCAAATATGTGCCAAAGTTACAATTTTACAGTGTTGCGACATCTAGATACTTGTAGCTAGATACTTTTGCAGCATCTATACCTTTGATTATATACTACTGGATAGCGTGTTCCAATTCGTGCAACCCAGATAGCTATAATTTTTCAGTGAAATAAATGAGATAAAAGAAGAAGTTTGTACCAATTTGAATTGCGCATGTCAGGCGTTAATAAACCGTAAACTAATGGCGTGGTCGATATAACAAGAGCTGATTCTTTGCTTTCGTTCCTTATTTGCTTTATACGTTATTTGGGCTGTACCTTTAATTAATCATGATAATTCTGCGTAGTTTTTATGTTTGTAAAGAGAATAATTCATAATATGCAATTAACGTGAAGGTAAATGTTTACTTCCAAAATAGATGTAACGTTTCAATAGTCCGACTATTCCCGCGCAAAGTTTATACCGTAAGCATGCGCATAATGATTTGGTACAAACATACCTCTATCTCTTTTTTTGGAACATACCGCGCTATCCAGTAGTATATAATCAAAGATCTATACTCTATTCATTTTAAGAAGGTAGTGGTAGAAAACATAGGGAAGTTTTAACCTTCACTGTGAATGGTTAAAACACGAGTCAGTATTACGCTAAAAAATAAAAGGAGTGGCAAATTTTGCAAGTTGGTAGTTCCCATCACAATGTTCCCACTAAACTGTCGAACTGTCATTAGCTGTTATTGCTGTTAAGAGGGGCGTTCAATGCATGAATCGATATGTATCGATTTATATCTCTTTTAATAATTTACTGTTCAACAAACTCCTAAAAAATGAATCGTATAAATTGTACGATTCATCTTATGTATCGAACAACCATACCCCCACTTGTGAGTGAAATATGCATAAATAATCATTTTCCAATGCCGACACGTTTTTATTGAATTTAATCCCTTAAGCTTTGTGCATTAATAGGTAATTTTAATCCCTAGGGATTAAAAAAATGTTAATCCCTCATTTTTGATTTCTTGTAAAACATTCAGAAAGTACCTATTCATTTTCTTTATTTTCAGAACAGGTACCTAATATGAAAAGCACAATTTATAAAGGGCCTTAGTGTATGTACATCCAGCTCTTCCTATATAATGCCAAATAACTGCGTTCTTCTCCGCCTCAACAATGGTAAAAACTCTTGACTTTTAGTTTTTGTATCTGGAATTCTAACTACCAGCATCGATTCTCCATCTTCTATGTATAGTCTACGTTCATTTTTAACAATTCCTCTGATCTGCAAGCTGCAACTTCCTCCAATATCCATAATTGTCGCACAATCTACAACCACTAACTTTGGAAGCAGGAGCATGAAATGTTTTACACAAAGGTGATGAAAGAAGCGCCTTGATATGTTTCGTCACTTTCGTCTTCAATATTTTTAGAAGGGTTTACAGGCATGATTTTACCAAAATAAAAAATTCTTAATTTTTGTTAACAGTTACAAACAAGCGAGCGTAACTATGACATCCTAAAAAGCCTATCTTACTTTTTCATATAGTTTTTATAGCATATTAATTTTCAAATGGATTCAGATCGGTCGGTATTGGAAAAATAGTATAAGTAACATCCTCAAGAATTTTAAAGCCCTCGGGAAGCCTCGGGCTTTAAACCATTTTTTCAGGAACAAAAACTCTTTTTAATCCCTTGTTACTTATATAGGTACTACAGTGCCACCATGCTCAGAAAAGCCCCGGAAAATATGCGAACTAATTTTGAAATAATTCAAACTGGCCAATAGAAAGTCTGCAAAACCACGCGATACATTCCGCGGCATAATTATTAATTATTCCGTTTTGACAGTTGACGCTTCATGTTATTTTAGTTTACACTTTTCCTGTTGTATTTGCTTTATTTTACGTTTTCCATCTCCAGTTTTATACAAACTCGTCTTTTTTCAAAACGCATATAGCTTGGATCTACGATCTGATAAGGTATGTAATTCCCTTAAAGTGTTTTTAAATTTTGTATTAGAATGTACGGTCTAAATTTCTAGCGCCCTCGGACACGCCTTGTCAGGGACTTTCTGAGCGTGGTGCCACTGTACCTATTACAATTTATGTTAAAATACCAAACAATTGAAGTAACATATCTCACTCACTAGATGTGGATGCAATAAAATATGAGGCAGATGCGCAATTTGCAATATTAAACTTTTACTTTTTCATGAAGTCTTGCAAATGGTAAAATGTAGATACGTTAAATGTGCCACAGATCCTTTTTAGTACATTTTTTTCATCCTTGAATTTAAATGACCTTCCCATCAACTTGAATCATGCGTAGGTACCTAACAATGAATAAAAAGTACCATTTATTGGTCGTATCTAATACCTATACATTTATACCTAGTTATTATAGGCGTGGGCGTCTAAGGGAAGGGTTCGGCAATGATACCTATTTTAGTGCTCAATTTTTCAAGAATTCCAATTAAGTTTCAAATCGCCGTCCATTTTATTAATTTAGTAAAGAGTAGTTTAGGTGGATGAGTAGGTACTTTCACTTGAAAAACTTATGTTGCGTTACCGACGCGTGGAACGTCCTAATTCCCTGTTATTTATCTGCGCGTTTCTATTTAAACTTATTAATTATAACCATTTTACGTATACCCATACCGAACGAATTTTTACTAAAACAGAAAAATTGCACCGTCAGTCGTAGATTTATGTACGAATATCAATGAATACCTATATGTATTATGATGTATATTGTATAGGTACCATTGGGTTTCAATGATAGGCACCTATAGTATATAGAGTAATAATTTCAAATTAATCTCCTGGCATCCACTCCTATTGTATTTGGACAGGTAGGTAGTCAATGAAATTGCCGCCATTTTAGTAGGAAATTCCAATAATTTGATGTGCCTATGAATAATAATAATAAACTTTTTAATGCCGTTAGATTACAAAATGTAATATTGCCGAAAACACCCGAATCGGCATCAATCTGCATCTAATGAGTAGATAGTCGTATCTAAAATGACGCTTCGACCACTATAGGTCCGTAAGAACCTTCTAACAAAGAATCAGAAAACTAAAAATATGAATGAAATCGGTAAAATCGTTTTGACGTTTTCGCGTGATCAATAAGGGAAATAGGGATTCATTTTTATATAGAGAGAATGCATTATAATGTATACCTACCTATAAAACAAAGATAACAAGTTTGATCATAGTATTCACCGATTATGTTTTAATAGGTACATATAAAACAAAAATCAGCTTCTACGAAATTTCTGAACTACGATTTTAAACCCTCGGGCAAACAAACGGGGTCCATCATGTCCATGCAGATTACATTAAATATATTTCTTGAAAAATGTGATAGAAACTGAAGATTCTATTACTTAATTAAAGTAACTTCGAAACATTCTAGGTAGGCGCATGCTTTAACAATTCATTGAATCAAAATTGAGGCTTTACGTGAAATTACTTTGAATGTTTTAATCCATTATTGTTACTTACTTATACTATAGTCACCTCCGCATATGGTAGAAAAAAAGCTAGTTGGCTCCCTTGGAAGCAAAAGTACCATTTTGGACTTTCATCTAGAGAAGGGTTACACTTTCAATTAAGATAGTAAAGAAAATGAATATTGTATTTGTGGATGATTTTTTCCTATCATATTCGAGTTAGAATTACTGTCTATACCTACAGACAGTTAAATAATGAGATGCACAAATTCCTCTAGAAATTTATTTACCGAAACATCTTATTTTTGAAAGTTAATTTTCGTGGTAGAGGTATATTATATACCTACCTAGTATAACAAACGTAAAACAGTGATGTGGAAATAGGTACAGTTATTTTCAAGCAAATATGGTCATCGTCGTCCAAATCGAATAATTTCTCATATATTACGTTACCTACTACAGTTTGCTAAAAAAAACTGCAAAGTTACGTCAAAAGGCAAAGACCAACAGATTATAGTGATAGTGGATTTATAGAATCCGGAGGTAAGTAACCCTAGGGCAAAGATTCTATCTAGGTTATAAAGTCGTGGGGATATAGGACGGCTATAAACCGATGCACAACACCGTATTTACCAGTTACATCAAAGTAGTTCTTGTTTTGTATTTGTTGAATTTACACACAGGTGAGTTCGTACCTACGTGAGTGTGCGGGTATAGGTGCAATCTACGTTGCTTTTTTTCCACCTACTCTGCGGGTACCAGCGGCGTTAAGTAAGTACTTACTATGCTAGTTACTTAGGTGCATCATGAACTGTATAATTAGGTAGGTATATATTTTTAATGCAATTATTTGTAAATGTCGTGATTCCTATCATTTTTTGATGATAAACTACATTGAGTTGGTTAAAAATAGGTACCTACCTACCGATTTTCTCTTCGATAATGGTTTAAAATTATCACAATTTATGAGTGAATTGACCATTTTGTCTTCATCTATCTGTCCATACAAGGCAGCAAGTTCTCTTTATACCACTACAAGTACCTATAAGTATATTGGTCATGTCTTTACAGAACTAAAGGAAACAGCACAACGCGTTATTCATTTACCTACATGTTGGGCAATCCATTATCAAAACGCGATGTGCAAATTGAAGCTTGAAGAGTAGGGACTTTAAGGAAAAGAAAATCTAAGTTGCGAAATGTTTTTCTGAAATCAAGGTAGATCATTGAACGGTACTAAAATGGGAGCACCGCTGCTTCCTTATAGTGAACGCGAGCTGCACAAACCTTTCGTGGTATTATATAATAACGTACAACGATTAGGTATTCTTCTATTCATTTAATCAAAACTTTCGTTACTAAATTGCCTTGCCATTCTAAATAGGAAATTGGCAAATCTGTATTACCTATCGCATGACATGTGTAAGCGTATAGGTCAATGTAAGAACATGGTGAAAACTCCTATCGAACATCAAGTCACGTGCCATTCTTTCATTACTAAAATTAAAGGCACACTTTTTTATAGTTTGTGTTATTATTTGGGCACATATGCCTACACCCTACCTCGTCACGCATCTGCAGTAGGTACCTGTATCAGTCATTAAAATTGTCTGGTTCTTAATTTCTCTGATGGTAGACGTAGAGGAGCGGAAGTATCACGTTTAGGTAGGTACCTACCTACCTATTGTTTATTGCAGGGACTAATCAATAGACGTGCCGTACTCTGAATAATTTACAATCGAAATGTTCGCTAAACCACTTTCTACAGGCGTATAGAAACGCGAACGGTTTTTAAATATTTTTAACATTACATATTTGCACGTTGGTACGTAAGTACCTATATTACCTATTCGTATTTGTAACGGTCGCTTTATAAATGCAGGTCGGTTTAATATTTTGACTAAGTAATAGACACGAAAGTTTAATGAAATAAGTATTAGTAGATGTATCCCCGGCTGATGTTCGTGAAAGCCTAACGCGATGGGTCACCACCTGACCCAGATCCCCCGGAAGTGTTCCTTCTTTAATCCAGGACAATCGAATACCACTAACGAAGCTTGACATGGAATGTCTGCAATCCCCGTTGTCTTGTTAGTTATGGCAATGGTAATCGATCACGCCCAAAAATTTCTGTCCCGTGTCTTTCAACTTCAAATGATGCCATTTTAGCCAATTTCCAATATTGCAAGGACATGAAAACTGCAAGACTAAAATACCTATCTAATTAATTTTCCAATTATTTGACGAATGTTAAAGTTTCGTGTCATCTAATAGTGGCACAACGATTAGCTATCTATACCTAGCTACCTACATTACTTAAATTTGTCTCTAGTGCATGCCAGTCACGAACTTGATGTCAGTTCACTTTCGTTTGATTAAAACGATTCGGTAGGTTACATTCGCATAACGTACCTAACTCTCATAATTCATGTCATACGAATCAAAAGCGAACATTTTACCTACTGGACAATTAAACCCCGGCAAAAAGGGATATCTTTTAATTTATAAGATAACGATTGTCAATTGTTTGTACGTGATTAATACACTCCATTAATATATACAATCAGCTTGGTGATTGTTTCAAATTCTAACCAATCAAATGATTTTTTATCTGATTAAAAGCTAGGTAGATTTTTATCAGCGATTAAACGCTAGGTACCTAGCTTTTCATCAGCGATAAAAATGCGCGTAGGAATGCGTAAAATATATACCTAGTGGTTGTAAAATTTACTGTCGTTATTAATCTCCCTAAAATACACTCGATCTTGGTTTTAAATCAGGATAATTTTATTTTTAATTCACTCAAATTTTGATGCTTCCTGGAAAAAACTCTCGATCAAAAGCACACTTTTGATCTCTAGTTTTTTCCGTTGCAACAAAACTTTCGTGTAAAAATAAAATTATCCGATTCTCTTGTGTATTTACCCCCGAATAATATACCGAGGTACAAATATTTTAAACAAATAGGTAGACATGGTTAAATAACATTGGTGAACGATTAAAATATTCATTCACAGTTTATAATTGTAAAATTTTTAATAAAACGGAAAGTGCGACAAAGAATGCCATGCTCGTATATATGCGCGGTGTATTATACTTACTAATAATTATAGGTAGGTACCTACGTACTTTCTCAAAAATGAATTATGATGTAGGTATGTATAGGCAAGATAAAGTTTCTGATTCCAAATTGAAACTCAGTGATCAAACCATTGAAAACGCAGCTAAACAACCATTTCGCAATATTAATGGTAGGTATCTCGAAAGATTTTAATTATCGGCAGTCAGAAACGATTTCCCATGAATGTAATAGGTATGATGCAATTGTCAGGATTTAAATGTCGATGTACATCAGTACGCCTCAACGATTCCCTTTGACCAAATTCAATAATACTTACCACTCAAATAGTAGGTAACTATAATTAAGGTACCTACCTGTATAAAATTGATTTTATATCTACCGCACCTATAGGTACTTAATACAAACAAAAGTAACGTCCACTATTATGCAAATAGCTGGCCAAAATCACGAAATGCTGATAATCGCTTCCTATATACTAACCTTTTTATTTCATTTTTAGATAAAAATGCTTCGAGAACTTTCGCTCCTTATTATAGGAGCTGGTATGGTACTAGCTCAAAGACGGTTAGCGTTGCCTGACCCTAGGAGTTGTGCCAACCGTAAGTATATTCTTTCAAAACGAATTATAAATACGGAAAGTTATTATGCAAGCGTATTGTAGTTTTTGTTACAAAGTAATAGCTTTATACTTAATTCTTGGCCAGAAACACAACATTGTATTTTAAGCGTGAGAGAGTTGCATTCCCATCAATTGCATTGTGAAAGTAAACTTCAGCCTTGTAATTATTTTCCACATTATTTTTTGTGCAATACGTATACATAATTGCATTCGCACATAAGTAGGTAGGTATATTAAAACCAACGACTATTTTAGGTGTGCGTCACGCGACTTACAGAGACGCTCGTGGTGTGGCACATTCATATTTCTTCAGTTGGGAACACGGGCCCACCAGAAGCTTAGAGGTAGATTGGCTTGACGCTCGAAATATCTGCAGAAGACATTGTATGGATGCGGTTTCCCTGGAGACTCCTCAAGAAAATGAGTTTGTTAAACAACGGATAGCTCGTGGAAATGTGCGGTACATTTGGACATCGGGACGTAAATGTAATTTCGCCGGTTGCGACAGGTCCGATTTACAACCTGCCAATATCTTTGGATGGTTTTGGTCAGGATCCGGTGTTAAAATTGGACCAACAACACAGAGAAACTCCGGAGATTGGAGTCATACAGGAGGATACGGACAACCACAGCCCGATAATCGAGAAGCGGCACAGGTTCAACTTGCTCTTTTGCAAAAACAATTTTCGCAATTTATTCTTATTTTAGGGTAATGATGAATCTTGCTTGTCAATCTTAAACAACTTTTATCGAGACGGTATTAAGTGGCACGACGTCGCATGTCATCATGTGAAGCCTTTTGTTTGTGAAGACAGCGAGGAACTTTTAAATTTTGTTGCGTCACGTAATCCCGGAATAAGACTTTAAACCACAGTACCTTACTCTTTGTATTTATTAAAAATAAGCAGTATTCGTAAGAGAATTCTCAAACTCTACATAAATACCTGCTTCTTACTTTCTTTTACCTTACACGTTAATCTAGTGTTGCTTTTCTTTACTGTACCTATTTCCCCTATTGTAATTTGTAAATGTACATAGACCTACCTATATATGTATTACCTATTTATGCATCTAATGTTTTATATATACTTACGATATAATTTTTTTAATTGAAATTAATCTGGTATTATTAGGTATACCTAAACCTATGCCATAAAATGATCTAATATTAATAATAACAATGACCATGATGAAGCAAAGCAAAACTAAATAAATGTTCCACCGAGGGCCTGATACAGGCATACACAATCCTCGTTACCATAATGTTTTAGCAGTTAAATTAATACAAGTGAATTTTAATTTTACAGAACTAGGATCAAAACTACTTATACATGATACTGGTTAAGTTAATGTAATCGATTTTTGATTCTTGGTTTGCGAGTTATCGATAGTTGGGAATTTTTTTTTTGTAGGTAAGTCAATAATAATATTTATTCGGGATTTTGCTAAAAAAAATGCTTATAACACAAGTCAAAACAAATAGTTATACATGCACATAAATGTAATGAATTAAAATGTGTCTAAGAAACTCGTCTGTACTATTAGTAGGCAATTTTATAGTACATTATATATCAAGGTAGAGAAGTCCAGTATTATTGCCTGAGCACCAAGATTACATCTCGAGGCGCTTGCGCCGAGGGGTGTAAGGTGCGAAGGCAATAAGAGACTTCTCTACCGTGGTATATATACTATTTTTTTCACTACTAGCACTTGAAATCCTCTAAATTAACATATTATATTGATAAGAGAGTTAACGGTTGGACAGAATTGTTTGTTTCTTAATTTAACATGTCAATCAAGTACGTGGAAGTACAAGTCAAACAGGCCGTATTTTGTTCTGTCATTGAGATTTTTCAAAGAGTAATTTCGTTCGAATTTTTTCAAAATGTGATAATTTTAGGTATGTAATTTCTCTGGAAATTGCGAATCGTGGCAATTATTCGTTTTAGAGAACTTGTCTAAACGTTCATTGAGCGAAATTTCGGGTTGTGTTTTCTAAAAGTGACAGCGTGACAGTTCTCATTATTGACTACTAGTTAATAATAAAAAATTATTAACCACTTTGAACAAATGCCGAGAAAGCCTACTTTACAAGTGGAAAAAAGGTTAATAATCATGTCATCAGACGCTAGTAGTGAAAAAAATAGTTTTCTATTATATAATAACATCCGAGAATAGTTTATAAGTTTGCTTTTGCACGTCACTGGGATGTGATTGTAGAGTTTAACACTTATATAGTCCGGTCCTGGAACTTTCGTCTTGGTGAGTCGATGCTTGGGTAATAGATGTTCACTATTCCGAGTGGCATGATGGTGTATAGGTGCTTGTGAGTTGGTCTTTGGATGCTTTGTCTTTTGACATATACTAATGAATTGTATATGACGTTAGGATCCCTAAATTGATAAATGCTTGTCGGCAATATATATACTTAGCCCATTTTCTGGAAAACTCGTATGCATTTCCTTTGGATAGCAAAAATACGCTTAGCTGCAGGAGAATGTCCCCCGGACAAGTATATCATATATGACAGTTTAGAGTGAAATAATGTGTGGTATCATTGAATAAGTGGACTTATTCAATGGTGGTATGCACTTTTTAGCACCTTTTGGCGATACTAGGTACGTTTTTTTTAAATTCTTAGTACAAACCCCATTGTATTTAATTTGTTTCCTAGTACGTCCACCTGAGTTTTCCAGGTAAGTTTAGTGTCCACATAAACTTAAACACCTATGTTAGGGAGCGAACTCATAATTCGACACGGTAGTTTTTAGGTCTTTGATTTACTCCATTACTTCCATCCCCTTTTCGTTGTTTCTCCTCATGTAACGAGGAATGATGCCTTCCCTTGCAAATTCTACAGCCATCCGATTTACAGCTGTTTGCCGTATGTTTATATCCCAAACAATTGTAACAAAGCCGATTCTTTGTTACGAAGTCTCTTTTATGAGCTAAATCAAATGTTTGAAATCTGTTGCAATTTAGACAAGCATGCTATCCAACCTAGATAATTAACGGATGCACTATTTTCAGTATTATACTCTCGTAAAGAAAATGTTATTTGTTGAGGTTTTTCCTCATTACAGAAGAGTTTATTTGCACAAAACCACTTAGAACATTCTTGATATTCTTTCCAAAGTTGGTCAGCTGCTATCTCACAATTCGAGTCTGAGGAGGTTATTAATGTGTCATCAGCATGAAGCAGTAGTTGGCCTACACATTACTTATAAATTTTACAGTTATTATTTTACTTTATCGTCTTGCTAGTCGCTGTGCGTAAAAAATAACTGTGGTATAAGTTAAGTATATATAAATGTTACTTACTTAAAAAAAGCCATAAGTATAAATATTTATTCATTATAAATGGAGAAAGGACGAATAAAATTTTCACGGACCACCGCTGATCTATATATTAGTACTTTTTTGTAAATCACAAGAAATCAAACACAATTTAAATTTATTGCTCTCGAAATACAAGACACCATTTCAAATATGAACGAAGAAAAAACAAATTATTCTTTGAATGATAATAGTAAAGTTTAGGTACTCTACAACTAGGTAATTCTTTATATAGACATACCTAAATACTTTTTATTTAGGTACCTATCTTTCCCCAAAGTGGATAAAGCCAATATGTACTAATTTCCGTTGATAACGTGCTCTAAAATCGACCTGCCTTATATTGTGTAAGTTTGATTCCACAAGTTAAGACAACTACCAATCAATCAGAAGACATAAAAGGACATACCTCTTACAATTCCTCCATACAAGTGATCGTCGAATTCTATTGACAGCGAATTCGTGAGTGTCTTAATACTACAACTTAAGTAAAAACAAAGTAATTCATTTGGTTGACTTAAATCTGAATCGCACAGATATGTTACGGAAATTTTGTACTTTGTAGCTGCCATAAACCTGACACCATTAGGTAAACCAACCAAATGAGGTACTTCATAATCAGAGACCATTCTTATAATATCTTTTGCTTGACTTAAAAGAACTCCACTATTATCAAAAATTGATACTATTACATTTGTACATGCTTCCCTAAAGCCATCCTTATGTGGTGGAGTGACGGCCACACCATACATAACCACCTCATGTCCTACACTAATAAGACAATGAAATTCGTTAAAATTACTTAAAACTAAATTTCGTTCAATTTTATAGGCCTCTCTAAATCTATATCTAATGTGATAGGGCATTCTGTACCTTTGCACCACAATAGTATTGACACTGCAGTCTGATAAATTATCCAAGTTATTTGCCAATAATCGATACAGCCCCTGACACAAATGCTTTCCCAAAGGTCTAAAACGTAACCGCGATAAAATTCCACTGTTAATTAAAATTTGTAACTTGTTTTTTTCAGTAACGTCAACATTCTGAAAAATGCACTCATCTTCGGACCATTTAATTGCAGCTTCAATTAAATCGATTTCGTGAGCATTAATTTCATTTTCATCGAGCATTGCACAAAAGGTAGACGCTTTCATATGGTAGTCTACTTGCAAAACTTCCTTTGCGGTTAATAGAATATCACGCCAACACTTATTGAGTAATTGATTTAAATTGTACAAAATGGCATATTCGTAACTAAGCAATAGGGTGCGTATTGTGAGATTGAAATAAATAAACTCTACGCAAATGTTTTTCAAATTACTAATGAAATATTTTTGACTAATGTACAAAACCGACCATGCATTATTTATCGATTTAAAGACAATTTTTTCGGTGTAAATAAACTCTAGCATTTGGATAAAATCTCCAGACTCAATGTCCTTTATTAAAACTTCAGCGGATGCCATCGAACCATAAAACATGGACTTAAAAACAGGACTATTATAGGACAGCACCAATTTATGAGCGGGAATTTTTAAATCTTCAAAAACAAACACACAATCAGTCCACTTATTGTTTTCTTCAATTTTTTCCATCCTGTTGAAGCTAAAAACACAAAGGTTTGTTTTAACTCTAAAATGATATGTAGGTACCTACCTACCTGCTTTTGTTTTTAAACAGAAAATTAGATTTGATTTAACTACAAAGGCATCCTTGAACCACACGACTTTACAAAGACAAGGCCACGGCAGTGATCGTTTGTTTTTTTGTATAATTGTATTGCTTAAGTTAATTATATACGTACCTATAATTTAATTTCTTATACTTCGCGTCCTTGCAAACGATGTGGTATATTATGCTAAGCAGCCAATCACAGAGCCAGTTTATGGCGCCATTTGTTTTTAAATTTTGTCCAGTTGACAGCGTATCTGTTGTGCTAATTGCACAGAGTTGTATATAAGTATATATACAACTCTGTGGCTAATTGTGAACTGTGAACACAAAAATTGGAACTCTTTTGTTACAATTTGACCTTGAGATTCTATAGATAAAAATTAAAGCCGTGGCTAGAGGCACGTTAAAAGCCCAAAACAAAAAACTGTTAAAAGTTAAAACGACACAAAACCTACTTTTGACGGTGATTTGTGGTGGGTTAGCGGGTAAAAAAAGACTCTAATGTCTTTGTGCTACCCTGTCGCCACTACCGGAGGAGTTATTTACTTTATTACTTTAAATTAGTCTATTAACCCAATTGAATATTCAAGTAGGTACTACAATTTAACTTATTTAACCCAATGTGGCAGCACTTATCCGTTACTATATATAGGTAGCTGAAGTAGAAGCTCGTACGTTCACATTCCACAAATAAAGCACAAATCACGTACCTATTTATCCATCGTCTATGGTTGAGTGCTAACATAACCACAAACATTTAAAATGGTTTTTTATTTCGAAAGCGATGTGGTTTCTCCACCAGTCACATTATTTATGGGCATAGACAAGCATGAAAGTGAGTACCAATTTACAACGATTTTTAACGTAACCTATAATATTAATTTTTAGATGAAGATCTAATAAAGTGGGGTTGGCCTGAAGATGTATGGTTTCATGTTGACAAGGTGTCATCAGCACATGTTTATTTACGACTTAAATCTGTAATTATAAAAATGTAATTCTTATTACTACTTCTTTTGACATTTTGCAACATTTAGGGTCAAACTATTGACGATATTCCCACAAATGTCCTAGAAGATGCCGCACAATTGGTAAAAGCAAACAGCATTCAGGGCAATAAAATGAATGATATCGAGGTTGTTTATACTATGTGGGTTAATTTGAAGAAGACTGCAGCCATGGAGATAGGCCAAATTGGATTTCATAAGGAAAAAGAGGTGCGCAAGATTAAAGTTGCAAAACGGATAAATGATATTGTTAACCGATTGAATAAGACAAAGAAGGAATTATTTCCAGATTTCCGTGCAGAACGTGAAAAGCGCGATCGGCTAGAACGTGAAGATAAAAAGAAACAACTACGGGAACAAAAAGAAAAAGAGAAGATGGAAGAGAAACGAAAAGCCGAAGACGCTGATATGCGCAGTTACAGTACACTTTTTAAAGTAGGCAGTATGACCCTTAACACCGATGATGGTAACGATTCTGACGATTTCATGTAATTAATAAAGAATACAATATTAGGTATTGTAAAACTTGCTTTATTTTAGTTGAATACCTACTGCTTGTAACGCATCAATGACCCAATTTGGATAATCTTTGTTTGGGTGCAAATCGACCATAAAGCTTTGCACAAATTCCACAAATTTATTTTCTTTAATGCTTTCACGTATATTTCTCATTAATCTTAATTGAAAAGCGACATTATGAACAGTTAGCAAATGACAAGACACGGTATGAATAGTTGCGATGTGATGTAAATAAGAACGGGTATATGTTTTACAAGTGGAACAATCGCAATCTTTATCAATAGGAGTTAAATCAGTTTTATACATTTTCTGTTTTAAATTTAATTGACCAGTCATTACTAATGCACAACCGAACCTCTGCAAATTAAGACATTATAATGGGATACCTGTTTGAGCATTATTTCAACTTACCGCCGTTCTTGTTGGAAAGACACAATCGTACATGTCTACACCTAATGCAGTACAAACCACCAAATCAATGGCAAACCCAACACCCATCAGATACCGAGGCTTGTTCTTTGGCAAGATGTCTGTCGATAGATTAACCATTTTCCAAAATTCATCTTTACTTTCCCCTCCACTTAGTCCTCCAATTGCGAAGCCTCTAACATCTCGTTTCATATGTGCCTTTGCACTTAAGGATCTCAGTTTCGTATTTAACGTTCCCTGCACTATGGGGAAAATATTTTGATCTTCAACTCTTTTGTGTGACTGCATGCAACGATCCAACCATCTAGTCGTCCGATACATGGCTTCTTCAATTCTTTTATCATCGGAACTTGTAGTTTTAACTACATCATCTAACTGCATGATTATATCTGCACCAATCACATTTTGTATCTCGATGGAATGTTCAGGAGTTAACACGATTTCAGACTTGCTTGCATTTAATGACCGAAACTGAACACCTTTCTCTGTGATTACAGCAAGTTTTAAAAGCGACACCATTTGAAAACCACCAGAGTCCGTTAGGAGTGCACAGTTCCAATTCATAAACTTGTGTAAACCACCAGCTTTTTTTAAAATTTCCACACCCTATAAACATGGTACAAGTGATTAAAATGAGGGGTAGGTAAACTTACAGGTTTAATTCCCAAATGGTACGTGTTCGCAAGCATTATTTGCACACCTAAATTGTCCAACTGTTCTGTTAGTAATCCTTTGAGTGTACCCTAAGTACATACTAAAAAATGTAGCAAACCTGCACCACCTTACCCATTCTTACCTACTTGAGTTCCAACTGGCATGAAGACTGGTGTATCAACTTCTCCATGAGGCAAAATCATTTTGCTAACTCTTGCTTTGGAAATTTTACATTCTGCTAACACATGAAAAACAAGAGGATGTCTTGATGACATGCTTAAAGCTTTATGTTTATTTATTAAATGAATAAACAAAGCTTAAAGGATTTGATGGCAAATTCTAACCACAAGAAAATAACCGCAGCACACCTAATTCAGAGAAAACCTAGTATTGTATTGCCACCAAAAGCGATTTGCAGATGTGTTGCACATTGACTCCCTCGGTACTACGCAACCGCAAGCGCGCTAGAATTTGAATTTGCGTAGAACTGTCTAAAGCCGGCTACAGACACACACACACGTACATTCCTTGAGATACGTACGCGCGTGCATTGTAAGCACGTACATATCCTTCGGTGTGTAGACAATATCTTCCTAAAATATCTCTCGAAGATGTATTCAGTCAATGCTTGAATTTTTGTACGCGCGTACATATCTCTAGGAATGTACGTGTGTCTTATAAAGTACGTTTTCTATGAAGCGTCTGACCCGGTGTGGCTTTTATGCATACAACTGTAGACGGCCGCCGCATGCAGGTTAGAACACGCTTCCATTGCTTTCTATTGAGGCGGTGGATTTTGCGTCAGCCGCACCGCCTCAGACGCACGCGTCATACGCTTCATAGGAAACGTACCAGACTACAAGCTGCAGAAATGAAGTACTTGCGAAGGGTAAGGGGAGTTGGTGGAATTCCTATAGTAAGAAGATAAAAAAAGAAGTGGATGCTCTGATAGAGACCTTTGATAGACAAAAATTAAAACGCTTATTTGGACGCCTTGGACAAAGGGAAAACAGTTGGCTTGCGAAACACATATGGAACACCGAAATTCAAAATAGGAAGAAAAAGGTAGCATACAGACAACATGGGATTGGGGTATGTACCTAAGGAGCAAGAATACTTCAAGATCAAGGCATAGAAGCGGAGGAGGCTAAAAAGGCAACTTTAGACTAGAAAGAAAAGTTGCACGATTTACTGTCGGACACTATATACTGTCTTAAGTGTTTAATAGCATTGCGAGTCCATTTGACAGAACTCGCCGAAGAAATCTTGCGACAAAAGGGCAGCTCACCAAGTTTTCGCAACCTTTCCATTTCGTTTCGATATTTTGGCGAGTAAACGTACGAGTTTTATTATATTGTGGCACGTAAATGAGTATCCTGCTTTTTAATTTTGTAATAACAGTTCCTGAAGGTCTATCGCTGACATACGAATAAAATTTTTAAATTGTTGGGATTGATTCTCCGATTCTCAGCTCATCAATTAATTTATGGTAGGCCCCATATTTTTCTCTTCTTGAAATCCATTCTTTCACCCAACACTTCTTTTGTGTTTCACATTATTGCATAAAACGACAGCCGCGACAACACAAAGATGTCCTATAGGCGCCATAAACGTGAGATAAGTTCTCAAAAACAGCTGCTATAGGTATCAATTGACAGCATTTGCGGAAGCTAAAAGTGCTACAAGTAACTAGTGTAAACAGTTTTGTGAGACCTTGCAACAGCCGACAGCAATGGCTCACCCAACTTGCTCGACAGTTTATCGCGACACTTATTGCTCACAGTGTATAAATACATGTGGAAGTTTCTCCCGCGAGATTGTCGCAAAAGTAACTTGCTAGTCTATCTGCGACTTGAGAAGTTAACGCGAGATGGGAAAAAATGGAGCACAATAGTTTATAGCTTGGTTTATAGTGACTTATCTGGTAGAATATGTTAATTTATTTTCCGTACACCATGATGGTAGAAGGGTTTTGATTATAATAAATAAAAATGTTACAATTCTTATAATGGAGATCCAAAACACAACCATCTCCATTAATGTTTAACCCCATTTTGTGAATATATACCCAAGATCAAGATGGGCCTCAACAATTATGTTACAATTCTTGTTGTTTATTCCATATTATACGCTGTAAAGGATCATGACGGTTGCTTTCTTTAACCACCTTGCACTGCCCTAAATTTTCTAAGGTTTAGTTGTGATCTGTAAATTCTAATGGCCATCAACACCTTTTCAACAATCGATTAGACTAACTGGTAACCACAGTGTTGAGTTGCTACAGGGACAATATGCAATTGTAATCAAACTTATCAAGGGGAGAGAACATTTTTATTACAAATATTAAAAAAATATATAAATACACCTATTCTAAAGTATAAATTTCGTAATACTTCTTGTAAATTTTATAACTACATAGCAACAAAACCGCTTGAATCAATTAATTAGACAGCCCCATCCGTAGATTCGATATATTTTTTACTCAGTCTTGCAGTTTTACATAAACTAATTTCACATCTCTTTGGAGGCAATTTCAGACGTAAATTCAACCAAAATTTGTCATTCTTATACCTTTCCCAATTTACTACATTGATATTTCCAACAAACGAGGAAAAGGATTGGCCCACAGAATTTTTTATGTTACTCTCAGTGGTTGGAAAGTCTTCTAAAGTAATACAGCAAAATTGATTATCTAAGTCGTACAGTTGTTTTAAAGCCAGATGTAAGTTAATACAATCCCATTTATCATTTACACATGCTGGCGACATAACCGCTGCAATTCTGTAGCATTTCTGGCATAAATCATCCAAATCCTTGTGCCCTATAATAAATTAATTAGTCATGTGGGTATATAAAGAGTGAAAATACATACAATCGGATGCATTTCTTGGTAATTGCCTTGATACACATTTGTAATTGTATTTTCCTTCTAAAGTTGGTAGGAAGACTCCCAACGTAAGATCAGAATCTTTTTCAGAATACAGTAAAAGAATGTCATTAATTTTTCCATTGTTTTCTAGCAATCGGCCAAAACGATCCTTACAAATCACTCGCACAACCAAACCAAATTGCAAGTACAAGATTGCAACAGTCACAATTAATAAAACTACAATTGTTGCTGCAGTCAACAGTTTCTTGAATGGCACCTCATTTGGTTTTAGGTAAGGGATCCCATTATCTGGAACAAAATTTTAGTCAGTACCTATACCCATTGGAGCAAATATTCAAATGTTAATTTAATCTACTAATAGTCCGGTAGACTGGTTGGAAAAAGTGGAGATAGGTGAAATAAGGTTGGATGAAACTTTATGATATTGTTCAGGGATGCCGAGATTATTTAACATTTTCTCAAGTTTTGAACCTCGTGGACTACACAAAAAAAAGACGGGGGGGGGGGGGGCTGTCAACAATTCCAATTCCAACAATTTTGACTCACAGACATGTTTGTATTTCTTCAATTCGTTACCTAGATATCGAGCTTCGAACAAATGTTATTTTTAAACATTTTCATTTACAAAATCTAATTTTCTTCTGTGATGAAAGCCAACCCTTCTGGTTCTACTTCTAGCAGCTCGTCTGCCTCCTATGGCTTTCAATCACGTCGTCGCCATCGCCGAATTCGTGTCGTTACTTATTATGTCTGATGGTGAGTTCTCCTCCTTCAAAGCAGTTGCGGTCAGTGTTTTAAAGGGTCGGTAAAAAACGGAAAATTTGAGAAAGACACAGGGTCTTCCTCCCTTTTTTCCCGAGCGTAAGGATAAATTCGCTATGTTGTGAAGAGTTGGTTGGATGCGTAGGTATATTCAGTAGCATAACTGTATCTCGTGTTGTAGGTACCTACTTCCCAAAGTTTGTAAAACTATTAGGAATCACCCTGTATATAGCTAAGTAACAAAATCAGGGGCGCCGACTTATCAAAATTTATGTGGGTGCTCACCAAGCGAGAAGCCTCACATATTATGTCCACAGATGCGAATATCTGCTGCGTCTACTGGCCCTGAAAATCGCCCAAAATCGCAAATAAAACGACAAAATAAAATCGAATTTCTATTACATATGAGTAAAGTAAAAAAATATATCTAAATTTCTTCGTGTTTAGTAACTATCGAGAAAAAAGACCTAAATAGACAAATATCAACCGGAAAATTCTGTGGGTGCATCGCACCCACATAACTTTTTCTGTGGGTGCTTAAGCCCCGAAGCACCCACGTAGTCGGCGCCCCTGAACAAAATTACTTTTTGAGTAGAACAATATAGTTACACTAAGTAAATATCTGAAATTTCAAAAAATATTTAGATTGAAAGACCTGAACAACTATTTTAATTTAACGCTTATGTAAGTCAAAATACATTCCTTTTGCGTACCTTTTGGATTAATATAGGCAGATAATTCCAACAGTCGACCAGGTTTTATAATAGTGCACGTGTATTTTCCATAATCTTCTTGTTTCAAGTTGTCGATTATCAAGTAAGATCCACAAATTTGGTTATCTTCCCTGGAAAACAGAACATAGGTAGAAACAATAGGTACTGTGTCTAATAATTTGATTAACAATAATACTATACTTAGGATTTATTTTCCAACAGAAAATATCCATTAACAGGGCAATCTACAATGTTACCATAAAAATAAGTAGTGTATTAGGTCCTTAACTTAATAAATATACTTCAACAAGAAAATAGGTAGGTACCCAAAAAAACCAACCCTAAAACTAAATGAAGAGGAAATAATTGGTGTTACAAATCAATGAGGTTAAGCTACAATGATTAATACCGCACATGCGATTTAAGCTACTAAACTGATAGTTAAACAACATGGGATCGGAACATAATATCAGTGCGAGACCGAGAAGTACCATAATGAAAAGTTTTCGTATAACGTGATGAGATTCGAGGAACATTAAAGGGATATAGGAAATGCAGCAGATCCGGGCAATCGATGCAAATATGCAAGAGCTTACAGAGGAACGTTATACTAACTGGATAAAATCCAAAAGCTTTGAAGTGCAAAAACTTTAAAAATCTTCTTCGAATACCCTTTAAGTGCTGCTATATGTTTTTTGTAAGTGGGATTGTAAACTAATAAACCATACTCAATTTTCGATCTAACCAATAAAAAGGAAAGAAGAGAATTATTTAAAAGTAATAGTGTGCATTTGCGGCAAAAGATATATGTATGTACCTACGAGTGTAGGTATACCTACTATCGTTTCTAATATAAGAACGGTGGTCATGGATGTTTTTTTATGGAAAATTGACTAAAAAGAACTAACTCGCTCCAAATGATAACACAGATTTAATTAGTCTTTTTACATAACTCTTATTCTTAACTTGAATCTTTTTCTTTCCAATTGCGTTCCCACTCGCTAGCTTTGCGCATTGAGTGAAGTTCTTCGAGAAATAAACAAGCTGTATTTACTTCTAAGTTTT